TGAAACTCATGAATTTGGACACTTTGGTGCCGCTAGTATTGTCAAGAAACTACATGAAGAAGGTATTCATTGGACAGGTCTATATGATGATGCAAAGGCAATTTGTCAATCATGTATGGAATGTGCAAGACACAATGTAGTTCAAAAGGGTTACCATGAACTGAGAAACGTTGTAGCGTATGGTCCATTTGATCACATAGGCATTGACTTTCTTGGTCCGTTAACTCCAACCAACAATGGCAATATATATATATTAGTTGTATACGACATTTGCACCAGATTTATTATAACTCGTGCATTGCCCAACAAACAAACCGATACTGTCGCTAGAGCTCTGACTACCATCTTTGGAGACTTTGGCGTAGTACAAATACTACAATCTGATAATGGACGTGAATTCAAGAGTGCTTTGATGAGCGAGATCGGTAAAGCACTTGGCATCAATCAAAGATACTCTACGGCTTTCCACGCTAGGGGCAATGGTGCATCCGAATCAGGTGTTAAAAATATTCTTAATGCACTTCGTAAGATGGTCAGTGAACACATCTATGACTGGGACTCGGTTCTACCTGGAACTCAACTGGCTATAAACACAAAAATTAGGTATCGCACTGAGAGTGCACCTTTTCAATTGATGTTTGCTAGACCATTGAATAGATTCGTAGACTACGATGATCCTAAGATCAAGGACAACTTACCAAAGAAGCCTATGACTCTCGGTGAGCTACGCAAGAAGGCAGAGATTATGAACCAGGTTGTCTTTCCAGCTATTAACCAAAGAACACAACGCATTATTGAAGAGCAAGCAACGCGATTCAATAAGCATCACAAGATTACACACTTCAAAGTTGGTGATTGGGTTATGGTAAGACTTCCGCATAGAGAAAGCAAACTTGAGGCCGCTTATGATGGACCTTATCAAGTTGTTCAAAAGAAAAGATCTACATATGTGTTGAAAGACGATATGAATGAACTACTACATCGCGACTATGTGCCATCTGAATTGAAGCTGGTAGCAATCGACGAGTCTATCATCGAACAAGAAGTATATGAGGTTGACGAGATCAGAGCGCATCGTGGTCCTGAACACAATAGAGAGTATTTGGTAAAATGGAAGACATTTGGAGAAGCTGCCAACTCCTGGGAAACTGCTGCATCGTTCAACAACCCTCAAACCATTCGTAAGTACTGGGCAAAGATCAAGGAATATGAGCTGCTTGAGAAGAGAAGACAGGCACTAAATAGTGACACTGCTTCCTCCAAATCAAAGCGTAAGCGTGATGATTCTGACAAGCGTTTGAGAGGCTCTAAGAGACTCAACGTTGCAGAACAGTAAAGTGATGTTTGTCATGGGATATATCAGGGCAACATGCAAATTGCAGTAGCACCTTTAGACTATCACATTGCGTTATATCTTTGTCAGCGAATGCGAAATACAGATCATTGATCGTTTACATAATTCTTTGAATTAGTCAACATGCGTTGAAACTGGTGGGGGCAAATGTGGAATACATCCACTATGATCTGCATTCCGACAGTTCATCCAGTTACCAGATTTAGATATAAACTGTATGTACACTGGATTAGATGTACGATATCGATTTATACTATGATCATGAGAAGATATGGACTTCAGATACGCTAGTACTATAAGATTCATACTATATAAGATATAGGCTATAGATGGCACCACGGACATGGATGGCACTATAGACTTATACTTGTATTCCGACATTGACTACGGATGTTTACCATATCTGGATAGGCACCAAGATTAATGCAATATGAGCTTGTTGCTTCAGATGTGCACTTCATGATCCACGCTATAAGACACATGCTTATATCCGTGATACTAGCTACAGATACTTTATGTACTACAGACTTGTACTATATATGAGACATGCTATAGACATGCATACGATATGCTATAGACATGCCATATATCCAGATACATGCTAAAGATGTATGCTTAGCGATATACACTCAGATATGTACTATTAATATAGACTAAGAAGACTGTACCTATTGGATACATGCTACTAGATCGATATTAATTATCCTTATGGAAAGGATAGATCAGGGTACTTCGGATGAGAGTCTAATTATTCATCCAGACAGAGCTAAATCATGATTAGCTTGCTGGAGTTGTCTTTTAGCATGATTAGACATTAGTTGATCTGAGTTGACTTATTTGTCAATCTAATTAATAGAACTTTTATCCATTGTTATAGTATATAAGAAGGATCATCTACCTGGCCAGTAGAGAGACTTCAGTTTACTTTACACCTGTCCGTTTGATAATAAAATATACCTTTATCAAGTTGACATTACTGTTTTTTTATTCTTTTTTTTCCGTGAATTTTAGTCTGTAAAGCCTCAAATTCCACAATTCTCTCTTTCCGTTCTCTCTTTCCCCCTTTGTCTGTGTTTTTGTCGACCTTTCTTTTTTTTCATATATCTTTTCTCTATTTATATTTGCGTTTTTGCTTCTCCGTTTTTTTCTTTGTTTGCTTGTTTTCCCGGTCTCTTCCTGTGCTTTATCTTCATATTTCCCTTTTCTCTTCTGCTTATATTCTTTATCCTCCTCGAACCTTTTTCTTTTCGAATTTTTTTTCTGTATTTATTCCTTTCTGTTTCTTTATCGCATTTTCTTTCCTTGACATTGTTTCTTTCGCCTTTCTTTTATGTTTGCCTATTTTCTTCTTTTATGTTTATTTTTTTTTGATTTACTTCTCTTTTCGCTTTCTTTACTTCATTCCTCTTTTTTTTCGTCAATTTATTCTTACTCTTTTCTTTGCTTTTTATTCTTTACATTACTACCATTTCTTTCGTCTTTTTGCTTTCCTGCCATCTCCTTTTATATATCTTTTTTTTTCTTTGTCTTATATATTACATTCTGTCTTTTCAAGGGTTTCTTTGCTTCCCTTTATTGATTTTGACTATTATTTGTACTTTTGTTCCTAACCGTCTCAATTTTTCTATCTGTTTTGTTTTATTTACTTTTTTGCATTCTTTTCTGTTTATTTGTTTTGTTCAATTTCTCTCTCTTTCTATGTATTTATTTTTTATCATTTCAATTCCTATTTTGTCGGGTCCTTGTTTATCCAGTATTCGTTCCCATACTTGTTGTTGCTTCTTTTCTTATTATTGCAGTCTTATCTTTTCCCTTCTTTGTTCATTTCTTAGTATCACAATCTTTTCTTATTCTTTTCATTGTTGCTTTGTTCTATTCTGTTTTGATTTGTTTCTTTTGATTGTCACTATTCATTTTTTTATCACATTCCCTCTTTTATATATATTCTTTGTCTAATATCCCAATCTCTTCTTGTGGTGTTCTTACATTTTGTCTAATCCCTCTTTTTTTTCCCCTTGTTTATTCTTCTGCCCTATTATATCAATGTTTGTTTTGTCGGGTATCATATTGAATGCCGATGATAAGTTGTATCTTGTTCATCATTTTCCCACATTGTTATTTTTCATTATTGATGAGTGATGTTGATGACTTATTTGAGATTTATGATAACATATCAGGAAAGTGTAATGCTAATTAACCATTGACGCTTGATAGCATATTTATAAGTTGGCTGGTGCTCTCTCGTTACTGTTAAGAGCTTTCTATATTTTTTTAATAGTAAAACTGAACTTGATTATAACGGTTTAATGATGCAATGATTTCATTTTTTTACTAATTATTCCAGAGCACGTCCTATGTAGTGGTATATATGAGACCGCTCAGTGAAGCAATCTCTGGTGAAATAATAACTGGATAACATTTTCTATAAGTTCGCATATGCGAACTGGGCTATCTTCGGCTACCTCAGGCTACCTTCCCCTATTTTTCAAACACCGAGGTACTCGGTGTATAGGAGATGTTATTAGGAATGATACCTCATGTATCATGGTACCCAAGCACCGTGAGTCTTGCTTCTGATTGGCCATTCAAATGATACCTGTAGTAATAGGATATCCTATTCTTAGGTATTACTTGTCCTTTGTTCTGATTGGCTTTTAGCATGATGCCCATGGTACCTATGGTACCTAAGGTACCAATTCTGGACGACTCAAGCCGTGAGTCGCCCAGAGATGTTATTAGGCTACCTGGGGATACCTGAGGTTACCTCCCCCTATATTTCAAACACCGAGATACTCGGTGCTTGAGAAATGTTATTAGGATATTGCTTGGTCTACTTGAGATTATCATCCAAGCATGGCCTTTTCTTATTGATGTTTTTTCCGCATGGAGTATGCATCATGTTTCTAACGACTGCAGTAAACGCTCTGGGATGCTTGCTTTGATCTGGGAGTTTCGCACTGACATACTTATCATACGTTTCAAGAGTAGGTCTGCTCGGTTCATCCACAATAATCACGATATGAGCATGTGGCAGGCCACGTTTCTGAAATTCAACGACATCACTACGGCCCAACTGATGTTCTCATGAGAACATCGATGTGCTCATATGAGAATCTATTTGATGTTCTCAAATGAGCACATCGATGTTCCCGAAAGGTGAAAAATGCTCTCATATGGGAACATCGGCGTTCCTAAAGATCTATTATAAGTCGGCCGATGTTCTTATGAGAACATCCGAAATGTTCCCATGTGAGCACATCCATATTCTTATATGAGCACATCGATTTTCAGAAATTTGAAAAAAAAGAATGCTCCTAACGGGGTCGAACCCACAACCTATCGGTTGTGGATCTGACGTTCTTCCCACTAAACTACTCGAATATCTTAATGAAATATATTCTTTTACTTTAATAAGTAGTTATTAGGTAATTTTAAATTGCCATTTTCTCGTGCAATTTATAATACGTTTAGTAATTTTATGAATCTTACAGATAATAAAAGTCTCTCTGTTGCCTACAATATTATAGTTTAGCTATTAAAACCATTTTATTCTTGTGGAAAACTACACCTTCTCAAATGAGAACATCAATGTGCTCATGAGAACATCGATGTTCCCAAAAGAGCGCATCGATGTTCTGTGAGAACATCAGTTGGGCCGTGGTGCATGAGTAAAGCCAATGACATTACCAAAGATGTATGGCTTTGTCTTAATATCAGAAATCAACTCCTTGAGCTTCATGTCGAGAACTCGTGAACACAGATCCGGTCTGTCAGTTGGGCTCAAACCACCGTTGCGTAATTCATTGACAATTTCGGGCCAGTTTGGATTGCAGGTGAACGTTATGAAATAGCTTGGCCTACCCAATGCAGAAACCATTGCCATTGAATCCTGATATAACTGCTGCATTGATCTTGGTGTTCCAGTATCTGATGAAGGTAGAATAAGTTGCTTACCTATCTCCTCAGTGGAGATGGTGGTATCAGATACCGCTGCATCTGTAAGCCCTGAATACAGCTCTGTTCGTAAAGATCCCTGGTTATTTCGTAGATGTTCCAAACGTCGATGTTCAGTCTACACATACATGTCCACTAGATATTGATGGAAGAGCCGGCCGAAATAATGCAGCATTCCTGCGTTGGGTCTCACTTTCAATCGATGAGCATAAAGTTGCATTACGCTAATGTTTTGCTGGGCTCTTCTAACGGTGATAATAGACCTTGTAACTTCTTGTTCGGCATCATCGCCATTGATTTCAGCTTCAACTGCATTGGCAGCATTATCGTCATCAGTTTCGCTATTAACTGCATCACCTTCAACATCGTCTTTGAAGGAAGCATTCGTAGTAGTGCTGAGTGGCATATTGACATGCCATCCGTTCTCACCTCTCGGAAACATTAAAACATAATGCATTGAATCATAGGATCTACGGCATTCACTCATAATATGTTCCACAGTGCCATTTACACGAAATGTTGCCACATCTCTCCTTAGATGAGGGACATAGTTTGGATCGTCTGTAGAGGCTGGGTCTATAACAATGGCCGCCACTTCATCTATAGTACGGCAGAATAAGTTCTTCCTAATGTCGCTGTTGCTCGGCCATTGATTATGATGTGAAAACTGTCTTCATTATGAGCAAAACGTTGTCTTGTCATCTCAAAAGTCTGCGCAAAGGGACATTCTCTCATCATCATTTCTTGGAGACGCTCAAGCAGAGGTTCATGAAACTGCGAAAATATACCTCTGCGCATGCTAGCTTGGTATTGAGGGTCCGTAAAATATATTTGAGCATACTGTGGGGCAAATCCTGGCATAGGAGAGATAGGATCAATTCTATGGTATGTTGAGCCTTGAACTCGAAATGTGTAAGTGCCACTGTTGAATCCACTGTAGCCCTCATCTTGCTGTGCACCAAGTGATGTAAAGGCAAAGCTGTTATTGTAGGCTCTAATGCTATTTCTGAAATGCTGACTTTCTTGGTCTGAATCAGTAAGTAGAGATCGTAGTGGTTGGGGAGGATTTTGCAGGGCTTCCAATTGAACCTTTCCCTGTCTACAACACATCGAAAATTTGTTTTTTAAAAGCTCTTCAGTATACAACAATGCGTTACAGTCTGGACATTGACGATTCATGGGCTGCATAACATGTCTGCAGTAAGTAGGGGAATTTGGATCATAATCAACATTTCACTCAAGGAGATGGTCAGTTTCTTTAAACTGGGTGTCATTAGTAATATAAACTTTGCAACAAAATAAAAATTAATTCCATGTTCTTTAGTCATTCAAACAGTATGTTACCTAGATTTCTATTACGACGTGGTCTTCTCAATGGTCGCGTATGTTCGTTTTGTTGTCTCGATCGCAGCCGTTGACTAAATCTCTGAGGCTCTGGGTCGTCGTTCAAACAAAACGTTGCTGGCAGCATTGAGCAGAGGAAAGATGGTGGTTTTTGTTGATTGATTGTAAAATCATTATTCTCATATGAGCCAGGCCTGATAGATGCCTTGAAACTCAGGTTCCATATTAGGGTTGTAAAGTGCAAAAGGACTGAACATTTATTATGTTATGATATATATATATATTTACTCTTGTCTTCAGTAAATATTTAGTTTTTGTGTCTGATCTTATTCAAATAAGTCTTTTCTTGTTTTTATAATATCGAACATTCTTTATAAGCTACAAATAGTAATTCTTTTATTATTTGTGCTTAGCAATATCAATCTAGTAGTAGCATGTATCCAATAGGTGCAGCCTACTTAGTGCATATCGATAGTACATATCTAAGTGTATATCACTGAGCGTACATCTTTAGCATGTATCTTGATATATGGCATATCTATAGCATATCCTATGAATGTCTATAGCGCGTCTCATATATAGTACAAGTCTGTAGTACATAAAGTATCTGTAGCTGGTATCACGGATATAAGCATAAGCCTTATAGCGTGGATCATGAGGTGCACATCTGAAGCAACAAGCTCATATTGCATTAATCTTGTTGCATATCCAGATACAGTAAACATTCGTAGTCAATACCAGAATACAAGTATAAGTCTATAGCGCCTTCCATGTTCATGGTGTCATCTATAGCCTATATCTTATATAGTATGAATCTTATAGTACTAGCGTAATATCTGAAGTTCATATCTTCTTATAGCATAAATCCGTATTGTACATCTAATCCAGTTCGCACATAGTTATATCTAAATCTGGTAGCTGGATGAACTGTCAGAGTGCAGATCATAATGGATGTATTCCACACTTATTTCTCTGAACAAATCACTACGGCCCAACTGATGTTCCCGAAAGGCGAAAAGTGCTCTCATATGGGAACATCGGCGTTCCTAAAGATCTATTATAAGTCGGCCGATGTTCTTATGAGAACATCCGAAATGTTCCCATGTGAGCACATCCATATTCTTATATGAGCACATCGATTTTCAGAAATTTGAAAAAAAGAATGCTCCTATCGGGGTCGAACCCACAGCCTATCGGTTGTGGATCTGACGTTCTTCCCACTAAACTACTCGAATATCTTATTGAAATATATTCTTTCACTCTAATAAGTAGTTAATAGGTAATTTTAAATTGCCATTTTCTCGTGCAATTTATAATACGTTTAGTTATTTTATGAATCTTACAGATAATAAAAGTCTCTCTGTTGCCTTCAATATTATAGTTTAGCTATTAAAACCATTTTATTCATATGGAAAATTACACCTTCACAAATGAGAACATCAATGTTCCCAAAAGAGCACATCCATGTTCTGTGAGAACATCAGTTGGGTCGTAGTGATAAATCTGCTTGGGCTATTTATCTATATATTTACTCTATTTCATTCTTATTATTTACACTACAATAAACCGCTTTGTAACATTACTTCAGTTCCGAAAGTAAAGTTTCCTAAATTCACACATTTTGCCTTTACATAGAGCGTCTAAAAATCCCTTTTTTTTATATTTTCGTTCTCAATAAGGCAAATTTATCGCACATTTTTTCCATGGATCGATTCATCTCGTCGTGCGCTATCGTACTGTCTATTTACAACATTATTCTATTCGTAAAAACTGATTGTTATTGAATCAAAACAAGACTTCTGGGATGCCATTTTTGCATCAGTCGTGTTTAAGGACAGGCTATTTTCGAAGTCCGACTAAATCGACCTAGTAGAGTACTTGTCTTTGAGGGTGTTTTGTGCCGCGACTTACTTATAAAAATGGGGTTTTTTTAAAATGGAAACTTTTCTTGAGATGTCAAAGTATTTTTATACAAAAGTCTGGACTAAAAAATGTAGGACTGGGATTATTTGTAAGCGTTCGAAAAATAAGCAATTTTCCCCGCTTGTTTGTTCAAGCACCTGGTAATTTTGCTTATTTGGTTACTGATAGCATTTGCATTGCTATTGAGTTTGATAATTCTTCCGATTTATGCCTACAGTATGGGCAGTAAACAGTTGATGGATCAATCTAACCTTTGAAAGCACAATGAGTTTGCTGGTATAAATCAGTTCACAAAAAACAATTATGAAACCAAACACCTCGAAAGTCCGAAGAGTAAATACAATCAGTGTACAAGCGCATCGTTTACCAAAACTGTATGCGTTCTTGTTGTATTTGCAATATCAGTGCCATCTTTGTATCACTCCTGCTGCAACAAAATATCCCATCTGTCATGAACCAAGCTTCGATCTGGTACCTGTATCTAGAATCATGCAGCCCAAGTGTTATTGAAGTGAACTAGACTAGATTCCCATCATAAACAAAACCCAAAATAAATGTCATCTCAATCAAACCATGCTACCATCAGCAGATAGGCATGCATAATAATAGTATTAGCATGATGATAGCGAGGGTTAAATGCTCTAAAATAAGAGATGACAGATACTAAAGTAAATGTCAAGGGTATTGTAATGTGTTGTAACATAAATATACCTAAAAAGGATACAGGCTCAACAATAAAGAGCTATTCTTTACGCATGATTCAAAAACCATATATTGAAATACCGTTCTTGATCCATCAGATCAACAACTAAATGACCCAACAAAAATATATAAAGTAATGGAATCACTGGCAACTACTAAACTGCTGCCAGATAAGAAATATAAACCAAATAATATAAATAGAGACGTAGAATATACATTTTATTGCACATTATCCTAATTTCAAATAAAGAAGGATTTTAACAGTATTCTACCTGCTTTTTTAACCCCTTTTTACTGCAGTTATGTCTACGTTATGACATATGTCCGCATCTCCTGTCAAGTATAAATACCATGTCCCTTCTCCCCTCCATACTTTCCAGTTGTAGATTATCTTGTATATTTTATTCTCACGTACTTCAAGATAATCGTTTTGTTAAATAAATCCTCTGTTGAAATCAAGTTCTTGACACCATCCCTGAATTTTTCTCCGTTAAATACAGCCATCTTAAACATGCCAGTTTATCGCAAGTTGAAAAATCAAACTTTGTCATAGAAAGTTTGATAGATTAATAGTAATTATTAAAAAAGACCAGCGTATGTTTCTTTCAGTAGCTTCAACCTCGTACATGAATGTAGCTTCAATATCGTTTATTTTGTATATATGATATAAACATTGCTATTTTCATTATCAAATATCACAATTGTGTGCATCATTTTAGTTCTGTGCATCATCTGTATAAACTGCCTTTCGCATCGTCATGCTGCATGTGTCAGCAAAAGTGTTTTATGCAACATTTCGCTACGACCTTACGCTGTATTCTAAGCTTCATAGCTTTTTGTCGTGTCATTTAATGCTCGCGATTGAGAGCTTATGATATACGTTAAAGAGTGGGCCTTATTAGCCTTGATTTTCTGGTCGCCTTGAATTGTCAACCGACAGTTTTATACACTGTGTATATATTGCGGTGATGGAGGCCATATGTTTCTTCTTCAGGCCTACCATCCCTTCCATATTTATACATGTTGATAGCAGACCATCTCGAATTGCTGCCATGCTCATCAACGTTATCAGAATAATGGATATTTGTTTGTATAGAGCATATCGAAAATTCCAAACAGAAATCATATCAAAACGCTTTGGCGAATTGCAATGCCCAAAAACATAATGGCACAAAAAGCTGTGACAACATCCTTTTACTTTGATTAGCATTAAGTGGCACATAGAGGGCAGAAGGAATACATTCAGATATATATGATCAATACATTGTCCAGTGTTTGCGACATACAAATCCACAGCGATGTATTTGCTTTACCATGAGATTCGACCTGCTCGATATAGTGAGCGACAGAAGTGCTGTTCATTATCTCATTTTATTGACAACAGAAATGGCACATCTGCTTATTAAAAATAATGTTTGCAGTAGAAACCTCATCACTCAAAGAAAAAAAGCGGTGCCTACCTGCTGTTTCAATTTAAGCGCAACATTAGAGCAACAGACCGATGAAAATACCAGCTTCATGGTGCAGTGTCTATTTTGTAGATATTTTAACAAAACTGATCCGAACTGAGAAGTCAAAGTTCATATCCTGCAAATTCATTAATCATGCAATCATCTTCATAACCAACTTCTGGTTCCTAACTGCGTATTGAATACCTGTTGTTATCTCCTTTTAGCACCATCCGCTGTACTGTATATACAAACTGGATGAGAAGGTTAAACTCTCAACTCGTTTCATCTTCTATCTGTCAATATATCGGACAGAAGGGTCGCTTTGCCTCACTATAATTCATCCATGATAATGAGTGCAAAAGACATTGACCCTAATCCAATATATACAGTGCAGTACAGTCAGTTATCGTACCTTGAATAATAAATAAAACCATTTTACGATTTGGTGTGTATTCTCATAGAGACAGTCAATGTACAATGCACTAATATATAACATGCACCGGAAACAATAAAGCTTGAGATATTTTCACCGATCCATACAATGGCCATATCTACTGACAAGTTGGCGAATTCAGAAACATTTCATTCTAGACTGCATGGACAGATGGTCTTAAAGAGATAGAAAATGAATCAGGAAATAGCATATAGTAATTGCAGCTGTGCTTGAATAGAATCCGTTAGTAGCACTGACTTGAGACCATGCCATTGACCTATTATGACCACCTCAGTATGGATTTTATAAACACCGGCAACAGTAAATGCGAATAATGATAGTAACAATAAAGATTCAGATCACACAACAGCACACAAAAGTAGAGTAACATATGCACTGCAGTTATTCCTTGTTTGACCACATTTCAGCTGCTACAACTGGCACAGTGTCCGTTTAGTACAGATCGAATAGGCCTGCTAGGATTTGGACATAGCGTTAGAAAAGACACGAAAATAGGCGTTTCAATGGTACATTTTATTGAATAACAGATAGAAACATAAGCGGCTTGCTACCTTGTGCTCATCCGCCTAGCTCTTACTCTCAATGTATGGTCAAATATGGGTCGCTTGCTTGTTTTTCTCACACGCAAAGGTTTGGTAGCTGCGAGCAATGTCGTGGCAGTGGTGGGTGTTGTGGCATGTGCTGAGTTTTGGGATTGTGATGATAAGCTAGGTTTTGGCACGATAATGGCAGATAAGGGTCTAGCATGTCGTCTATGATGAATTGCAGTTGATTTAGTTTCCTCTGGAATAACGCTGTAAGATGCATGTGCTGTCATTGGGCTGTCCACAGCATCCTTGTCAAAAAATAATGGCTTGAATGAGGGTCCACTCATAGTTACCGAAGCACTCATGCGTCGTCTGCCACCATGCAAGTGATCAAATGTACTCGACATGGGATGTGGGCTATGACTAAAATCAAATATAGTAGGACTACCATTGTTGCCGCTGCCATCCAACAAGAGACTCGAGCTATTTTCGCCTTGGATATTACGAAGCATCTTGTTTGCCTTGAGATAAATGGAATCCGCATGATGAGGCTGTTGTGTAGAGAAAGATTGCTGCAGTGCAGTGCTGACACTGGTAGAGCGCTGTCTGTTTCTTTGTCGGTCACTTCTACGTCTAACCTTGACATCCAGTGTATCCTTTTTCAGCTTGTCCAACAAACTGTGTAAAATAGCCTTGTCATCCTCGGTATCGCCAGCTTTTCCTTTTAATGTACCCGCATTACTATTTGCTCGCTTTCGTCGCTCTTGTTCCCTCTTCTTTTGCTTGTCGATGCGGTCTTGTTTGAGTCGAACTTCTCTGGAATCGGCTGAACACTTTTCCCAAGAATCCGTAAACTCTTTGAATATACCGAAAAACTCGTCTGGCTGCATCTTTTTGGGATCTTCACCGTAGAATTTAACTGCCTGATCATAGGATTCATCCATCTTTTTCGACAACATGCAAATTCGCTTGAATTCAGTAGACGCCTCCTTGTAAAATGCGTGCATGGCCGAAGAAAACTTGTCCAGTTCAACGCCTTGATCTTGATCTTCTTTTATGGGGTAATGCTCATGTAGCTCGGTTTCCAGCTTGTTTAGATCAGACTCGACTGTTTGATATTCGACTGCCATTTCCGATCGAGACACTTTGGAAGCCAATCCACATTCGTCCAACTCTTCCAAAAAGGCCAAAACATTGGGAAAGTTCTTTTCAACAGCATCTACTAGAAAATGCAGCAACGTGGTTGATTTTGATGTGCCTTTGGTATCAATCAACTAGTGAGGTCGTTAGTGGAGTGTGCTATAAATAATGAACAAGTAATTTACCTTGTTGATACTGGCAATCTTGATGCCAAATGCACCACCACGGTATGTATTTCCATTCAAAAAGTTTCCAAGCAACAGCACCAACTATTTAAATAAAGATCAGCATCGCACTCTATGTATTCATTAGATAGAGACATACATGCAACAGTTCTTTGAAATTCTTTGCGTCCTTGAGGGCCAGCGATGCATTGTAGACTGATGTCATTTGCTATCATGATAGAGATGGTGAGTGTCAAAGATAAGAAACATGATTGCAATGGACATACCTTGTGCAGAACCGTGTATCTCTCCCAGAATGTCGATTTAATTAGCATACACTCCAATCGCTCTTTTAGTCGCTTGATCTTGAGCATCTATCCACATTACATGAGCTGCAATCCTTCTACCTCACATCAAATAAACATGGCTCACCTGAAGACAAAACTTTTCTGGAATACCCAACTTCTCTACTTCCTCCAAGGGTGAATCATTGTACGCTGATATCTTTTTCGCTTCTTCTTCGGAAGGTAAGTATTTGAGTAAATTCAGTATAATCTGCTCGTCTAAAAAGTAAGGATCCAGGCGAATAAAATAGTAGCGAATTTCATCAAACGGAATCTTTTTGGTGATACTCTTGATAAAGATATCTAATGCAGTGGTAATCAGTATACACAAACCAGCTGGCATCAAGCGATGGTTTCTTACTCATGTTGTATGCTTTTTTTGAATCTAAAATCTGTGTTTCCTGCTTTTGTTGTTTGGTCTTGATCTCCACAGCTGGTTTTTGAGCAAAAGTTAATTCGACATCATCAAAGACGCCTGCCTTGGCCAATTGGTATTCCATAATGGAGTCTGAGGATTCCAGTTGTTTGTGCAGTGACATTTCAATATCTCGCTCAAACTCATCCCAAATCGTTTGCTGGATATTCACGAAATTCATCTTTTCCCATTCTACAAATTTAAGCTTCTGCTTGGCTTGAAATGCGCTTGGTTTTCTGCCAGTTGCACCAAGAAACACAGGTGGTAGCGGTGGAGACGATGCTGGTGTATTGGTAGCATTACTATTCGGCGGTGCCGGCGGTGATTGCTTGTCGTGAGTGGCATTTTGTAGTTGCTGTGATAGCGTCGTGGTACCAGATGACACAGGCGCAACAAAAGATGAAGGTGGAGGTGGTGGTGGTGGTGGTGGAGGTGGTGGTGGTGGTGGCGGTGGTGGTGGTGGCGGCGGAGGAGGAGCCGAAGGAGGAGCACAGGCAGCAGCAGCAGGAGAGGGCTGATCTGTTGTGGCTGAATCTTCAACTAAAAGCGTTGTTGGCAATGGCGATGGGAATATAAACTCGTCCAGAGAATGAAAGCTGGGAGATCCTGCCAGCTCACCGTCCACCAACACAGTAAATGCAGGCGATGACAGCCGCTTTGGCTTCTCTTCTTCCGCAAGTACTTCCTCGTTCAATGACCTTTTCGATCTATGACTGCCCACAGTACTTGATGTCAATGAACGCACAATTTCCTTGTCGCTGGGCGTTTTGGTGGAGCCTTGTGAGCTGCTGAGAGATCGATTGGTTGCTGTTGAGCTCTTGCGACTCGTGCTGGTTAAACTGGGCGATTTTGTAACTGATCTTTTACTGGTCGACTGGTTGGAATCAACCGAGGTGCCTCTGGATTTGGTCTTGGTAACTGGATCCTGACTACTCTTGCGCACAAAATTACCAATCTTTGATTTGAATGACTGTCGCAATGTTTCCGAAAACCCAGTATTGCTGGATGGCTGTGTTTTGGTGTTATCTACGGCAGAAACTGCTGATTTGGGCGATGGTATTGATGGCGAGTGATCCACAACAGGGGCAGTCCAGGAACTTCGAAGTGGGTTCTCGCCTTTTTTTACCGTACTTTTCCGAGTCAGTGCATTGGGTTGCTTTGGTAATTTCTCGTTGATAGTTTGCTGCTGTTGCTGATTTCTGAAACTGCGTCTTTTGGGTGATGGGTTGCCGTATTCTGTGAGGTTACGCACAGAATCGTGTAGTTTGCGCATCTTTGTTTCGGTGTCTAGCAGCTCTGTCTTGTACTTTTCCTCTGCGCTTTTAAAAAATATCTTGAGCATGGCATTGCTTTGCTTTGCTAAACTGAGGTCCTTTTCAAGGTACTCGATCTTTGCTTCCAATGAGCCAATCACATCCTCTGAGCCATCTACATTAGTCTTTTTGCTGCTGCTGCTACTATCGTCTTCTATGGTTTGCGAGAATTTGGGTATAAGATTTTGTACATTAAATTCGGGATTTTCATGATAATAGTTTGTCTGATCCATGGCCACTTGCTGCACTAGTGTATCAATCAGTTGATATTGGTAGTAGCTATGCAACAGTTCAGTATTCAATGGTCACCATGCATCTCCATTTGTGCATTACCTTTTCTCTGGATTGTCTTGGATTTTCAGCAGAAAGCACAAAATATTGTGCAAATGCTGGAATGAGGGTGTGTCTTGAGTGGCTTCCAGCAGCAGCTGAAGTACACTGGTTGGATCCAGATCGTAATAGGACTCCATTTCCTCCTGAATCGTGTCTGCTTCAATGTCGTCTCGAAATTTTTGAATGGCCAGGTTGATGTGCTCGTGATTCAATACACCCATTTTGGAGAACACGTTGCTGATGCCAGCTTGCTCTAGCTCATATCCCACCAGTAACCTCTCTTTTCGATCCCCAACCAAATCTGGTCTGATAAGTGTGTTGATGAACAAGATACTGATAAACATGTACTGTGTGATCTGCGAATCGCCTGCTCCCACCATGCCTGTCATTTTCAAGTCATTACTGGCTCCAACGGCTGATCCCATTTTTCCTCTGCCATCCAATGTCTTTTCAAGTGCCTGCATCCAAGCATCAAATCGACTAAACTCGGGTCCATACTGTTTCAACAATTCCATGCCATGCAGAACCATCGATCGTCCGTTGGGTAAGAAACAGAACGCTGTCAATGATTCACAAGCCTGTGTTCTTGCTGGTATAAAGGGTGATATAAGTGATATACAGAAGTTGTCAATGATGCGGGCGTGCTTGAACGCTTCTTGCAAGCCAGACTTTAAGGCGTCATTAGTTTTTATCACAGTCCACATGCCTCATCCCAAACTACCTTTTTGTTCATCAGGGTATCCAAGCATTTGAGTATCTCTAGTTCAATTTTGTGGTCATTTTGAGTTCTACAACGGCCAAGATTAGCTTTGGTTGTGCCTATTAGTGTGTTGTGCTAGTAACATACCTATCCTGCTTTTTGTGAATGGCACCAAGTTCCTTGGCTATGATTTGCATGCCACCCTCCTCAATAAAACACTCGAGCCAGCTGTGCTTAGGAATTTAGCAAACCTAAACTCTAGGTGCTGTCATGAGTATTACCTGTCTGATGTTCTAATGTAATACGATGCTTCTAAAATCAATTCGTAGCTGATGCCAGTTTCTCGCTGCTGTTGCTTGGAAAGCATTCTAATGTACTTGGATGGCGCTGATTTTCTTGTTGCTGTGGGCCTGGCTTTCCGGGCCACTGCAACTCGAGGCGTGAGGGGTGATTGCTCATCAGACAAACTGGCAAACTGTTCTGCACTCAGATCCAACTGTCTCTAGCAACACATACATGTCAGTGATTATCCCACCACACTCGCAAGGTGTTACCTACTGCTACTTGACTAAACAAATCTTCCTTTTCCTCCTCATCTTCATCCTCCTCGTCATCATCTGTATTGGAATGAGAGAAATCCGTATTGATCCATAGCTTATCTGGTCTTGAATTGATAAATGATTCCACTAATGAAAATGTTCATTGTATTAGCTGTGGTTGTCGCATGCAAATCCAAAAACAAATCGAATAGCAGCTGTACCTGAAACATTGTGAGGCTGAGGGGTATAGTTAGGAAACACATCCAGCCTATTCAGCGATGCCAGCGTCCTTTCCTTCTTAGCATTGATATTGTTGCTGTTACTCGCACTGGTATTGTTGCTGGTCGAGATACTTGACACTGAAGATATGGACGTTCTTCTGGTGTAGGGCCGTCTGCTGTTGGTTTTTCGGCTGTTGCGCTTATTTCCAATGTTGGATATAAAGTCCATGGTTGTTCAATAAAAAGCTCACACTCCCAAGTGTGGCATATATTGTATGGAAAAGAGGAAAGAAAGGTAAAAAACGACTACGAAAAAAAAGGAGAACAATAAAAATGGGAAACAGGGAAGATGAGATGTTACACATACTCTCCGTCACCTCGCGATCTGTTCACATTTTTGTGACATGAGGTTCAGGTAGCACACAAGGCATCTGTTGTAGAGTGATGCTTGCTCAATCTTCACATTTGACATAAAAGCGCCTGCTCCAAGAGCCGTGTATTTGGTGATTATGGGACCCAGTTAGCGCCAAATGATAGCCAATGCTTCACTGGCCCTCTCGCAAGAGTGCAAATGACGCTTCAAATCTCCAGGTAATCTGCATTCTATCATATAAAGAAACCTGTAAAGGCCAAATGATCGACAACAATAAACAATTAAGGCAGAAGGTTATAATAGATACAAGTGCTCCGGTTAATTTTGGTGAAATACTGTCATTTCCATAGTATATCGTAGAAATATAAACTTTCTAGCTTTCCCCCGTCTCCTGAGAAGCTTCTGTAACTGTGAATCTTACAATTTTAGAGTGTTCTACGCCTGTACCAATCAAAGAAACTCATCTACGGAAGACAAGATTTTAGCAGTTCCCTCTTTATACTCCATATATGCAGAGCACAGTAAAATCCAAGGGTATTTGAGCAGCGTTTTTTCGCGGCAGAAGCCGTTTTAGACCTTCAGAATAGCGCCAAACAATTGCTTTCGTCTAGCAGTTACTTTCTGATGTCTTTGCTCAGCTTTTTGGGAACCAAAAAAACATAGCCAAAATTCGACCAAAAAGCATGAGGTACCCCTCATGATTTTCATCGGAAATCAAACGATCGTGAAAATGAACACTTTTACTAAGGTATATATTAAGTCAAAATGATTGTATGGATTGAAAGCAACCCTTAAAACCTTTATTTGAGAAACCTTCATAGCAAAATCTCAACATTTTGGCCAAGATAGCAATTTCATATTTTGAAATATAGCTCAATAAATTTATTTGAATTATTTCTTATAGTTAGCACCATTGTATGCGCCTTGAAAATCACTCCAAGAAAGCTTAAGGGGGTGTGGGATGATGACCACAATTCACATGGTTGAATTCGGCAAAGAAGTTCTTTTTTTTTTTAAATTGTGTTTATTGATTGAGCCGCGTACACTAAGAGTAATAGGTCAGAGTGAAGAGGCGGGTGCAATTGAGAAATGAAAAAAATATAAATATAAATGGAAACTAAACTAAACTAACAAAAGGAACTATCTAACTATCTAAATTACAAGAGGGAATGGATTTGATCTTCATCCACTGTCTGTCGGACAGTGGAGTGGATATGTACCAGAATCGCCTCAGGGACAAAGATAGTGCCGTCAAAAACAAAGCGCATATGGGCTAGCCATATTTGAGACAGGGTGATGAGTAGGATTCTGTATGGATGGATGCCTTTGACTTGGGAGTACCAGATATCTGAAAAGTCCAGGGACAGAAGAGCCTCTTTGATGTCAGTGATGGACGTGGTGGGCCATAGGAACTCAAAAATGACGCCTTGCCATACCTTTTCTTTGGATGGACAGTCAAAGAGCAGGTGGCTGGCAGTTTCATTGGGAGACAAGCAGACAGGACAATTGTGGGACTCGAAAAATGCAGGCATCATGTAGTGTAATCTGCTTCTAGAAGGGATACAGCCTGCGATGAATCGGTATATCACATTACGTTGAATGTAGGTAAGAGACAGGGACCAAAAGAATTTCCAATTAGCAGCAGAGACATTTTGCAAGACCAAGGGCTGTTCCACCGACGACAGTACAGACAGACGAAATGTTTTGGCGGAAGCCTGAGCGTTTCTAAGAGATTGGCCATCGTGCAGACAAAATTGATCCACCAGCGGCGCAAAAGAGACTCCAGGATCTACTACAGGGGCTGGATTACACACTGGGAGGAAGTAGGGCTGGAATTTAAGAGTGCCAGATGCGAGGCCTCTGAACACTGTTGAAGGAGCTCTCTTCCACCTGAGGAGGGAAGGGTCACGAGTGTCTCTCCAATGTACAAAGTTAAGCCGGGCATCGTACTGAAATACATCAGAAACCATCATCTCTTTGACTTTAAGAGGAACAACCAGTGAGGAGGATGGAGGAACATAGAAAGCCGCCTGTAATGGAAGAGCCATGGCAGTTGCAGAATTGATCGGTGCCGCATCAAGCAAAGAAGTTCAATCAAGTCGATTTTAACCAGAATTTGGCCAATCTAAAGCAGGACCTGAGCGGAACGTAAACCAACGTTAGTAGCAGCAGAGGCTGGTGATTGGCGGTAATATCAATGCCACATGGATCAAGGCAGTAGATGCTTTTAGGAGCTCATTGGAATGGGATTGCAAATTGCAACTTTTTCTTAACTTTTTATTTGACTCCAAATGTTTAGTTTTATATTTGATTGTGCCAATTAGCCTGGGTTTCCATTGTAATATTGGTAAGCTTAATTTCACTTTTAAGGCTGTGCAAGTGTCTACACACTACAGTATGAAGCTCTTATATTGGGTGTTGGTGAAGTCGCCTTTATTAGTACATCTGCTGCCAATAGCTCCTGTGGTTGCTGACAACTATTTAAATGAGAAGATTGCACTGTGTCCTAATACATGGTGCTCGCACTGTTTTTATTAGGGCATGAATCTTGTGAATATGGATCATTGGCACCAGCTCTTACAAAGCCTTGTTACACTTTTCAATCAAACATCGTTTGATTTGAGCTAGTAGCAAAATAACAAATCTGATGTAAGAATGGAACGTAAGAGACGTAAACTTGCATGTTTGTTGATAGCTTAAACTAAGTAATAATTTGATTTACATTTACCAGGCCAAGCGTGGCTCATGCCTATAAATTATTGGTCTTCAATGGATAGGCGAGATGGCCAGCGGATAGCGCATGAGTAAAGCAATGCCTGGACCTTTAATCTTAAAGCTGTGCAGGTAAATTTGACGACTTATCAGCCTCGGTGGAGAGCCAAGGATAATTAAATGTTAACAGCATTTGGCCTGACTAGTGCAGCTCTACATAGTCATACAAACCACACACTTTTCATATCTGCTCAGTTTAATTGATAGGTTGCACCACTCTGTTACTAACCACATTTCTCTCATTGCATTGTACCTCAACATTGGCCTATGATAACTACAAGACAATGAACTCGTAATGATTCATAGGATCTGTACCGTGATGGCAAAGAAAAAAAGATAAACTTGGATTGCTCCACTTTTGCTAATCTCGCCGCTATTACATATATCAAGACGGACTCTATACATTAGCAATATACCACTGATTGATGAGCATGGCAGTAAATGTATCATTGGAAAACTGAAACGATCTCTTTATTTAGTTTCTTTTTAATCAAGATTCAAATGATTTATAAAAGCATGGGTGCTTGCTTCTGTACAGAGAGAGAGAGAGATTAAAAGATATTAAGTGTATAGGAATTAAGCCAAGAAAGAGGAAGCAAGGAAAGCACATCCGAGAACGGCAACTTGCATGAAAACGGTTCCAGTCAGACCAGAGCTCAAAGAGAAGGCAGCACTGTGGTTGGTGTTGGAGGGAGCAGCAGGAGATGTGTTGGTGGCACTAGCAGCTACGGATGAAGCCTTGTTTTGAAGAGATTCAATAGGGTTGGCTATCAAGAAAAACATCTCGTTAATATTGCCTTCTCCAGCACATCTTAATATGGCATCCATTTACCTGAGGATTGAGCTTGAACGACAGCAATGATGCATACAACAGCCAACAAAGTGAGGAAAGTCTTGGTGTTCATTTTGGATGATGAGAATATATGGTTTTTGTAAAGAGTAAAAAAAAAAGAAGAGGGCTTTATGCAACAGAACACCTTTTTATAACCGTTTTTGCTTTGTCATTGATATCGTATTTGGGTTGTTTATTATACCATCAAGATGATATCATGTCAAGACCATTACGAAACAGACATTCGGAGTTGGTTAAGGCTGTTTGTGTGTCGATGGACAAGGTATAAATAATGCTGTCATCGAGACATGATGAAGCGTTTTATACTAAACCTGGTTGGTCTTGCGAGGTAATCGTAGCATACATTTTCCTTTTTGGTGGGTCACTGTAGCACACGTATCACTGTCGGTTGCGTGTATTTTCTCATTGAGCCAAATAAAGAAGGCCAATGTATCCACATCCATTGCGCGCCTAAAAGGCACACACGAGACTTCAAGGAGGTACAGTTGGGTAAGCGCTGCTAACGTTAGCAGCTGCGTCTACTTACAGTGACATGTTATATTATATCAAAACAAAGTTGCTTCCAATCAACTTTAAAATTTTTAAAACCCTGTCAAATATAGAGTTTTGGATGCATGAATCCGAGCTCTGGTATTTGTCAACATTGCCATGAACAGACTGCACCTTCTAATAATGAATTCATAGGGCCGTTTTCCATCAAAGAACATATGCATTTTGTAATGCTTCATTTCAGATGAAGAATAGCATGAGTTTGCTTGTGGTGATTGACGACAAGTAGTAAGCGCTTGTCTAGCTGGATATCATTCAATTCAGGCACATACTCTAATAGGTCAGACCACTGGCTAAACTTTTATATTCAACAATACATGTATAAGCGCTCTCGTCAAGCACCATCTCTCCAACGCCCTGCTTTTCTTGTCGTTCTTCTTTTTGTTTGTCTCCTGATGCTCTTCTCGCCCCTTAAACTTTTACATGTAGTCAAATGTTATCGATACCTGATTTCACTGTTTACTACTGCCATCGCTATATCATAAAATAGCCATCATCTCATTCACAGACAACTCCTTTTCTTATCCCCTTTTCCACTCTTTCAAATAAAAATGACATCTCCTAAAATACTCTTTCTCTCTCTTTTTTTTTTTAATACTCTTCATTGACTAGCTCTCGCAATTAATAGGTAAAACGTTGCTTGGGCCTAGTAATCATTAACTTTACTGACAAACTCAATGATGTAGCATAAAATGGCAGGCTTTCCTTCTTGGGCTATTGCGCTGGTGTTGATTACCGTCATCACAATGGCATCTTCGGCCGTGTATGTAATCTTTAAAAAGCGAGTTGGCAAAAAGAGAACAACAGTAGGCACTCAGGAGGGATCCATTTTAGAAAAGAACATTGGCTCCTATCAATCTTCGTCTGCTTACCCTGTAAAACCATTGGTGCAGCAGTTCAACCACGATGCTTCAACCAGCACGTTTAAAAACAACTCGAATGCCACTATACCACTGCCATCAGCACTATCCCCGCCTTACACCTACACATCCCATCTTGACGAAAAGGGCAGCTTACCACCCCCCGTATCATCTGTGCCTGTAAAAGACGATAATGCTTCTTCAGTCTGGACTGATGGAATTAAAATTAATTTACCTATGCCTCCTCCCAGCTCATCCTTCTTTGCCGACAAAATGGAACTGGACTCGATAGAAGCAAACGACATTTACAATGCGTATCTGACACAGCAACAGGAATATGTCTCTATTGATTTGGACGATCCAAAGCCATTCCTATCCTCTGCAGCTGCAACCCTTCAGCAAAAAACTGCCACTATACGCAGCACACTGCGTCAATCAATGCGCAGAAAATCAACATCCAATAAATCGGGTAGCATTGCCCCCTTAAATCAGCTCTTCGACACCATGAGCAACAATACCAGTGCCAGCAGCATTCGATCGCCTACCAAGAGCTCTGCTGAGAGTACTCGCATGAGCAGACAGTCATCCTCTACGTCGTCTCGCTTTCCTCGATCTCTCACTGGACATTCAACGCCTTCATTGCCAACTAGCGGGCTGCCTCCACCATCGCCTAGACCAGATTCTCCTTTAGAATACTTTAATCGCAATAGCAGTAAGAAATCGTCGGTGCGTCATGAACCACCTGAAGATGCGGAGACTCATAGTAATAAGATTATGATTGATACCATTCCACCTGAATCTTACTTTAGTCTGCCAATGTCACCATCAACGCCATCTCCACTGGGATTGAGAGCCGCAAAAGCATCTACGACACCAGTACAATCTCTTCCAAAGACGTCAGCAGCAATGGATACAGACTACTCTATGGTCCATGAAATTAATACATACGATATAGACCAGGAAGACGAAGATAGTCATCACTCCAATCAAGAAGAAGAGGAGCCAGAGGAAGAAGAGGAACCAACTACTACCAACACAGGCACTCCATTGGAAGCAGCATCTGCGGCTCGGAAAGTCATTCGATCAGCATCTCGTAAATCTCGCACTCGATCCATGATTATCACGGATGAGGCAGCTCAAGTCATGTTCTCCAGTTTTGCGAATGATCAGATACCCTCCACACCTACATCAAGCTCTGTTTCAAAGTATGCTACACTAAGAGGCGCCAACAAGAAGAATCCATACGATATTGCCCTGGACATCAAGAGCTGGACATCGATCCAGAGCAAGACTACCGAAACAAGTCCTGATTCACCAAACCCAAAACGAACTCTAATGAGCTCCAACATATCTGGCTCAGCAACAGTGTCTGGCAAAAGAGCAATAAAATTACAGCAATCCAGCATCAGTCATCAGGGTGGTAGCAGTGATAATTTACTTGCAGGTCGAAAGGATACTACCACACCAAGCGACAAATCTAGAACCACTTCATTTGCAGCAAGCCCTAAATCTCTGAAAAGTCTATTCAGCCGCCCCTCTCAAGATAGTATAGTTCAAAAGGATCAACAGGTATATGAAAACAGCGATTCTATCGTAATACCCTCATCAGCTCGCACTTCGCTGAGTATTGTCATCACTGACATTCATCATTTGGAGAGCAGCACACAGCAAGAGTCTGCCCCTGGCTCTCCTATCACCATGGAACCAACCTCCCCCTATTCATCGAACAATAATACGCTTAGAAAAATGGGCAACAACGTGGATACAATCATAAGAATGCTACAATCATCTTGGAGCGGAAATAATCTAAAGGAAAGTGGATCTAATCACAGTCTATCATCCTCTTCAGCTGGAGATCGAACGAGTTCTTACATGGGCAGTGTTGGATCCAGTTACAAACCTGTGGCTTCTCCTTTAGGCAGTGTCAACCCAAGACTTCAAAATCAGCATCTTGTGTCCCTGTCTCTCAAAGCGAGCACCAGTCAAGCAGCACGTAGTCGGCCTTCCATGCCCATTGGATTCATGAATGAGGATGGTTCCTTAGAAGGAGGAGGAGAACCAGCACCTACAGCATCGTTCTCATCATCTACTGTGCGTACCATGATCCCTGCAGAGGAGGTAGAAGGAGATCAGTCTAGATTGAAGATGCAAGAAAAGAAATCAACCGTGTCTGGCCTACTTGGATCACGACAACAAAATAAGTTGCATCAACCATCGAGATTGGGCAATAACAGAAAACAAGTACAGCAAACTGGCAAAACACCGGCTCAAAAAGAGCGCGAAAAGTATCTTAAATCATTAAAGGCCTAAATTATTAAATAAACTATTTATTTCATCTATGGGTATTGGTGGAATCTCATCTCATGTTCCATTCAGGGGTAATATACATTATACGGACGAATCCTCTTTTCTGATAATAATGACTTTCGAATATCCTGATATACAAACAACACAAAAAAGCACTGTGCCGCTCGAAACAGCTTTCAGATAATCTCGATGACTGGGATCTCATGCAGGAGGATCAAGGCACCAAGCGTTACCATAAAGTTAATAATAGCTATCCTCTTCTGCCCATTGTTCGTATTGAAGCTGTAATTCAGGGTCATGAATTGATGCCTGAACAAGTGGCATCTGTCATTACTTTGCCTGGTTGTCGAGAAATCTGTAAGTTGCCAACATATAAGATAGACATGCATTGACAATTTCATACACAGGGGATGAAAGGCTGGGCTGTGTTGAAATCAGAGCAACGTATCATGTCCAAGAATATCTCTTTTGGCGCAGATGTTTAGCCAATTTCCCTCATGGCAGGGCAAAATATTATCCTCGTGACATGGCTAGCATCGCATTGCGCGAGGTCTCCAATACAGAATTATTTGTTGTCATGACATCCGTGGTAGATGGTGCTATTCCAAACGAAATTCACAATGTGCACGCCCATCTGGACCTGTCTGGATGGCGAATTATACGAATGAAAACAGGAATTTGCATCGTATACATTACACAAATCGACTTGAATGGACATCTACCAAAGACATGGCTCGACTACACAGCTGGCTAGCTAGCAAAAGGCACCAGCAAAGTCGCTGCTTACATGGAGCGGCACGGGTGTCCTCCTACTATCATTGACTGCACTGCAAGCCTCCGAAATGAAGATTTCAATCACAATACGAAAGAATACTGTTGTATATTGGATGGTTCTGGTCACATCAAATGGGACATCTCAGGAAAAATGTACCCCAATGGCATTCACGTTTGAATAGACGGTAACTATGGTAACCTGCAAATAATTGCTCACCCTGACAGCCGTGAAAACTACATTGCTATCTTGAAAGGTGTTGATGGCCTCATAAGCATGAAAACAACGAAGAGATAAATCGGTTTAAAACAGTAGATAGCTTTAAGGAACAGCCCAACAATGGCATTTACAGGGGAAATAGAATGTTTTATTAGAATTGAATCAATGCTGTCGTATAGTGGGTTTGATTTTATAATACAAGATAATTAATAAAAGGGAAATGGGTGTATATATTGTTAGTGATGTGTGCTGACTCTCTCGTTCTCTAAAACCCATTGGTGTGTTGTATTTGGGATGGATGCGGGGAGTTGGATTGCGAGCTGGTGCTGGCCGTACTCGAGCTTTTCACTAGATAATGCTCTCTGTAATGCTCCAACATCTCCACTGCCAACTCTGTAAATATGCCATGTTAGCAAATGAACCCAACACAGCACACGTATATACACCACTTACCGTATACTTGTCCAATGTCAATGTCGTCTAGCATTTCAAACCAGTTTTCGCTTAACTTGTCTGTAGACGATAGATTGGTTGCCAGTAGTAAAGCAGCAGCAGCAACTACTTTGGGTCTATACAACAGACACAACGGCGCACCCAAGCTCTGATACAATAACATCCATGCTTTCCGTATTGACGATGATGACACTTGTCCAGTCAGTTGATTCTCTAATTCCAGCAAAATGGTATGTGGGTGTTCGACTGATAAATCAAAGCACAGGGTCTCCAAAACTATAATCTCATTGTACAGTAGTGTCTCTTTCCAACGTATAAAGTCCTGAATGTCATGTTAGATGCCCTGCCTCACTCTCTCCTCTAGATGCCTCTCACTTTTTCATCTTCTTCCAACTTGAGCTTGTCGTTCTTTTGTCCCTTTTGAGCACAGGCAAGGACAATGTCTCTCAATCGGCGCGTACACTCTTCTACTTTGGTAGCAACAAACAGGCAGGTGGCGGCAATTTCCTAAGGAGTAACGCATAAGACACACGTTCAGTACAAGCACATTTAGCATACATACATAAACATGGTAGTATTTCATGGATCGTCGCATAAAGAATCGATGAAAGTAGGTGGTAGCTGTAGCGACGACCAGCTGGGGTCTATATAGCGTCTATTAGCACACTGCAATGTAAAGAAAAGTGATGATTGTTTCTTTACAGATTTAGCTTTGCACCCACAGACAGCAGGTAATGACAGCCTTTGATACGGTCCATTTGCTCCTCTTCGAATGATTTGCCATCAAGAATCGTAGGTGTGTCTTGTATTTCCTCCTTTGTAAAATACCACTGAAGCACAAACAAGTTGGAAACATGTATTTCTAGTCAATCCTTTTATGCAATTTTTTACCTGTGCAATACTCATACTCCTTGCTGAAAAAGAACTGGAGAATTTCATTCTCTCTCTTTTTTTGTGAGTGAGTGTGCGGGTGGCTTTCCTATAAAGAGTTTTGCCCTTACAACACGTCATCTTGCGGAGATAGCCTCCTTGGATCCAACATCTAGCTGCCAAATGTTACTTGAGGGGAGATCACCGCATGATGGATGCCACCAAGGTGCCCAGATGCTCAGTAGAGGAGATCTTTCAAGCGATCAGTTCATCGAAATACAAAAGACATTAGGGCAGCATCCAACAGAGGCTCGGCTAATTGACTGATTTGCATATGTCAACATGTCGATGAAAATCACCGCTCTGTATTTCTTGAATCTTTACCCAATTTGGGGTGGATATTCTTTGTATAAAAGGGTCCTGCTTATAGTCTTGCCTTTTTTTCTCTTTTTCTTTTTCTTTTTCTTGCTCTTTCTTAGTATACATTAAATACCATGTCAATAGAACCAGAATCAGGCTTTGACGCTAGCCAAGCAGTGCAAGTTTACTCAAAAGGCACAAAGGCCTGGTTTCCAGACAAGGAAGAAGGATGGATTTCAGCTTCATGTACTACTAACACCATCGAGAATGACAAGGTGACGATTTCATTTCAAGATGACATGGATGGCAAGGAGCACGTATTCGAATCCACCATGGCGGCCATCCACAAGACACAGGGATCTACCTTGCCACCGCTTCGAAATCCACCCAAGATGGAATACACGGATGATTTGACCAACTTGAGTTACTTGAACGAGCCTGCAGGTAAGATGGCAGATTGGGCGTTTAGTAACAGAGAGAGAGAGAGATCACTAATGATATTTTATCAGTATTAAACACGATTAGAACCAGATACATGCAACATTTAATATACACCTATTCCGGCATTGTGCTGATTGCTGTCAATCCGTTTGATCGTGTCTCTTTGTACGAGCCTGATATTGTGCAGCAGTACTCTGGCAAGCGACGTGGAGAATTGGAGCCGCATTTATTTGCTATTGCAGAAGAAGCGTATCGATGCATGATTAGAGAACAGTCGAATCAAACCATTGTGGTGTCAGGAGAGAGGTAAGTTGCCAAGCAAAGGGCTACACTTATAGAATGCTGACTGCTTTCATAGTGGTGCTGGCAAGACGGTAAGCGCCAAATTCATTATGCGTTATTTTGCTACTGCAGATGATCAGGAATCATCAGGCAAGAAAAAGAAGAAATCAGATGGGTCAATGACAGAAGTGGAAGAGCAAATCTTGGGTAACAATAAAACGAGTGTGTATGTCGTACAGCATGATGATATTCATTTTCTCGTTTAATATAGCAACAAACCCAATTATGGAAGCATTTGGTAATGCAAAAACAACTCGTAACGACAACAGTTCACGTTTTGGCAAGTACATTGAAATCCAATTTGATGCGGATGCCAACATTATTGGTGCCAAGATCAAGACATACCTACTGGAGAGGTCAAGATTGATTTTCCAGCCTGAAACTGAGCGAAATTATCACATTTTCTATCAGGTAAGCTGAGAGTGTGTACACAGAAGTCATGGTATGTGTGTATGACTGACACGCAAAGCTGCAGCTTTGTGCTGGTGCACCTGCCAAGGAAAGGAAGGATTTCGAGTTGGGTGAGTATTCAGATTTCCATTATTTGAACCAGAGCGGCACGGGCGAGATTCCAGGCGTGGATGATGCAGAGGAATTCCAAGTGACGCAAAAGGCGCTGTCGACAGTGGGACTATCGGTTGATTTGCAGTGGAAGATATTCAGAGTGCTGGCGTGCTTATTGCACATTGGTAACATCAAGATCACTGGTAGAGGTGATGCCATGGTGTCAGACACAGACGATGCCCTGTTGACAGCAGCCCGGTTGTTGGGAATCAATACTATGGAGTTTAGAAAGTGGATTGTCCGCAAGCAGATCATCACACGCTCAGAGAAGATTGTCACCAACCTGAACCCCACACAAGCACATGTCGTCAAGGACTCGGTCGCAAAGTACATTTACTCCAACCTGTTTGATTGGCTGGTGGGCGTCATTAATGACAGCTTATCGTGCCCTGATGTCGACAAAGTCAAGAATTTCATCGGTGTGCTGGATATCTACGGCTTTGAACATTTTAAAAAGAACTCGTTTGAGCAATTCTGTATCAACTACGCCAATGAAAAGTTGCAGCAGCAGTTCAATCAGCATGTATTCAAGCTGGAACAAGAAGAGTATATGCGGGAAAAGATCAACTGGACATTTATCGAGTTTAGTGACAATCAAAAGTGCATTGAGATGATTGAAGGAAAATTAGGCATCCTGTCTCTGTTGGATGAAGTGAGTTTTTTTCTTTGGATAGTTGTGTGTGTAGTCTATAGATTGACATGTGCGCTTTAGGAATCTCGCTTGCCTGCAGGAACGGATAACGCTTTCTGTCAGAAACTATACGACAATTTCAGTACACCCGAATACAAAAACTACTTTAAAAAGCCTCGATTCTCCAGCGAAGCATTCACTATTGCACACTATGCGCACGACGTACAATATGAAGCCGAGAATTTCTTGGAAAAGAACAAGGATTCCGTGCCTGATGAACATCTTGAACTGCTACAAAACTCTGAATTCGCGTTTTTGCACGAAATATTAGCCAAAGCAACCGAGGCAGCAAATCAAGTGACATCCAAAGAAGCCAAGCGCAAGAGCATGATTAACAGAAAACCAACACTCGGCTATATCTTCAAGCACTCACTCATCAGTCTTATGGATACCATTGGCAACACCAACGTGCACTATATTCGATGTATCAAGCCAAATGAAGCCAAGGTTGCTTGGGAGTTTGAACCACCTATGGTACTGGCTCAACTACGTGCCTGTGGTGTCTTGGAGACGATTCGTATTAGTTGCTTAGGATATCCTTCTCGCTGGACGTTTGAAGAATTTGCTGATCGCTACTATGCTCTTGTGCCTTCGCAGCACTGGGACCCCAAGGCCAATCCAGACGTACGAGAGCTGTGTCAAGTGATATTGGATGCCTGCATTACCGACACGGATAAGTACCAAGTCGGCGAGACAAAGATCTTTTTCCGTGCTGGCCAATTAGCCTATTTAGAAAAGCTGCGATCTGATAGATTTGATGTCTGTGCCACTGTGCTCCAAAAGAACATTCGTCGATTCGTGTATCGCCGCCGCTACTTGAGAATGAGGGAAATGACCGTCAAACTGCAATGCCTTGCACGTGTGTTGATTGCTAAGAAACAGATCAAGCAACTCAAGCAAGAGAAGGCGGCCATCATCATCCAAAAGAACTTTAGACGAGTCAGTGCGCGCAAGGCATATATGCAAAAGAGAGACCTAATTGTCAAACTGCAAGCATTGGTGCGTGGACGCAAGGCCCGTCAAGCCTATCAGCAACTGAGAGAGAACATGGCAGCCATCCAAATCCAACGCCATGTGCGTGGTATGCTCGCTCGCAAATGGTACAAGACGCAGGTACAGCATGTCATCTTCTTGCAGTCATGCGTGCGTCGTCGTGCTGCTCGTAAGCAATTACTCCAGCTGAAGGTGGAAGCCAAATCTGCCAATCATTTCAAGGAGGTTTCCTACAAATTAGAAAACAAGGTGGTGGAATTGACACAGGCTGTAACCACACTAAAATCTGAAAAGAACGGATTAGCCAAGACAGTAGCCCAGCTCGAGTCACAGATTCAGCACTGGCATGATAAATACGCGAAATTAGAAGAGGAATCCAAGCTGCAACAAGGCAACTACGTATCTCGCTCAGAATTAGACGCTCTCAAAACCACTTTAGATACTATCACTACCGAGAGAGATGTGCTACGAGAGAAGAATACCAACTTGGAAGCCACAATAGAACAACTGCAACGCGACTTGACAGCCGAAAAGGACAAGCAGGTTCTGTTGGCCACTAGCACCAAACCCACAGCTGCAGATTCACACGACGTTACAGACAACGAACAAGTCGCTGATCTCAAATCTCAAATCATTGCCCTGAAAGCGCAACTCGCAAAAGCAATGCACACGCGACAAGGCTCACTGGCACCCATCAAGCCAAACAGCACCAACAGAACTATGTCTCCCTCAGCCAACAGTCGACGTCAATTCTCTCGCATAGCGGTAGATGAAGAAGCACAAGACAGCATCAAACCACTGGGTAACAACAGTAATCACACACTGATAAACAGAAAATTACGTCGCAACAGCTCTGCAGAGGTTACTGGTAACATTCCCAAGACATCCATCGATCAAATCCGCAAAGCAGAGGCATTAGGCAGCAGAAATCCTCGTCCTACTTCTGTCGGCCAGTCCAACACCATTGCTGGTGGCAAGAGTAGCCGCTTAGACGTCATTTCGGATAATCCCGAAGAGGAGATCAATGCTATTCTGCGCCAAGAAGAGCCCTTGCTAGAAGAAGTCTTGGAAGGACTCATCAAATCACTCAAGCTGCCGCTTCCCAGTGAAAAAAACGCACCCTCGCATAAGGAGGTCATGTTTCCTGCCCATCTCATCAGCATGTGTGTCAACGATATGTGGCGCATTGGCTACAACCGTGAATCTGAAAATCTGCTCTTTTCTGTTATGGACACCATTACAAAGCAATGCTTGGGTTTCGTGGGTGAAGATGCTGTCATTCCTTGTGCATTTTGGCTGACCAATGTGCACGAACTCCTGTCACTGGCAGTGCAATCAGAGAATCGCATTGAGGCAGAAATGGAGGCAAGAGGGCATTCCATTGGCTGGAGAGAATTCGAGAAACTGCTCCAAAATATCAAGTATGAACTGCAGTGCTTAGAGGACAACATTTACCACACATGGATGAAGGAGATCAAGAAAAAGTACAGTAAAATGGTCATTGCTGCTGTCATTGAGAGCCAATCTCTGCCTGGTTTCATCACCAACGATTCAGGACGTTTCTTTAACAAGCTGCTTTTGGGAAGCACAGGACCCGCCTACAGCATGGATGATTTGCTCAGCTTTCTCAACAAGGTCTACCGCACCATGAACTGCTACTTTATGGAGCAATCCATTGTGAACCAAGTCTTGACAGAAATTCTCAAAATGACGGGTATCATGGCCTTTAATGACTTGTTGATGCGCAAGAACTTTTCATCCTGGAAACGAGGTAAGCGGGTATACTTGATTCAGTTTAGATAAGCAATTAACCTAGATTATACTTCAATTTCAGCCATGCAAATTCAATACAACATTACACGTATAGAGGAATGGTGCAAGAGCCATGGCATCCCTGAAGGAACGCTGCAACTGGAACACTTGATGCAGGCTACTAAATTACTCCAGTTCAAAAAGGCCACTTTGGAAGACATTGAAAACATTTACGATGTTTGTTGGATTCTGTCACCTACGCAAATCCAGAAATTAATCTCTCAGTACCATGTGGCAGACTACGAAAACCCAATTTCACCAGTGATACTGCGTGCTGTGGCTGCACGTGTTGTGAGTGGCGATAAGAGTGATGTGTTGCTGCTGGATTCTGTCTCAATGGATGAAACGACAGTGCCTTATGAGATTCCAGGCCCTCGTGAAACAAAACCCTATCTCTATCTGCCAGCTTGGTTGAACTTGAAGCGCATTCGCCGTCTCACCTTATTGGAGAGTGTGCTTGCTGAACGCGATGCTCAACAGATAGATAGCACTTTGCCTACTGCAGCAGCTTAAGTATGTTCTTTTTCAGTAATTTGTATCATTCAATAAATAATAAAACAGCATTGTATATATTTATAATTAGAATGTTAATCACGGTGGATTTGATTGCGGAGGCATGGGTGTGAATTTGCAAGAATGCAATGTGGGATGGCCATAGCTGTTGCTGTTTGTGTATCTTCAATGTGAAATAAGAGTGAATGGTCATATTGGGAGAACAAAAAGCTGGTTTGGTCTTTTCTCTATTGTCAATAAACGCCCAAGCATAAGATTTTTTGGCTGAGTAATTTGGCATTTTATAGCAATTGGCGCAGGCAATGACAGAGGATAGCTAATCATCAGGCATTAGGAAAGCCTTAGATACAACGGTAGACGTATGTTGCAGTGCTTTTCATCCATAAAATAAGGCAATATACATGCTTATGGCCTAAACTGATGCTTCTCTAAATCTGCCGAGTAGCACTGGCTCCCCAGCAAGAATCCAACAGGACCACTATTCATCAAGATATATTGAGCTTTGCCCTAGTTCAATAATACAATTCCAACTTGTTGATGCTTTGAATTGCTAAACAACGGCAGATTCTTCACTCGTAATATTCGAATCACTTGAGATATAGCGTATATGTACGACTAATTGATTAATGCCTCCAAAAACTCTACATTTCAAACCGAAACAGATGCAGTGTAAACCATTGCACCACCTATTTCTCTTTGTGCCTAATCAATGAAAACTGGGGACCATCCTTGCTTGCTGTTTATCATCTTGTTTCGACAATTCAGTGTTAGCCTTACATCAGGCAGCTCTCTGCAAGCTGGACCAATGTCAAGGACAGTATGATCCCTAGAATACGTGACTGAAAAGATCATTGTCGAGCAAAATGCTGCACAATCCATCAAACATCCTGCGAGTGCGGGTTTCTTGGTCTTGTACTCTCATGTGAGAGCCCTCTTTAAATGTAAATCTAATTTCTTAAGGATGCTCCACATCTGTATTTGTGGAAACAGTTCATAAAAGGGCTAATACTATGCTTGCATTACCTCTTAATACTCAAACCTATGCAAAACACAGCAAAATTTGGATGTATTTGAGCCGTGGTTTCTCGCTTTATAAGCCGTTTTAGATTGCCAAAGTAGCACCAAACAGTTGCTCTCACCTAGCGGTTACTTACGGAGACCTTTGAGCGATTATTTTGGGATCTCGAAAATATCGTCAAAAAGCATGAGGGGTACCTCATGGTTTCCATCGAAATTCAAACGATCCCGTTTTTTATCGTAAAAATGAAGGCTTTTACTATGGTATATATTAATTCAAAATATTTCTCTCAATTCAGGGCAGCCCCTGAAACCATGTTTGTGGGACCTTGATATGTAAAATCTCAACATTTTCGCCAAAAACGTTATTTCATAATTTCATGAATTGCTCAACAAGTTCAATTATAATATCTATTATACCCAACACTGTTGGATGCGCATTGAAAAGTTCTCCTAGATAGCTTAAGGCTGTAAAGGATGATCACTACAACTTTCATAGTCGAATCTCGTAAAAATAAGTTGATCGAGTCGCAAAAGGATCAAAAATCAACGAATCGTGACAGAAAGTCGAGCGGGATTGTAATCCGTTTTGGCTGGCTAAAAGAAGACTCTCCTTGATTGCTCAAAGCCCTATAATAGAACGGCAATAATACCCACAGAAACGATTATACGAGAAAGCGAGACTCCTTCTCAAATGGGTAGCGTACCCAACGTGAGACCCAAAAAGAACAGGTTGGTGACATGGGACGAGCGTGACATGATCCAAAGCAACAGAATAGCACACAGACAAAAATGATATTGCAGGTGAAGTTTAATTCAGAAATCTCCTTCTTTTGGAAATCCCACGGCCTTGTTTGATGAATTTCGCGATGTGCACTTGACTTAGAACCCTGAAAATAGTACCATTGAATTCCTCAAGTGATTTGCTTTCTAATGATGTACATACCTTCTAATAAAATATCCTCTCTTTGACCACAAATTGGCCATTTACTTGCTTATCTCTCTTCAATTCATGTCCTTTTGTTTACTTTACATGTGATTTTTTTAAAGCATAATTTTGCCTAGCAAATGAATTATTTTGATCTTGCATGATCCGAATACCTTCTAAAAGAGGACGATCCCTAAAAAAATGATATGAAACGTGTTAAACTCTTTATGAGATGCATGCTCTTGGCATAAGAACTACAAACAGGTTGCAGGAATGATACACAAGAATGACCAACTCACTATGTAAATGTGGGCATATTGATGATATCTAGTAGCGCAAACACTTTGATTGACATCATTGACAGCAACCATGACAGCTGGAAACAAGATGATTTGCACTGGTTCGAAAACGATCCATTATGTTCCATTCCATGGAGATTGCCGCAGTAATATTCATATGGCACGCTTGTTTTCCGAGGTGTACACTTGTTTCTTGGTCCAGAATCAGTTATGCTGGCTCCGATGTGATGTAAACGACAAGAAAGCCAACCTTAACACTCGTATTGTCCGATTAGATGGACAATTTATGGCTGATGTAAACAACAAGAGAGATGGATCGAGAACCGTATGATCTTGGAGAGAGAAATTAAGGAGAGGTAAAAAAAAAAAAAAAAGATTACTTAATCAAGCAACCAGCTGCATCTGTTTCAGTGTCAAATGACATTTTTTGTTTACTTTTTGATGAGGCTGAGCCAGTGAAAAGTTGTCTGTTAATTACATCTAGGAAGAGATAGGGGAACTCGTTTCATGTGAAGGTGGAAAAAGGACTTTTTGAAGTAGCAAAATGGACATAACTCGAGACAGAAAACAGTTGAAAGCCTCGGACGAAGCGGATCAAATAGAGCAAGTGTCAAGCGTCAAAATGGTACTATTTTCACGCGCTCAAAGTAGTATATCGTGGAGAAAAGTAAAAGGAAACGAATTTGAGTGTGGCAAGGATACTAGACTCACATGAAAGTCGATGAGAAGGATATAAATAGGGATTTTTTTCAACAGCTTTTCCCTCTTCTTCTTCATCTCATCTCTCTACAACAAGCAAAATACAATACTCTATACATACAAACTCTCTACAAGACATTTGGGCTCTCTCTCTACATATGGTCAAGTAAATCAAATACTCTACTGTCTATTGGCCTCTACTACTGCTACATACAATGCCTTACAAATCCATGGTCCTCTCTACGTCTCTTGGTCCATGCTAGAAAAAGGCCACACTATCTTTGATACATGCAGACCTTGGTGAACTGTGCGAGTAAGTTATTATCTTGTTGGACGTATGAGCCATGTTGACTAACCTATTGATTACATAGTGCCGAAAAACTACTTTGTAGGGACTGAGTAGGATCACCGCTTCATAATCATGGGTAGACTGCGGGACAAATCCATTGGTCATGCTACGGGATGATCACAAGCTTTATTGCTGACGAGAGTAGGGTTTGACCCTATGATCCGGAGATGGAGGCGGCTTGAGCGTGTCGATGATCTTGTGATAGGTGAAGCAAGTTTACACCTTGGTACCTGTTTATATAGTGTTGGTTCCTTTTTATTGATGGTCAATTTTCATTGCCCAAATGGTTTGTTACGCACTCATGCCTGCAGTACTTGTGTACTTATCTCATCTTTATCTAGTTACCTCTGCCATCTCATGTTCTATCTCATCTAAAGCAAGCTGTTCTCTCCAAATACTATCAAGCCAAGTTCTCTGTGCTTCCTACAAGCTCCTAAAATGACAAGACTGTTCAAATATACCATCTCTACATCTATACAAGGTCAAGCCCTACTCTCATCTGTGCTTCCTCTTACTCAATCAATTATCAAGACAATTAATGCCTGACATCTATACAAGGCCAAGTCGTTCTTATATCTCTGCTACCTCTATCTATACAAGTCAAAATAACCTCAAAAATCTGAAATATTTTAATCCATCAAGTATGGTGATCTCATAAACTCAAATACACATTAATAAAAAACAACCACGTCTTGTCATTAGCTTCAATATTATGTTCTTTTATGATTACATCTACTTTCAAAGTTTGTACTGCCCATTAATTGCTGTAACCAATGTACATTAAAGCTTGTACATAACTTAATCATATACATATAATTTTAACGTCAAGAGATTTTGCCTGTATGTAAGCTATCATTACAAAGCTGTATCTGTATATTGGATTTGGGGCACATAAGTACCTAATTATGTTTAAGAGAGGTCATTCATCCATGAGTTGATTCTCGACAAGTTGGCAGTTGAGTACTTTGCTCTTGGATAAATTCCGTGACAACATTTGTGTGATCAATCTAAGGTGCACTTTTTCTTCTCTGCTTCTTTTCCCTTTTCTTCCTTTTTTTTTTTCCTTTGCTTGTTTAGTTTGAAGCTGCGTGTACACAAGAAACCTAAAAGTTTGATGCAGTTTGAGCACGCCATGCTTGACGGACACTCGCTGCAAGGGCTATCATTAGTGGTGAATCAGATAAGCCATCATTACTTATTGAGGTAATACGTTGAACATGTTGCGCCTAGATTAGGTCGGATTTGCTGCCTGGGGCTGCCAACACTCAATGTCGGGATCACTATCTTGGCAATAGGAACAAGGCGGCAAAAAGTCTGAAATGCATGCTGAAGCACATCATTGGGATGAAACCAAAATTGGATAACAAGAATGCGAGTAAGATCCAAGTCTATGATGTTCATATTACCGTAATTTTCTTTTCTGTGTATATATAGTTAGGACACTCTAACAAATGTATGTCTTTATATTGTAGATTTCAAAATAAGAGTATATTGCTTGCTTGACCATAAACATTGTTACATTTTTTATCAAGGTCGACTCCTTTACACATGTAGAAGCTGAAAGGAATGCGTGTAGTGTTTTGGTTCTATTTCCCAATTACCCAATATCTTTCTCTTTTTCTCAATAGAAATTTTGCAAAGAAAATGATGGTGTAGTTGTATTTTTGAATGGAAGAGTTGTTGTTGAGAAACAGATAGTTTCCAAATATATATGTCTAGCTCCTCTCAAGAAACTGAGGTCAATAATAACCTTATGATACAAAGTGGACAAGAAACACAAAGAATACTCTAATTCTCATTGATGCTACTTGTAGGTTTTGCTCATATTTATGATAAATCATATAATAGTGTGGATGAAGGCATATTGACCCCTTTTTTTCATGTGGTACATGTATAAAAAAATCTCACTTAAATACAGCTTTACACGTTTCGTTCTAGAGTGTGCAACATGAGCTTTCAATTTAAGGTTTATTTGCTATTAATCTTGTGCAATCCTGTAATTTTAGTTAATAAAATGAAGAAAAAAACTTGTTTTTCACCATTTAAGGTCTTTTTATCTCTTTTCTGTATGTTGATTCTACACTTTGCTTGCTTTGCCGTATGGTTTATAGCGAGTACGGTGCTCGCACAAGAAAACGCAGGCCCAGCACAGCCAGCATTGATGGATTCTAGCAACTACATTGTGGTGTTTAAACCCAACGTCAATTCTCTAAAGATCAGCAATCAAATACAGCGCATGCAATTACACCAAGTTGCCTCCAATAAAACCATCGCATCATCATCAGCATCAGCACCATCATCAGTAAATACAACATCACACTCAACCAACAACAGCAGTAACAGCTACAGTAGCATTGGAAAATTTAGATGGTACTCGGCGCGATTTCATACAGAAGCCATAGAGCACATGTTGACGACAAATACATCCACTACGACAACAGCGAATAACATCACATTCAACACAGACGAAAATGATGCCGTCCATTATTACGTCAAAGATGCCACATTTTCATTGCAAGAATTCATACAGACAAATCCTCCAAGCTGGGGCATCGACCGAATAGATCAACGTCAGGGCACAGATGGGCGATATTCATTTGCCACCAGTCAAGGTGAAGGTGTCACCATCTATTTGATGGATTCTGGTATCCGCCAAGATCATACCGACATAGCAGGCAGAGTCAAAATTGGCAAAACTATTGTTGGCGATGTGAACGATCCCTCAGATGCCAATGGTCATGGTACCTTTGTTGCAGGTGTTTGTTGTGGAACGAAATATGGTGTTGCAAAGAAGGCGGAGATCGTCTCTGTGAAAACACTAGACAGCCAAGGCAACGGACATCTCTCTGACGTTCTTGCTGGTCTAGAATGGATTGTTCAGCAGCACAAGGCGACTCCCAACCCAAAGAGTATCGTCAAGTAAGCCCTGATACTAACATGCTTTCCCACACAAATTCACTCATGCTTGATGCATAGTTTATCATTAGGTGCACTATACAGTCAAGCTACCAATGATGCTATTCAAGAGGCTATTTCCCTGGGTATTCATTTTGTCATTGCGGCTGGCAATTATGGTGAAGACGCTTGTAAATACAGCCCTGGATCAACACCTGGTGCCATCACTGTAGGTGCGATTGATGAAGATGACTCTGTTTCGTACTATTCGAACTTTGGGAAATGTGTTGACATGTAAGTTGACATGCTCCATGCTTTCATATACTGGGCTTTCATTCACATCTCTGATAGTTTTGCTCCGGGAACAAACATAAAGTCCATCTGGCCAACATCATCCAGCGCCACGCACACCCTTACAGGCACATCTATGGCAGCACCCCGTACGTATAGCATCCATCATTATATCATATTCACTCCACTCACATTGATTAGATGTTGCTGGCACTATGGCCATCTTTCTCTCTCAAGCCAATTATACCCCTCCTCAATTACAGAGCTACGTCAAGAGAGTATCTTCACTCATATCGCAAGACTTTACCATTAACAATACTGGATCATTTTACAACGAAAACAAGACAGTGCTGGATAATTCTATCAACACTGGCTACAAGATCAAAGATAAACTTGACCAAAAGACGTTGGTCAACATCCTCTTTAGTCATCCAAACGACAGCACGCCATTTTGGATTTATGGACAATCACTGAATCAAGCATCGACCACACACAGCTTATACATTCATCCTGTGTTCATGGCGCTACTGTTTTTTGTTACCTTTTTCGCTTTATAGACAATAATACAATAAATTGACACAAGCTTGCAATGTAATTCTTGCATGTTACAGAGCCATTTCATCATCTTATATCAGGCTGTCTAGAATGTATGGCTAAGCATGTATCTTCCTTATTTCCGGGTCAGAGGATTTTTCGATTTGCGTTGATTATTCAATCAAAATACTTGCTGTCTTCAAATAACCAATTTGGCATATTCTAGCTTGGAAAAAGACACTCCATTTTCACACCTAGTAGTAGAAGCCTAATGTTAACAAGATTGAAAACATATCGGCCATAAATTGCGTACTAGACAAATGCCACCCTATTTATGACGGCCAAGAGATACTTGAAAATCGGTACAACGGATTCGGCAAAGAGGAGGGCGCATTTGTTGGTACTTTGGCTTGCTAGCTATAGTCCAAAGGTCTGAAAGTACCAAGCAACCTAGTTGCATCAAATTCTTGTCCCTGTTGGGTAAACTGCCGTCATAGCCATTTTTCCACAGATACTGATGCATGTCGTCAATTTTTTGGCCAAATGCTTTCTTTAGGAATGAGTAGACAGCGGTTTGTTTGAACGATGCGTTTTCGTGCTTGGTTGTCCTTGTTACGCCCATAGCCTTTAATCAAGCCAGGAGCTGTTTGTGGGAGTTAATCAGATACAGACCAATAGTTTGCCATCACAAGTTTATGGGGGAATTAAGCAGAGACAAGAAAGGGGCACTGAATTCTGAAAGACGGTGAAGCAGAGAACATCTGGTGTCGTGTCAGTGGCCACATAAGCTCTCTGGCATACCTGTGTAGCCGAAGAATCTTTGCCATTCAGTCTTGAACCAATTCAACCATGAAAAGGCAAAGCAACAGAAACCATATCAAGATATTTCACAGACAATCTTAACATGTTTGTTGTGCTAACAAATCTATTACTACACAAGTTTGAATCGCCAAGAAGTTAATTCAAATGGATGGAGGGTGCAGAATTGGAGAAAAAAAATATGTCGGTGCTCGTGTCTTTTCGCTGCTTTTGCATGGTATTATGATAGTTGCCACTCTGTCTTGCCACTACCGCTCTATAAGAATAGCTCTTGTTTACGGTGCCAGTGGGTTACCTAGCAGGAGTACCGCCTATCGTGCCACCTTGCTTGACACTTGCCTTTATCAATTTGCCGAATGTTTGGTTCAAGTGACAATTTGGGCAGATGTGGGATATGATAGCTGGAGACACTCGGTAAATGTATCTATAGAGATCATCATCAACGCTCCCACCTTTTTTTTTATCTATGTACAAGTGTTTATACTTCGGATGGCTCTCTACCTTCGCTTCGCTTCGGCGAGAACCAACCTGCGCAGCGGCAGCTCGCGCTACTAATCGCCCTTGCGTATCTTATCAAAATACTGCTACTTTCATTTTGACCCTCCACTTACACATGAAAACCCTTTATATTATCTGTGGACTTGACTCTTATGCGATACTATACATCTATATATACGTAGCTACTTCATATACGGGCAAGCAACATACTGATATTTCCCCTTTCTAGTCCTTAGTGTGGCTAATACAGTAACATATGAGTGCATTTGAGTCGCGTTTTCTTGCGTTAGAGGCTGTTCTAAGCTGCCAGGATAGTACCAAACAGTTGCTCTTGCCTAGCGGCAACTTGCTGACGCTTTTGCTCAACTTTTTGGGGATCAAAAAATCATGGACAAAAATTGACCAAAAAGCATGAGGTACCCCTCGTGGTTTTCATCAAAAATCAAATGATCGCGTTTTTGACCTTGATAATGAAGACTTTTACTATGGCATATATAATCAAATTGTTTCTATCGATCTAACGTAGCCCCTAAAATCATCTTTGTGGATTTTTGATATGTAAAATCTCGGCTTTTTGGCCAGAAACCTCATTTCATATTTTTATAAATTACTCAATAAGTTTATTCAAAACATCTACCTTAATTGGTACCATTGGGTGCGCCTTGAAAAGCATTCCAAGAAAGCTTAAAGAAGCATTTTTTTTTTGTAGGAGAGACGAGCTCCAGGTTTTATTTAAAGTCCTTTAAATGTCATACTGAGGGAAAGAAAAGACTGTTGGTGAACCCAATGTCTGCAATGAAGGGGAATAAGATATTTTTGAACTAAGTTGGGAAAGAAATCTACTACTAATAAGGTGCGACACCTAGAGCCAATACAGTCTTGCGGAAATCGTCAAAATATAGATAATGGATAAGAGCACAAAACACCAAACGAGGACATCAGTACTACGCCAAAAAAAATCAAACAACTTGCGTTCACCAGGATTTGAACCGGGATCCTTCCGTTGGCATACGGGAGTTTCTACCACTTCGCCCTACCACCAGGGACAGCTTAAAGAAGCAGTTTTTTTTTTTTTGTAGGGGAGACGAGCTCCAGTTTTTATTTAAAGTCCTGTAAATGTCGCTATGAGTGATAGACAAGACTGTTGGTGGACCCAATGTCAGTCATGATGGGGAATAAATTATGGAAAGGAAGTTGGGAAAGAAATCTACTACAAATAAGGTGGGCACTTAGAGCCAATACAATCATGCTAAGTTGTCATACAGAGATACTGGATAAGAGAACATTCACCAAACGAGGACATCAGTACGACCGTAAATAATTAATCAAAATGCGTTCACTGGGATTTGAACCGGGATCCTCCCGTTGGCATACGGGAGTTTTACCACTTCGCCCTACCACCAGGGGCACAGCTTAAAGAAGCAGGGGATGATCATCATACTTTATTTAGTCGAATCTGCCAAAATAGTTCAATCGAGTCGAAAATCATCAAGTTTTGGCCAATCTTGAACAGAAAAAATGTTCTGGATTTGAATCAATTTTGGCGGCTGGTGTGGCCGGTTGGTGCGGCCGGCTGGCAGACTCAATGCCCTTTCCATCATGAAGGCAATACAGTAATAGATGCTTTTGAAGCGTATGGAAAGTACGCGGCAAATTATATAGCACTATCATTAGCCATTCTTTTCTTCTTGAATCTATATTTGATAACACCAGTCTATCAAAATACTTGTTAGACCAGCTTCTTTCCTTTTTGAGGCTTTGGAAGTGTCTAGTAGGGACCATAAATTTATTATGTTATGATATAAAGTATATGAAATTAACTGGTCGAACGACGCATAGCCAGTGCCTATCAAAATATGTATGTTCAATATGATATTCATTGTCTGAAGGACTTCAATAACTAAAGAGCTCATTGGTGACCATCACGATGAATACACCTGACTTTTGTGAAGTCAACATCTGTGTTTTGTCACTATCCAAGATTGTAAACGACTAAATAAACTTCAGGAAACACTGTTGTTTTATTGTAGTATTATTGGTATTAGTATGGTATTTAAGAAGAGATAATGTTGCCGGTGGATTTGGATGGCACGATGGACATTCTCTTACGTCCATGCGAGGTCTTTCCTTTATCTGCCTTGGGAATAATTGTTTCTGGAACACCCAATTCAATGGCGTGTTGGATGGCAAGGTTGAGTCGCTGATTAAAGCAGCATTAGTAAATCTACCAAATCATTCAATTCTCGATACTTACTGTGGCAAGTCTATATTCAAAATCATAGCCAGAAAAGGCCAATGTAGATTCCCAAAGTGCTCTTGCTCGCTTGTGTTCCTCTGTACCCCAGCAAATGTTACCAGACTCCCTATACCTGGCATCAAGATCCCATCTCTTTGATTCACACGCAGTAATGCTTACCAGTAGGCAAATGGAACTACCCAGTTTGTATGCTTGAATTTGTCCTTGTTATCAATGATCCAGTTGAGATGCACAATACCCTCTGTATATTTGTTGAGAGCGTTCAAGACAGCTGCCTTCATCAAAAGAAGAGTACCGCGCTGATCGTAATAGTCGGGTGCAGATGTTGCTGGTACAAGCTCCACTGTGCGAATATCGTACTCCAATTTCTCTCTCTCGTAGATGGATTCCAACGTTGTTTCAATGATCTCCAAGCACTGTTCCAGCGCAGTGGGTGCCATGCAAGGAAATGCGTTCCAAGTATATAAAATCTCCAACGCTGGTAAACTGAAATCCAGGTCTTGGTATCCACTAATCTCGAAAAATGCGACTCGGTTCATCACATACAACTCGGGCTGCGACTTTCTCTTTTTGTCGACGAGTCCTGGTGCCTCAGCGAAAGCCAGGATGGCCTCGGTGCGATTGCCAAGCATCTCCATACAGGCACCGTAAAAGTATTTCAAAAAGGCAGGTGAGTTGTACTTTGACTGCAATTCCAAGGCACGCACAGCAGCACTGGCCCAGTCCAAGCCCATGGCCGAGTTGAAGGCAATCTCAAATGTAGCTAAATGGCCAATGGTGGTTTCAGCCCAATCACCTTGACTCACCTCAAATGTATACACAAAAGACTGTGTCGAAAGTGGCAGGTTTCTCGCTAATCTGGATACTCTACCAGCAAAGAACAAAAAGAAGGCAGAGTTGGGGTAACTTTGTTGAGCATCCAGCAGGCATTCAATGGCAGGCTGTATCAGCTCTCTGGTGAGTACTTGAGGAGCGTAGGAGGTCAGAATTACGTAATATGACAGCAGCCTGCAGCATAAACAACGTCAGTGCCCACAATGTCAGTTGTCTCTCTCTCTCTCTCTCTCTGCAACTTACATTAATGAGGCGAGTGGTGATCTGATGCGCTTTCCTTCCAAACACAACTTCAGCAATGCAAATCCGAGATGTTTATCTGCTGTCCAACCAAATGCAGATACAATTTTCAAAATTTTGGGTGGTAAGGATGACAGCAACAGATGAACAGAGCCAATGCCAAACTGTATTGCTGAAATAGTATCCTGATCCATGTACTTGTTGAAGTTCTGTCCCATGCGCTTGTACTCTTGCCATACAAGACTGTAACTGTTGTAGGCTCTGCGCAAATTTAATCCAGCCTTGAGATATCCAACAACCGTTTCCATAGAGAGGTATATAATGGCCATCAACAAACCACATTCTGCTTTGATAACATGAGCACGGAGAGCACCATTGGGCATGAATTGCAGATCTTGCAGCTCATATTTGCTCAAGGCACGCGTGTTAGTGGGGAGATGCGTCGAGTTGGATCCCATCAAGTTGGTAATGTAGTGAGATACTGTGTCTTTGAGTGGTTTTTTAGCTGAGGCTGCCTCGATTTGAGCATTGGCAAACAAATAGGTCTCGGTCAAGTTGGCGAGAGCTGATTCCACATCTTTGGGGTTATAAGACTAGAAATTGCATGAATACGAAATGGCAGAGTTGTACAGGTGCTTTTACTTACCGAAATAGCTGGTATGGACAACCAACATGATAAACAGTTGGGTGAGTGTGTGCTGCATTTCATGATGTGTCTTGCCCTGACTTACCTTTGATAAACGCCATTGAACCAAGACCTAGAGCATACAAAGGATCCCTAATAAAACCATTCATCAGTTGCTACTCTCCTCCTACTATTCCTTTCCATGTCACGCATACTCTTTGGCTCTCTTTTCAAAAATGGCTCTTGCCTCTGAGAATTTGTTATTGAAAAAGCAGTTCATACCGGTCAGCATGTCCTCATCTAGAATACTTAATGTCAAGATCCAGCTTTTGTGTATGTTGTGGTCGATGCTTACCAAACTTTTCTTGTGCTCTGGGAGTTAAATGATTGGGTCTGACTGTGCTGAAATCAATGTTGGACAAAGGAATCACATTAGAGGTGGCAGCAGCTGGTGTAGCAGCAGTAGTAGTGGGGTCGGTGTTGCTGGTGGACGTTGACATTTGTGCGCTTTCTGATCTGGTAGGCTGTAAATCGTCATCATTGTCATCAGCATGGTCGCCTAGTTCAGCGGATAACATGGACGGAGGAGCTAAACCAGGTGTAGGGGGAGTAACAAAATCTGCCATGTTTTGGCCAGCAGGCACATCAATCGAGTTGCGGATTTGCTCAAAATGAGTGGTAATCTTGAGATCAGACACTGAAGCAGCTTGCGGACGAGGCGAGCTTGGCTCACTCACAGCATGGATGCCCTCCTCAGCTCTTCTCTCGTTGTCATCGTCGCTCAATGGGATGTCAATGTCTGCTTTATCCTCTTCTGCTTTGCTAGTCGGGGATGACTCTTCAATGTTGCTAATTAAGCTGGATCCCAAATTGTTGATTTCCACCTCAGGAATTGTATCCAGTACCTTATCCATTACGTCCTGTGCTTGATTCTCGTCCTTGAACACAAGAGGCTCCTGTTTGGGGAGGTTGGCCAGCACTGTTCCTTGAAGAGCAGTAATTACGTTGGTCAAGTCTTGCGCCGTCTTTTCGTTGGTGTCATCAATGGCATCCGAGAATTCATCTTGGCTGACTGATAAAGTAGCAGCTTCGTCCTGATGCTCGATTTCCGCGACTGTATCGACGCCTTGGTCACTCATGGCAGTGTCTTTTGTTTCTGCAGTGCTGCTTAGTACTGATGGTTCAGCAGGTGGTGGATCCACGACTTGGGGCTGCTTGGTATCAATGTCACTCATGTAATCAAACCTAAATGTGTATGTTGGAAAGAGAGAAAAGAAAGAGATAGAAAATAGAGCACTCGAAACCTTTTTTATACGTTCTAGTTGATTGGATACGCTGATTGTATCACAAGCATTGACTGTATAAAGTAACAAAAAAAGAAGAAGCTTTTAATGTAGAAATGCTAGGTAAGCTCTCTTTTTTAAGCAATAACCATGAATTCACTCCCGCCATATTGATCTCAAACATCCCACTCCATGATCATGGCAGTAAAAGGATTGCACTACTATCTCCTTTTTTGTTTTTCGACATTAAGGTTAGCGTGATACACAAATAAACCAAATAAACAGTTTTATAATATGATAGTTCTTTTGAGCAAATGCTATAGTCTGGGTGTATGTGTGCCCATCCTGATGGAACAGATTCAAGTTCATATCTCTGTTTAAGTTAGCAATTGAACTTTACCGCCACATGCGTCTCATCTTGTATTCACAGCATCTCTCAGGCTCCGTGAGAATATACAGTAGAATGGTGCCTTTTTGAATGGCGTACCACTGTATAGGCTCTGATTTCACAAGAGTCAGATGTTGCACTAGATATTATTAAGTTATGCATAACATCTATACCACCAGCTTCTGGCGTTCGATCCATGCTAGCAAAATATTGTAGGCTATGTGGTTTCCACAAATTTGAAAGCCGTGTCTATAACCTCGAGTTCTTTAAGCTGGTAAGCATGGCGCATATTAGATGAGATGGACCTAAAATTTATTTAGGTGAGATTTACTAGATAGCAACTAGAAGTTCATCAGCATTCTAACATCAGAGTAAATACCAATTTACTGCTACAATATCATTAGAAAGTTGCGATTGCATATATATATTGGCTGTGAGCCAGGTTGACTGGCATTGTTGGATATGAGAACTTTCAACAAAAGCAAAATAAAGTATTAAGGCTAAGCAATAGTTCTTTCCAACTCATGATCCTCATTTAATCATTAGAAGAAAGGCATTTTCGTCAGTCAGCAGCGCCAAAATAATTCAATCTCAGAAAAAAATGCTGTTCAAGATTGGCCAAAGCTTGTCTTTTTTCGATTTTTTTAATTTATTCTGTAGGATTCGACTATGTAAGCTGTGATGATCTACCCGTACTACCTAATACACTCTTCGAGTACTTTTCAAGGCGCTTCCAATGATACCAAATAGAATAGATGTTTTGAATGAAGTGATGGAGCAATTTTAGAAAATATGAAATGAGTTTTTTTTTTTTTTTTTTTGGCTAAAATGTCGAGTTTTTGCATACGAAGGCCTCACAAAAGTGCGTGCAGGGGTTGCTTTGGATTTAGAGAAATATTTTGATATAATATACACCTTAGTAAAAGCCTTCATTTTCATGGTAAAAAGCGCGATCGTTTGATTTTCTACAAAAACCATGAGGTGCCCCTCATGGTTTGGAATCGGTTTTTGGCCATGTTTTTTGGGTCTCCAAAAAGTTGAGCAGAAGCGTCAAGAAGTTACTACTACTTAAGTACAATTGTTTGGCGTCATTCTGGTAGCTCAATAATGTCTACGTGTCAAGCTATTTAGGCTTGAAAGCTGTTAAATTTGGCTGTGCTTCATATACTTGTTTGTCAAGAGGTGCGTTTCTATTACGATACAAAGGCGTAAAGACATTGTATGCATTAATCTAGATTTAGAGCATGCTGTTAAATCATGGAAATATTAGGTTGAGTGGCAGTGGCAAAACAGAGTCGCTGCCATCACAACAACCTGCCAAACCAGTGTGTGTTTTCTTTTTCATTCCGGGCCTTGTGTTTTTTCGCTTGATTTATGTGGAATCTATATACATTTACCGACCATGACATTGATTTGCATTCGATTCACTGCTTAATCAAGTTCTTGGCCTCAATAAAAAAGAAAGAGTCGAGTTTTTTGTTCGCTTGCATTGTCTACCGCTTTTGCGATTTTGTAGTACTTATGAGTAAAGGCTCAGAGTTTATATATGTGTATATGATGCATTCTGTACAAATAAGATGTTTGGATATATGAATTAAAAGAAAAAATCTAGATATAAATACTATAGCCCTGCGGGTTTGCTCGTCAAATCAGCCACTTCAGAGTATATTTGAAGTGCTCTCAAAATGTGCATGGGATCCAGCTCAATAGCTTCACCTAATTTTTCCAACACACCAGCAAAATTGCCCATTTTCTTTAGATACAACGACGAAGCAGCATTCTATCAATACAATTTAAAAAACCATCCATCGAGCTTGTTGAATTAATATATAAATACCTCAATTCGAGTGACAAAATTTTCCATCAACATCATCAACTCTTCGTCGGAAGCAACTTCTTGCATACGCTTATTGAATGCTTGTGAATAATAAGAGTTAGCAATCATATTGCTATTGTCCATGCCAAGCAATTCTGTGGGTATATTCATACGAGCATATATGCTGTTGTCTGCTGAGCTCAACACTGTACCAGTAGTGATGGATTCCAAGCGAATGGCTAGATTGCTCAACGAAACTACCAATGTTGGATCAATTTGACGGTTATTAGGATGTCTAGTAGGCGAGAAAAGGGGTTGTGATAGTTGTGGTTGCAGTTGTAAATGTTGGTGCTGCTGGCTGTAGGGGCTGGCAACATCGCTTGCGCTGGCATAGCTGTCGTTTCGTTGTTGCGCTGAAAGATGAGGTGAATTTTCAGCCGTCAAACCACCGTTATACAAGGACGATTGCTCAGAGGGATGCTCTCCAAGTGGTGTCGGTGTAGAAATGATGGGTGATGGGGTAGCCAACACTTCGTTCTTTTCCATCTCCATACGACCCGCCAATTGCTTGGGATACACTAAACAAAGCATCTCTGGCGTTTCCAGACCTTTAAGACGTCTCTCTCCCATCTCGACTACGTGGAAGCCAAGCCGCTTGATCTGTTGAATATCTCTACCAAGGGAATGCGTGGCAGTAGCGACATCAGATGCTTCTGCAGAGCTAGACTTGTCATCGCCAAAGACACCTGGCATTTCGCGAAGAGCAGCAATCACATCAGAGGATACACATATCTGACCACCATCAGCAGCATTACAGATACGACTTGCTTTGTTCACCACAGGGCCAAAGTAATCCATACGTTTGGTGATGGGGTTGCGCTCATATACTGGTGTGCCAAGATGAATACCCATACGCACAGACAGACCACGGTAAATGACCTTGTTGTCCTTTTGTATCTCTCTTCCTTCCTCTGTCTCCAAGATACCAGCTGGCCAGTCCGCTTCCAACAGCTGGAGCTGCACAGTAAAGCACCATAGCAAAGCAGCAATGGTGTCCTGGAAACACACCATGAAGGCATCACCTTCTGTCTTTACCTCGTAGCCGCCAATGCTTCTCAGTGTACGTCGCATAACAGCATCGTGGATCTTGATGGCCGATCGCATGTCCTCTGGCTGCGTATCCCACAACAGTGTGGAGCTCTTGATATCTGTAAAGACCAGTGCCACCTGATTTGTGGGGGGAGGCACCTCGCGATCCAGACGAGCAAGGATGGTGTCGCTAGGAGACTCGTCTTTGATACGACGCTTGTTCTTGACCATCATGCCTGGTGTACCAATAGGATCATCCATCAACAAGGAAGGGTCCACAGTGCCACCTACTCGACTTGAGCCCAAGTTCATGCCTCGCAAATTACGGAATCGCTTATCACGCTTGTCAAACAGATCATTGACGCCAATAATCATCACCATCACATTGTCATCCGCACCATAAGTCAAGGCAAAATCACGCAGCTTTTGTGCCGCCACCATCAAGTCATCCTTTTCAGTGCGAGCAATGTCCACAGCTGTCTGGTAAGAAATACGATCCCATAGGCCACGAGAAGCCATGATTACAAACTCGTCATTTTCGGCCAGATTGATTGTTGATATAAAGGGATTAGCATTCACCACGGGGATCAAATGATAATAGCCAAAACTACGCGACACGTTCAATTCGTCGTTCAAAAGACCAGTATTAGAGACGTAGCCGCCGGCAGCTCGAATGCGAGAAATTTCGCTCGGATTGAGAGGAATGTGCTTTTGCGTAATCTCATGTGCCTGACCGTTATTGCGAGACAAGACAGCAAGCGCATCACCCACATTAGCCACATACAGCTTGGTACCTGATATATAGCACAACAGAGCAGAGGCACCCAGGTCCTTGTCAGCGGTATCCATGGAGCCAAACTCCTTTTCCAGCGCCAAAAATGTGCGTCTTAGGGCAGATACAATGGTATCGTCATTCTTGTTCTTTTCCAATTCGTTGGACAGATGGTATGTCAAGTTGTCGTTCAAGAAACGCGTCAATCTACAGCCGGTTTTGTTATGCTTGCGGCCATCAAACAAACCAAACAGACACTCATCATCCTTATTTCTAAAGCGAGGCATGACCAGATCCCAGGTAGCTAAATGATCGCTGGGGCCTAGCCAATCAGCCACACCGTACGACATGCTATTGACTTCAGAGGGAGATGTGCGCACACGACGATCATGGAATTCTTCCGGCGTGGATACACCGAGGATAGTGACATCCATCAGACCCAACATGCGTAATCGCAACAAGGCACTAAAGTCAGACAGGTTCTTTTCCTTTGGATTCTGCATTTCGGGATGCGTCTTTTTGATCTCGAGACGTTTGTTGCCTGACAAATTGAGGTACTTGAGACCCAAATTCCAGTTCCTACATATGAGCGAGTGAGCGAGTGATGATGTAGATGGCACATGTAGCCCACACTTACCAGTTCCAGTCATAAGGCCAATTGGAGATATTGTACTTGAGCACATTGTTGCCTACATCCAGCACCAGGAGTTTACGTAATTTACCAATTTCAGCAGGCAATGTCTGCAGCTTATTGCCATTGACAGCGAGCACACGCAGATAACTCAACTTTTCAATGTCGTCTGCAGGCAACGATGCCAGATGGTTACCAGACAGGTAAAGCTCGTATAAATGTTGATGGCAGAGACCCTCTGGTGGAATTTCATAGAGGTCGTTGAAGCATAGGTTCAGTGTGCGTAATTCCAGAAACAGCGATAGTGGTGACCAAATGTCGTCAGTAAATCGATTATCGCCCAAAAACAGGTTGCGCAGTGAGAGTGATAAAGGAGGAGGGTGATTTCGAGGGCTGGCAAAGAACGAGGGTGGATTGAAATTAGGAGGTGGATGGAATCCGCTGGATAGCAAGTTGGCAGGGATATTGTTATCACCACTCGTAGTGTCATTTGTAGTGGTGATATGTTGTGTGGTGGTATCTTGATGCGTGGTAGTAGTCGTTGACTGTACAGGTGATTCTGCTGCTTCTTCTTGTTGTGTCGTTGAAGAAGGCACATTGGATGAAGATGAGGTCGATGTAGAGCTAATGCTGGGAGCAGAATAGGGCTCAGGGAAGGTCTCGAGCAAGTTGGAGGAGCAGTTGAGTGTCTGCAACGAGACACAGAGCCAGATTTCCTTGGGCAAAAACTTGAGATTATTCTTTTGAGCGTCCAGTACCTTGAGCTCGACCAAACGTGAAATCTCGGACGGCAGTGCTTCCAGATTATTGCCTTGCACAGAGAGTCGCAGTAATTTGGTCAAGGATCCCACACTGCTGGGCAAAATACTGAGCGTGTTGTTGTCTAAAATCAAGTGCTCCAAAGAGACGGCACTGATAAACAAATCGTCAGGCAGCGAGGACAATTTACAGTTGGCCAAGTTGAGGTCTGTCAGCAAACAACGGTGATTCTTTAAGGTGCCGTCTGGATTACGCACGTGGTAAGGATGCAGGTTGAACTGCGTCAGGTGGTTTTTCGACATTTTCAGCTGCTTCAAGCCTTGAAAATTGTAATTGACCACGCTGATGGCATTGTAGTCCATGGAAATCACCTCTAGTTTGGGCAACAGATACAGCTCATCCAAGTCGGTAATCTGATTCTGTCTCAAATCCAGTTCCTGCAACTTTTCCAGCTTGGAGAAACTAGGCGGTAACCGACCAGTCAGACGATTGGCTGTGGCAAACAGACCTACCAGCTGTGTCAAGTTACATATTTCATCAGGAAATGAGGTAATCTTGTTGAAGCTGATATCCAAGTAGGCTAAACTGGCTATTTGGCAAATAACTTGGGGGAATTTGGTGAATGAATTGTTGGATATAAACAGAATGGTGAGATGCTTGAAGGTGGCAAATGAGCTGGGCAGTGTCTCGAGTCGATTGTTGTACGCTCTTAGTGTTCTCAGCGTGATCAAATCTTCCAGCCTCGCCAGTTGCAAGTCGCGAATGTGGTTGCCAGAGATGTTCAAGTGCTCCAGGTTGGGAATAAATCGAATCGACAGTGGTAATCCATAATAGTCGTTGTTGGTGAGCCACAGTTGCTTGAGGTTTTTGCACATTTGCAGGAAATCTACGGGTATTTCCATCAGCAGATTCTTTGACAAATCCAACGATGCAATGCGTGCCGCGTACTTGTATAGCACAATAGGAATCGTCGACAGATTCTTTCCCTGGAGATCTACTCGTCTGTAGGCGCCAAACTCGTCCTCCTCGTGTATCGTCTGTGGCACGTTGGGTCCAAACGAGAATCGATACAAGTACGAGTTGTCCTCTCTGCCAACATCTTCAATCTTGTCTTCTTCCGTATATCCAATCTGCTCCAACAGTGTCTTTTGAATCTGAATAGGGTGTTCATTCAACTGTAGGATACGTTCTAAATACACATACAGTCAGCGTGTTGTCTTTTGCTCTCTCTCTCTCTTAAGGGTCTCCTTTTACCATGATTATGCATAATTAAACTGAGTCTATATTTACTGAGATCGTGTAAAAAGAATTTTCCAGCGAGCCGTTGAATCAAATCATGCGTGGTTGTGTTGAGTGGTGCAATCAGTGTGCCAAAGGTGCCGTCTGGACGAAAGATGCGAATGCAGTAGTTTTTGCTGGGCACATTCCAGTTTTCGTGCTCGACGACGGGCGGAAAGTAGTCGTTTGGTTCGTTTTTGGAATAGACAAGGGCAGGTGTTTGGATATCATCCACTACTTCATCTACTGCAGGCTGTACTGCCCAGCTATCGGGTGGTGCCCAGTGCTGTTCTGCGTTGTGGTCTGTCATCTGTGGCATTGCTCCTCCTTGCTGAAATGCAGTGTGAGTGTGTTTACGACAAGAGCTGCAAGAATGCTTTACCTGAGAAAAGGATGTTCTTGCAGGGTTGTTACCATGTCTATACTCTGGATTGATGATGCCGTCCATCGATTGGAAGTTTTGATCTACTATACAGACACATGAGCTACTGCGTGTCTCCGTATGGGGCCAGTACCACCTACATTCCAGGTTCTTGTCCTGTCTAGATTCGTCTGTCAAAAAATAGATGCTTCCTTCCGACTTTTCTCGCTCTTTTCCTTTTGAATTGCTGGAACTACCTGATTTCTTCCTCTCACCTCCTATATTGGTTTTCATCATGTCTTCTGTACCGAGCAGCTCATTTTGATTATAACTGTATATGCTGTTTTCGTAATCTTTGGATTTTTTACGGGCTGTCACTATGGAGGATGCGTCGTTTGCGGTGGATACAATGTTGAGCGAGCTCGCTGATGAAGGGCCAAATAAAGAGGATCCCATGTCTGACCGACCTATAATGTTTGAGAGTGAGTATAGTAGTGCATAGTACTGGAGCTGACTTACTCTTTTTTCGACCAAATCGAAACAAATGTCTCTTCTTGTCTTTTGGTTGCTGCTGCTGCTGCTGCTGCTGCTGCTGCTGCTGCTGCACTTGGAATGGATGCACAGTATCTGTAAAGCGGAAGACGATGAAATTGAGTATACAAGTGTATCATGGTGACATAATCAAGTTTACCATTGGGATGTCGAGGCAAATCCATGGCGGCGTCCGAGATGGAGTTGTTAGTGCTCGTTTTCGTTGGTTTATGCAGAGGCATCGTAAATTAGCAATTAGTTTTGTAGGCCACTTGGATGGATATATCTGTGAGTCTTGTGCGAGTGGTTGATCGACACGTTCAAAATCAATGTATAGTAACGAAAAGGCTCTTGTCTAGTGTGATTCCTAATGATACAGAAAAAAAAATGTAAAGGAGAAAAAGCAGGAAGAAAAAGCAGGAAGAAAAAAGGGTTTGCAAGGAATCCTATTCTTTTACGTTGCTTTTGGATGTCCGTGGTCACGGGTCTCACTGTAAATCCATTGATATGATCCTTTTTTGCTTCTTGACATGACTTCCAATGTAAGCAAATGCACCCTCATGAAGCCTAAATTAGGTGCTAGTTGAGTAGTCTTCAAATGGAGGTTCTTGTTTCGTTGATTTTTCACTGTCTTTTCGTCGGGAACATTTCGCTTCATTATCCTACATGAGGGATGTCAGTTTATTATCCCTATCTAATGCTTCTCTCCTGTAACTCAATATACATTGTTTGCATTCATTGGTGTACTATTCGCTGGTGTCTTTGTCCGTGATGGATGATGCAGCAACCACGTAGAGTCGTACGTTTGCCTCTGGACGAGACGTCGCACCTGGATCCAAAAAAAAAACGTGTCGCGTTAAATTAGCTCTTTCATTGAGGATTTCGGATGCATTCCGCCTAGTCAACCTAGATCGCAAAAGGCAGGATGCCCTAGCTGGGAGATGTTGATGTATCGCACAAGGAAAAAAGGGTAAAAACTGCAAAGGTCAGGACATGAGCGACTGAATCCACGTCATGCAACAAATACATTGATACGACTACAACGCCCATGTATATCCCCTTAACTATTTATTATTTTAGCTGTGTATACAACATGTGTTCCCTTAAATACGCATTCCCTCTCATCAGATCTCTTTTTCTCTCTCTCTCTCTCTCTCTCTCTCTCTCTCTCTCTCTTTCTTGCTCTCCTTTTTTTTTCTGGACCAATTCTCTTTTTGTAGTACCTATAAGCCATGTTTACAGTCAATGGCCACTATGATGGCAGTGATGTGTATGCCTCCTCCTCCTCCTCCTCGCCCAAGCCTATTCTTCTCAACAGCCCCACACTAGGCACATCCATTCTCCAGCACCAGCAGCAGCAGCGCTTTGATTCTAAAAAGACAGTAGACAACCTCAAAATCACCCATGAAACCACAGAGCCACCATCAACATCTCAAACAAATATGGACGATTTTGAAATCAAACAGCCAATAGGTAGTAGCAAAAAGGATGGACAGCATCTGCACTTATACTGATAGACACCTGTGTTAGGCTATGGATCATCTGCTATGGTTTATAGCGCAGTGTATATACCTCACAACAAACGAGTAGCCATCAAAATGATTGATTTGGACATGTTTGAGAGAAACCAAATTGATGAACTGAGGGTAACGTATGCTATACCAAAGCATCATACATTCACATGCCAAATATATATATGTATAGAGAGAAACAGCTTTAATGGCACTATCCAAACATCCACATGTGTTACGAGTGTACGGATCATTTGTTCACGGATCGAAGCTATACATTGTCACTCCTTATATGGCAGTGGGATCCTGTCTCGATATCATGAAATTGAGTTTCCCGGACGGCCTAGACGAGATTAGCATTGCTACTATTCTAAAACAAGCATTGGAAGGACTAGCTTATTTGCATAAAAATGGCCATATTCACAGAGACGTAAAGGCAGGCAACCTGTTGATGGATGAGGATGGGTCTGTTCTATTGGCGGATTTCGGTGTGTCTAGCTCGTTGATGGAGACAGGCGAACGAGGTGTGCGAAAGACATTTGTGGGCACACCTTGTTGGATGGCTCCCGAGGTCATGGAGCAGGCAGACTACGATTACAAGGCGGATATATGGAGCTTTGGTATCACTGCGATTGAGCTGGCTACAGGTCATGCTCCCTTTGCTAAACATCCGCCACTCAAAGTGCTGATGATGACGCTAAATAATGATCCTCCTACTCTGTCTCGTGAGACGACCACCAACAAATTCTCACGTACATTCAAAAACATGATAGACGCCTGCATGAACAAGGATCCTTCCAAAAGGTGAACTATCCAGTAATGGCAATAGGGCTAGTCGACTCATGCTTTCTCTCGATAGACCCTCCTCTGAAAAGCTCTTGTTGCATCCCTTTTTCAAACAAGCCAAGAAACCAGAGTGGCTGGCCAAAAACCTCATTGCGGATATACCGCCTATTGAAAGCAGACCCATCAAAAAGTTCCCTCAGAAACAAGTAGCTTCTTCCAACACGGACGAATGGGATTTCAACGACGAAGCAGCGGCACTATCAACACATACACATCAACAGATACCTGGATTGAATCCTCCCAAGAGACACATTTCATTTGGTCATGTTGTCGTCAGAAAGCCATCCTCCACATCGCAACACCATGCTTCAGAATCATGGTCCTACTCACCTTCTCATTTTGCAATCGACACAACACCAGCACTACCCATCACGGGTCATTCACCGCCTCCACCGAGAAAAGGAAGAGCACTCAGTGATGACTTTTTGATCGAAGCATCTAGGATTGCCAATAGCAAACATGACACTCATGTTACAGATGAGCCCACCAAACAACATCGAAGCAATAGCAGCAGTAGCAGATTCAACTTGAGCCGTGGTAGAGCCAGACATGGCAGCCTACATGAAAGAACGCCTACTGTCACCTTTTCGGAGGAAACGAGCAAGCCCAACGGTAAACTTTTGTACCGCACCATCAGCCATGAAGACAACATGAACAGAAAATCGAGGTTCAGCCCACAGCCGCCATCATCGCCTCCTCCTCATCCACATTTACAAGCTCTGCCATTATCGCGCAACAACTCCAACATGTCTGCTGCTGCTGCGGGGACATCTGTGCTGCTGACAAGAGAAAACAGCGAGTCCAGAAAGATTGGTAGGTTTGAATTGACGAGCAACAGCGAGACAACATCCAGACAACAAAGCTACATTGAGGGAAGTCGCGAGACGATATCACCTTATTCCACTACACATTCCAGCAGTTCCTCATCTTTACCAAGAGGTCAGCAGCAGAAATCCATACCTACTGTCTATAATCAGCTGAATGAGCTACTACGACAAAATGATTCTCAAAAGCAACTATTGACAGAGCTGTTTAGCATGTTTGAGCTACCCAAAGGCGGTGGTGTGACAGAGCAGAGCAAGAGTCAGCAAGAGCTGGCGTCTACCATTGTAAGTTGATCCTGGATGACGCGTCTCATGTTATTCACACTTTGAATAGGAATCACTAGAACAGCAACTGCAAGCATTTCAACGAGAGAACCTATTGTTACAGCGAGAGAACGAGACGATGCGCAGGCAGCTGGACCAGCTCAAGAATCACTGATCTTATTTTTTCATTCGACGATTTATAATAAAAACAAAAAGGATCATTCAAAGAAGATCTTTTTGTAGGAAGGAGGACAAAAAATTTGGGTAATCTTCCTTTGTGTCCCGCATCCACGGAAATCTTTAGTAAAAGGCGAAAGATTTATCCGATATGAGCACAAGACAGAAGTACAAGGAGTGTTCGAATGGCCAGATGGAAGTGCCTTTTTATAGTTTTTGGAGCAGGCTTGATGGACAGTGTTTTTCTAGAGTCACTGAAACTAACGAGGTGTATGAGTCTCAATGGAAAGGGTGGTGTTACATCAAAAGAGCGCGCGTGCTCTATATCAGTTTTTTATTACAGACAGTCTTTCCAAGCAGGAGGGATACATAAACTACAGTGTTCTTGTAATAGTGGCAAAAGATATTGGGACATGCCATCACGTCATGCTCTTGCGTATCTTGCCAGGTGGTCTTCCACATCAATCCATATCGAGCTTCAAATGTACATTGATCCATAATGTCTTTTTTGCTCTCAATGGCCTTGAACATATCATGAATCATATTCAAGACGTCCAACTCGGCGGATGATGTTGATGGCATTCGATGACATCCGTTGTTGCTCAGCTTGGTAAATTTCAATCTTATTTCATCCAATTTGTATCCATAATCGCCAACAGCTTCATTCACATAGTAGCCTTGAAAGCGTCGTTTCTCGGTTGCTGGAAGAGGCATGCTTGTTAATATAGGTGTCTTGAGATCTTTGCGTGCTCTGCCTTGCTGCAGGATGTGCAAGCGTAAATCATCGAGATATTCAAGCAGGTATTGAACTGAATACCATTTGAACGTAAGCACTTGAACAACAAACAAACTCTCTTTCCAATTGAGGTAGACCATAAAAGCAAGAGATGTGGATAGTAAGAGAAAGAAAGATGAGGGTTCATTCAGTAATGATAGATTGCAATCTTCCATTTGAGTTTTTTTTTTTTTTTTTTCAGCAGCTAGCAAACCTGTTTATAACAGATGTGATTCCCATAAAAAGGGAGATGCTCCATATTCTGATCTTACATCCGTGCTGACATGCGTTGTATCTATGGCAACCAGTCCTCCAGTTGCCGAGGATACCAAAAGATCTAAATCAGCCATACGAACAAAGACTTGAATGAATTTTCAATAGGTGGCACTAAACGATTTCCCATTCTTCCCCACATTTCATCATGATTCCCCGCAAAGACAATGTTCATCATCAATAGCCCATTGACTTAATCAAAGTCGACATTACATGGATATGCACTGCACTAGAAGATTCAGTGGTATACATATAAGCCATCCTTAATATACCATACTAATTTGCATTAGTAACGTTTAATTTTCATAATCTGACAAGCTTTAACATTTAGGCGGCAAAACATTCTATTCAGACCTTTGGTCTGATCCAGGATGTACCCCCCTCTCCTCCTGGTCATTTGGCAAGATCAAGAGGCATGATCTTTCATCGTTTGTATATGCATCAGTCTCTTTATTTGACTCGAAACAAACTGCTCTTTCTGTCTCTTTCCGACATCTCGACTCTGTCAGAACAGCAAGCATGGATTGAACCCTGTACACATTTGCAACGGACGGTGGCACAAGCACGGTTTAATCATTTAGCCCACTTGGACCCAATTAAAAAAGCGGGGCCAGTTGGGATATAGGATTTAAAATAAGGGTAATCGTGTTTGGTAACACTCTCTTTCTTTTCTGTTTACACCTTGTTTTTTTTTTCAAAGAAATGCTCTCTTCCAAGTTCATCTCCAAACCCAACGTTGTTGCTATCCAAAAGGTAAAACACTCAGCTAGATCTCACTGTCAATTGTCGCACAACCACTCATAACAGCATCATTAGATTGCTACTCGTTCTTTTGCCTCAGCTACTTCTATTCCCGTCCCTGCTCCCGTTGAACAAAAGAGCGTAAGTGTATACATGACATTGCCCTGTACTCCGTCTTGCAGCCAAATACTCACTATGCTCTCTCTGTCTCTCTCATTTAGATCTTCCCCAAGAAGTATGGAGGTGGGTACAGCCTATTGTCAAACTGTATCTTTATTAACATTCCATTGACCCAGGATCATATACTGTAACTCTTATTCCCGGTGATGGTATCGGTCAAGAGCTCGCTGGTGCTGTCAAGGATGTCTTCAAGGCTGCCAATGTCCCCGTCGACTTTGAGCAATATGATGTTTCCGGTTTGACTTCTGAAGACGACTCTCTTTTCCAACAATCCATCGAGTCCCTTCGTCGTAACAAGGTTGGTATCAAGGGTACGCTCTTCACTCCTACTTCCAAGCTTGGCCACAAGTCCTTCAACGTCAGCATGCGTAAGGATTTGGACATGTATGCCTCTCTCTCTCTCTGTAAGAATGTGCCTGGTGTCGAATCTCGTTTGAGCAATGTCGATATTGCTATTATTCGTGAAAACACTGAAGGTGAATACTCTGGTTTAGAACATCAGGTAAGCTATAATCTGTCGTGTCACCCACCGCTCTTGATGTGAGTAATCTTGAATGCTGACATAATATATCACTAGTCTGTTCCTGGTGTTGTTGAATCTCTCAAGATCATTACCCGTGCAAAGACTGAACGTATTGCTCGTTTTGCCTTTGATTTTGCTGTCAAGAACAACCGCAAGAAGGTTACCATCATTCACAAAGCCAACATCATGTAAGTCTGTAGATAGAAAGAGGTGTGAGACAAGATGGCTCAATGCGTTGGTTCAATAGGAAATTGGCTGATGGTCTCTTTTTGCGCACCTGTCGTGATGTCGCCAAGGAGTATGCTCACCACGACATTGAAGTCAACGACATGATTGTTGATAACACTGCTATGCAACTTGTATCTCGCCCACAACAATTCGATGTCATGGTCATGCCCAACTTATATGGTAACATTGTCTCCAACGTTGTAAGTAGTGGATGTACTCTTTTGCCTGTCCGATCTCGCAGTATTAACCTCCAAACAACATGTTAGGGTGCTGGTTTGATTGGTGGACCTGGTTTGATCCCAGGCTGTAACATTGGTCGTGAATATGCCATGTTCGAACCTGTAAGTTCTTCAAGAGAGATGTATATACGATGTGGCATTCACACTTATATCACTAGGGATGTCGTCATGTTGCTCTTGATATTCAAAACCAAAACAGTGCCAACCCCACTGCCATGCTCCTCTCCTCTGTCATGATGTTGAGACATTTGAACCTGGATGAACATGCCAACAGAATCTCATCTGCTGTCTATGAGACCATCAGCTCTGGCAAGGCCAGAACCGTTGATATTGGCGGTACAAGCACCACCAAAGAATTCACTAATGCTGTTATCAGCTCTTTGTAATTACATACACCTTCTAATGCTACACTCTCTCCCTACATTTACAATAAAAATTAAACCACTACTCTCTGCCTTTCAAATTCCAGCCTACTATTACTAAATCTTTTAAGCTCGCGCTTTTATACCTCTTTTACTTTCACTCTCTCTCTCTCTCTCTCTCTCTCTCTCTCATTTCACGTATGGCTACATTACCACAATTCAGTACATCACAGACAGGGCCCAAGCCCGTCTTGGTGCAAATAGAAGACCAGTATAATAAAAGAATCGACGATGATATCGGTAAACTGGTCGATTGCTTCACAGACATTGTCAAAGTGGGCGAGGTAAAATGCTTGTCTTTTATCCAGGGTGAGCGACGATGGATATTGAATGATCTGTATTAGAATAAAGACAAGGATAAGTTCAAAGTGGCTCAAGAAGGATATCAGATAGAGAGCCAATCTGCACAGATTGTGAGATCGTGCGAATCATTACTATCGCTCATTGGAGAACTAAAGCAGAACTTACTGCTCAATGACACCAAGACATTAACAACATTACGGCAGACGAGATCCGAGAAACTGATTGAAAATACAACAGCCATTAAAGATCGCATGCAATTGATGAAAAAGGAATTGGCAGAGACAGTGTACGATTTGGAAACCGTGTTTTATCGTTCATTGACGGATGTTTAGTATGTTTGTATATAAAGAAGTTTAATAAACGTGTATATTAAATTGTCTATGTAATAAAAGAGAGAGAGAGGGGGGGATATGCTGTGTAGTATTATAGGGCGTTATTTTCTTTCCTCAAGGCCATCTTGTTCGTCTTGTTGACCCTCAGGCCCAGCCAGCGATTGCAGCTCTACCAGCTTACGAAAGACACCATCTTCTCGGCTCAATAATTCATAGTATGTGCCCAATTCAGCGACACCGCCATCACTTAGACAGGCAACCAAATCAGCAGAGCGAATTGTAGACAAACGATGGGCAATGGTGAATACCGTACGGCCTTGCATCAAACGATTTAGGGCTTCTTGCACCAGCACTTCAGATTCAGAGTCGAGTGCGCTGGTTGCTTCATCCAAAATAAGGACCTTGGGGTTCTTTAGCAAGGCTCTGGCAATAGCAATTCTCTGCTTTTGTCCACCACTCAAGCTGACGCCACGCTCACCTACCAGTGTATCGTACTTGTCTGCAAAACTGTTGATGAAGGAGGCACAGTTGGCCTTGACGGCCGCATCTTGGATTTCTTCCAATGTTGCATTCTCTCGTCCATAGGCAATGTTCTCTGCAATCGTACCAGCAAACAAAGTAGGCTCTTGCGATACCACGCCAACTTGCTCACGCCACCAGCGCAAATTAATATCTTGGATACTGGTATCATCAATGTAGATGTTACCTGCATTGGGGTCGTAGTAACGGAGCAATAGAGACCCAATGGTAGACTTGCCAGATCCTGAGGGACCTACCACAGCAATGACCGTACCAGGTTGAACTGTCAGCGAAAAGTCCTTGAAGATGTGAGACTGAGGACGTGTGGGGTAGCTGAAATCAATGCCCTCAAACTTAATCTTGCCCTTGATATCCTCAAGAACTTTACCGCTGTCCAGTTTGATAGCACTCTTGCGATCCAGTAATTCAAAAATTCTGTCAGAAGCACCTACACCCTTCATGATTTCAGAGTAGAACGATGTCATACCGCCCAGAGCAGTGCCCACATAAGCCGTGTACAGCATAAAGGAGGTCAATTCACCAATGGTAATTACGTTCTCCATAACCATTTTTCCGCCATACCATAGCACAGCCAACACGGCCAGATTACCAGACAATCCGGCTCCACCAAAGAAGGCTGCACTGGCAAACGCTTCCTTTTTAGCTAATGCAAACACATCCAATACACGAAGTCCATAGCGCTTCTGTTCCGCTTCCTCCTTGGCAAATGCTTGCACTGTACGAATACTGCTGATGCGTTCTTCTGCCACCTTGGTGATCTCACTCAACGCAGTCTGTGTCTTTCTGGACAATGTCTTGACATAACGACCATACACGATACCAAATAGAGCCACGGGAGGTACAATCAGCATCATGATGCCTGTTAACTTGGGACTCACCACCAACATCATGGAAGAACCCACTGTAGCGGTAGCCAATGCTCTATTGTGCCCATGAGGATCTCTTCTATGCCAATCCAAACCAAGCGGCCAACTTACCGTAAACCATCACTGACATTGCCTGTCAAACTCTTGCCTACAATAGCTGTGTCTGTGGACAATCTCGATATCAATTCACCCGTTCTGTTCTTGTCGAAAAATGCCATGTCTTGCTTCAAAATGGATTTGTAGAGATCGTTGCGAAGTCGTTGAATGATCCTTTCACCGGCAATTCGAAACAGCAAGACACGACCAGCATTAGCAGCCGCACCCAGCACAAATACCATGGACAATGCACCGGCAAACTCAGGCATCGTCAATCCAAGATAGCTATCCATGTCTGGATGCGTGACAATATCAATGATTTTGCCCATTGAAAACGGAACAGACTATTCTGCTGATTAGTTTGCGTGTTGCAGTTTAATCATTCAAAATGGCAACTTACCATGGTGATGGCAGATGATATCACTAGTAAACCAGTGGCACCTTTTTCAAAAGACGATTAGTCATAAACACACCCAAACACACAGGGCATGCTTTATTTCACTTTACCTGCAATGCTTTTGGCTTCCGGTTTAGCAAGACGAAACAGTTTCTTGATTTCATTTATATCTGTCTTTTTCTTGGTAGCAGCAGCAGTAGCAGCTGTGGTAGTTGTTTGCTCTTTCAGTTCGTTCTGTGCTTGTCGTCGACATAATGGGCTCGATGTAAAGGAGCGTCGTAACAAGGAGGGTTGCAAGCCATTGACTTTAGTGCGTAATAGTAGGTGAGGTTGCTTTTTGTATAAGGGTGTCAACCGCACATTAGAAGCTATACATCTAAACATGGTAAACGAATTAAAAGTGTCAACAAAAAAAAAAGAGGAAAGGTGAATCCTGGCTTTATTTAAAGTGTGCGGATTCTCGGTGGTTTATCCAGACCATGTGCGACGGATCTTCAACATTGTGTATATGTGCAATGTGTGTACAAGCATGAAAAAAAGGGTATCTTTTGACTTGCTCAACAGTGGCTGGGAGTCGTTTCTTTGTTTGACAGTTCTTTGCAGCCAGGAGTGCAGTGAGGATGTGAATTCCTTCCGGTATCAAGGTCATCGTCCTCAACGGGCGTCTCGTCGGCAATCGTTATTTCCTCCAACATGGCTGATTTTGGTAACAAGTAGTGCTATACATCTTCACAGTGCATACGGTATAACATTTTTAGATGCTGTATTCGTGGTGTGTTTTTATCGCTCATGCTCAATTCGAAAATACGATTCTCAAATTGTGCCTTCATTGGATACATGGTCTCCAAGTAACATCTTCTCGTTAAGGCTGATCGTATTATTCAGCTACAAATAGGAAGCATCAACAACGAAGATTTCCATGCTACCCATCCCATTCTCCATCCACACGATTACCTTTTTATCCCCCCCCCCAGTGGAATAATTGGCGACTAGACGCTCGTTTGTTTCCTCTACAGCTGCAACTAATGAATCATATGCACAACAATCACCCTCTTTTATTCTGGTGATGATTTTTGTAGCGCTCTTTCCAGGCTCCATAAAGTACTGAATGAGAGTGATTGTCAATAGACATAGGCCACTCTTGCAGCTGATCTCTTTTGAGTTGGACAAATTGTTTGAACAAGGCTTTAGGTTTGATTGTAATAAATTTCTCGTTCTATACGCCAAATAGCGGCTGTATTGTAAGCTGACGAGATGACTCAGTAGATGTATTTTCTTCTTACCTGGTAGACCTTTGTCAGTGATTTTGCCACAGCCAGCAACCAAAATTAATTTAATCTCCGCGTCTTTTTCTCTATTCGAAATGGCAAAAATTTGTTCTAAAATCGATTGTTTCATCCTTTTTGCAAACTTTGACTATGTATATCATACGAATTACTCTATGCCCCCCTTAAGCTTTCTGAAAGTATTTTTCAAGGCGCATCCGATGGTACTAATTATAAAGAGTATCTTTGACAAACTTATTGAGCAATATTTGAAAATGTTAAATGAGCTTTTGGTCCAAAATGTCGAGATTTTGTATACAAAAACCTCACAAACAAAGTGTCAGGGGCTTCTTTGGATCGAGAGAAGCATTTTGAATTAATATATGCTATAGTAAAAGTCTTCAATTTTACTGTCAAAAACTTGATCATTTGATTTTCGATGAAAACCATGAGGGGGGTACCTCATGCTTTTTGGTTGAATTTTGTCCATATTTTTTTGGTTCCCAAAAAGTGGAGCAAAAGGTGCCAGAAAATAAGCGCAAGACGAAAGCGGTTGAATGATGCTATTCTGGCAGTCTAAAACGGCTCTAACATGAGAAAACACGTCTCCAATACATCCAAACCTCGGTGTGTTTGGCACAAATTGGAGCAGTAAGAGACAATGCTAGTATGCTGCTTGCAGTATATAAATTTCTCCCGTTGAAACAGACGTAGAACATCCTAAAGAAGGCAGCCCCACAGTTCCAGGAAGTCTGTGAAGAGCTGTCATTTAATGGTAGATTGTCAAAAGACGAGATTTCAGTACATATTAGTAAGATTACCAATCTTGATAAGGATTTTTAGAATGCATTACATGTCGGCCAGCTTGAACATGTTGTTCATGATCAAATACCATGCAGAGATAATCTCTTGCCCTTATTCAGTAGCTGCCACATCTACTTGATATCGTCCTGGACTAGCAGCGCTTGCGGTTGATATTCAGCATTAGTGCCTAACTTTATGCCAATGACTGCATGATGTTGCAGTTGTTCAGTTTTGTGAAAGATCCACCGGCTAATTGTTCAGGCCACAATGATGAAATGACCTATTGTCATTGAAACACTATGCCTAATGTGGAGGCACCAATGAAAATCCTCATTCACGGGTTTATAAATGTCTAATGCACCGCAGCTTCTGCTCTTTTACTCTTTTTCATCCCCACTCAAATAACAAAAGCCATGCCCAGTTTATCCAATTCTCAACCTTTAGCACCTGCTGCACCCAACGACATGACAACAGCTGATTGCTATGTTCGCATTGATCAATTTTTAAACAAAAACTCCTCCATAAAGCAATTTAAAATTGAAGACGACAACCATGGTATGGGCATGATTTCGACAGCAGATCCAAATGCGCCCAAGCAAGCCATCAATATGCGTCTCAGTCAATCTACTATTGGCAATTACCTCATCAATAACGGATTCCAACGTGCTTCTGATGGTGTATCTACTTATATTAGACAATAAAAATAGTGATATATATTTACAAAAAAAAAACAGCCAAAGTGTGTGTGTGTGTGTGTGTGTGGCAAGAGATGAAGGGATATTGTATATATAGAACAGAGAGGGAGAGAGAAAAAGAAATTATGTACTATTGATTACTGATTACAATGGATTATCGATGGGCTTGCTGATCAGCTAGCCATGGATAATTTTGTATTCAATGCTTGAGCCAAGCTTTGTATATCTTCATCTTCCACTCTAGTATCCATATCATCTTCTTGTATGTAGGACACTAATCTCGACATGGATTGTTCCAAGCCATGGGTCATTTCGGGTCCTATCATCGAAATTATCGTTAGCATCACATTCCATCATCTGCTTCGCCTCTTGTAATAACTTACCACACTCTGCTATGCTGACCATCCCATATGCCATCAAAGCCCATAGTAGATGCATGACATTCTTGGCTACCCCTCGATGAAATCCCATCCCAATGCCTACACCCCTTCCTTCTTCTTCCAATCTTTCAGCTCCCCAATTGACCAAGGCCAGTGTATCGGCTTTATCCATAAATCGAAATTCGTCGTCCTCATCTCTCTTATTGTCTGTGTTCACAACAAGCCGCTGTCGTCGTCGAGTGATGCTGTGCGTGATTGCATTTGTATACACGACAATGCGGGTCATCAGTTCCAAGCTTTTCAGCAGTAATTCAGAATAAAGCGTGTTGCATATGATCAGTGTGTATTGGTGGAAAATGGATGGTGCCATGGAGACCGGTGTGAGGAATTCTGTGAGATTATCATGTTCAATCACTGTTTGATGGCTGGTGTCTATAGAGCATGATAGAAATGTGTTTAAAAGCCTTCAATAGAGTTGAGTATCACTGAGGTTCCATCGTGTGGCTGGTGGCAAAACCTACCGAGTTGTCTCTAATAGCACTCTGGCGTCGTTCTCGTTCCATAGTATGGAGCGGCATAATCTGAGCACATCCATATCACCCATCAAATAAGGGCCAATGCCACAGTCCCAGTGACAAGCCATGTTTGCTAATGTGCCCATTGCCAGTTCTCTGGTTCTAGGCCTTGAGGTGGATGTAACAATCTAGCTTGCAAGTGTTGGTTTCCCAAGTTGGGTTTTTTGTAATGACTTTTTTCTTTACCTTTAACAAGGCTCTATGAAATTGCTGGTCTTTGATGGCTAAAGCGTATTCTTGAACAGTGCATACATCCCAAGCAGCACATAGAGAGCGTTCAAATGGAGAGTCTTCATCATATGAGGTGGATGCATCTATCGTCTCGTTGACAATACATTCTATGATTCTCTTCATGATGGGAGCAACAACTGTAAAGTCGTTGTCTGTCGAGTTCATATTGACAAAACTAGAGTCGTTTGTATAGAACAAAAGGGGGAAAGAAAAGAGAGAGAGAGAGAGAGAGAGAGAGAAAGAATATGAAAAAAGCCTCTCTCTCCCCTTCGACACCTATTTCTCCCCTATTAATTCAAATGGAGCCACTTCATAACTATACACAAGGTCGAGGCCCTTCTTTTTTTTTTTTTTTTTTTTTTTTTTTTTTTATCTCACTACTTCTTTATTTATGCAAGATTTGCTTGCTTGATGATGGCTGCTAATCGCTTGTAGTCTGCCAAGAGTTCAGTAATCTCGCCAATCTTGAGTTCATCCACTGATTTCATCTCCAAAAACTTGTTGATAGGACCCTCTCCATTTGGCATGGAAGGAGGCGACTGTTGCTAGAATGAACATTGGCATGAGCTTTCGATATTACATAATCATCTTGGAATCAACATATATATATATATATATATATACCTTTTTCACCTTGCTGTTTGTGCGGTCCTCCATGAAACTAGGCAACGAGGACACGGATGTGGCAGTGGATGTTGTAGATATCTCCTTCAGCTCGCTCTTGGGTAACGCAGCATCGCTTACTTTTCTGACTCTGCCTTTGACTTGCTCCACGAGGCCAGACACCGTCTTGTTGTTTTCTAATTCTTGCGTATTGCGCTGCCAAAATTTACCAAGGCCATCAAATACTCTGTAAGAGCTATCTACCACGTCAGACACAATCTTCAGTCCTGGATTGGGTGGTTGCTGCTGTTGTTTGGGCGTAATCGTCGTTGTGTCCATGGCTTTGGTGGCATTCAGATCAGTGACATGACTGAACACTCTGTCAGCAGAGAGACCCAATCCGACGAGGTTTGTCGTTTCTAGAAAAAACACAGCTGCCATCATATTTGTCAGACAGTAGCTGGCCGGTCCTGATGAAATGTCGTCTGGTCTGCGGTATCTTTGTATAAATTTGAGGTTGGATAAAAAGTTGGTTGGATTTGACTTGACAATGGTGAATATCAGTATTGGCAGCAAGACATCAGCATTCACTGACAGTACAGGTTTCTCTTCCTCAACAGAAGACATGGCTTGCTTCATTTCCTGCACCACTTGTGCGCTGGAATCAAGTCGAGTGGCGTTGCGATGCTTCTCTGTGAACTCCTCAATGGCATTGACAATGATCTGATGCGTTTTTATCAGTGCTTCCAACTTGTCTTTTGCTCCCATGATGGTATTCAACTGCTGTAGCTGTGTGCCTGCTTCCTTGACTATATGATTCAGATGCTCATTGTCTTGTTCGCTCTCGATAGTGACACCCAAATGCTGCAAATTCAGATCCAACAGGTTGAGTGCTGCAATACGAGATTCCAGCGCTTCATCTTGCATTGCTTCGTCACCCTCTGGATTTGTGAACAATTGGTCATACAGCTGGTTGCAAATGTAGGTTTCGATCGTATCCAGTCTGGCCATATCATCATGAATGTCACTGCTCCTTAAATCATCCAAGAAATCCAATACTTTGTTGCTGGATAAATCGGTGGTTCTGGGAGGATTCTTCTTGTAATCCTTGATGAATTGATCCACTTTGGCACTACAGACATCCACAAGAGGCGATCCAATGTCCTTGATGTTCTTTGCTCTGGCTTCTGTCCATTCAACAATGTCCTTTCTCGAGAGTGGCTTCTGTATCAGCATCACAGTGATCAGCCTGTCGTCTCGGAGTGGTAACAACACATGGCTAGCAAGAATGTTGTATTTTGGGTGATCTGGCGTAATGGACGATGGGTCCAGGCTAAATGTATCAAACAGCGATTTTTTTGAGGTGGCATCGTTCATGAATCTGGATATCTCTCCTTCCGATGGCAGCAGACCCAGTGCTATGAACTGGTCCTTTTGAAATACACCACGAACACCTCCTAATGAAATCACCTGGTTGGTATGATGCTGGTCGTTGTATACAATAACGTGGTCCATGATGAAATCACGATCGACCCTGGCTGATGGATGAGATGGCGTGGATACAGGCAGCAACAACATGGCCTATGTACAAGCACTCAGCTACGCAAACCCTATATGGCATTTGGAGAAAGCCTACCTTATCTTTATTTAACAGTAATTCAACGATATCATCCAACTCGTTCACTTGTGTGTCCTGCAAGCGAGAGAGAGCCAACATTCCCCAAGAGTTGGTTGGCATAGGTATAGAAAATGATGTAGCGTTCATTTTGTTGCTGGTGGAGGAGGAGGCAGAAGATGAGGTTGAGACGCTTTTGGTGATATTCGATGGCCTTTTGATCAATGGCGAGCGTGTTATGGAATCTGAACTGGTTATTCGTTGCAGGAAATTGGAAGGCGGTGATGGTGAGCTTGATAGCGGGTCTGTATGGCTCTTTGCAGGCTCATTTGTGTTGGGTTTCTTGAAAGAGTCAAAGCGAAACATGTTGGTGTTGGAAAGAAAAAGGAATGATGATCAAAGAAAATTAAATTGCTTGATGGTGGGTAAAGGTCACTCCGCTATTGGTGGTTCATGCAGTCTGATGACAGCATATTGCAAACTGACTCTCTTGTAGCTTTTTGACTTGTGTTAGCAACACATCATTTCAACACAGATCTATAAAAATTTGCATAGAATACAGCACTTGAAAACGACAAAAGATGCCCTCCTAGAAGAATGGTATTAAGAATGTAAACAAGCAGTCGAAATCAAAGTCATTGAAGTATTAACGTTTTTTTTTTTATTGGAATTAATATTAAATAATTTAATGTAATTGCAGCTATCTAAAATTAACTGTATTAGAATATTTTTTTTCTGTTGCAAAAGGGAATATATGAAGAGAAGGTGAAATATTCATTTAAATACCAAGACTGGCGGAAGCACCGGCATCATTGGCGGAAACACCGCCGTCAAGGTTATCGTCATCGCTGGGTAAAGCAGGCAAGGATACAGAGGGCAAAGATACATCAGGCAAAGATACATCAGGCAAAGATACATCAGGCAAAGATACATCAGGCAAAGATACATCAGGCAAAGATACATCAGGCAAAGATACATCAGGCAAGGATACAGAGGGCAAGGATACATCAGGCAAAGATACATCAGGCAAGGATACAGAGGGCAAGGATACATCAGGCAAAGATACATCAGGCAAGGATACAGAGGGCAAGGATACATCAGGCAAAGATACATCAGGCAAGGATACATCAGGCAAGGATACATCAGGCAAAGATACGGAGGGCAAAGGTGCCTCGGAAGGTGCGGACGCACCAGTGGAAACGTCATTAGGACCAAGCAAGTCTCCAGCAACGATGACAGAGAGAACAGATCGAAGCTTGGGGACGATAACGCTATCGTCACCGGAGTGGGAGACTATAAAGAAGTGTACCAGTCAATGTCCAATCCACACACTCAGACATTGCAATCCAATGAATACTTACAAATAAAGGTAGCATCAGTCTCAGTAGCAGTTACAGTGGAGGTAACAGTGGTGATGGCATTGACAGTAGCTTCGACGGCATCAATAACTTGGATTTGAGTTTCACCACCATTAAGCACGGTTTGAGTGGCAATGATGGCACGCTTGGCCAAACTATGATAGTAAGTGTAAGATGGTTATCATCGTGGGGCTGTTCAGGGCACACACACAACTTACTCAACATGACCAGCAGGCTTGGCAGAAACGCAGGCAGCGAAGGCAACAACAGCTGAGAGGGCAAGGAACTTCATTGTATTGGTTATTGGTATAAAGGGTTGTTTGGAACAGAGAAGATTTGATGATTTTTTTTTTTGGATTGGGGAAAACCATGGCCGTTTATATATCTGATTCATGTTGCAAGAATGCAAAACATGGACGAAATAGTAACATTTGTAGCTTGAAAATGCAGGCTACTTGGCGAGAAAACAAACGAGTTTTTATTATTGACTGAGCAAAATAACATTAATTCAAACGGTGCAGTTTGTAATAAAATCCACTGAAACATCAATGAATGTGCTTATATCAGTATGTACACCATATCAGTCCGTATATGATCAGTTGCTAATCAAATATATATATATATATATATATATAAAACGCGTGCTGCTTGATATCATGGAATTGAACATTGCAAAACAGAATAATTTCCTATTCACAAAGTGCGCTATGGAGCGTTTGCATGTGTCAGAAATGTGTGTACACTTCAAATAACTAGAAGGACATATCAGGTAACTGTAATGTATAAATTTCCTACAAGATTATGTGGCAAGCATGATACAACAGGAGCAATAACCTGAAATAGTTTGATTTTGATATGAAAAATAAAAGGTTTTATGGACAACAATGAATATATCAAATCAAAAGTAGATATCATTCTAGTGATAGCTACAGCAAATGATAGATGACAGTTCAGGGCAGCGCTTCATTTAAGGAGCGAGGAAGGTCAAGCGAATGGTAGCCACCACGTCTGGATAATTCGCTGGATGATTCCTCAGAGGACGATGAAGATTCCTCACTACTGGATGGCTCCTCACCAGAGGAAGCCTCATCAGAGCTGTATGATGCTACTTCAGCATCAGGCACAAGCCTACACAACATCACTAGCAGTAATAGCGGAAACAGTGATGACAGCAGCCGCAATGGTGGAAATCGTTTGTGCTAATGAATTTATACAAAATATGGTACCTGATCTGCTTACTACCCAAAGATAACTGACAGAATATGTCCTTTATTGCTTGTATACCAACAGTGCGCACACAAAGTACTGCAAACGCTGATAAAAACCTACTGTTTGAAAATGGATTTTTACAGAAATCAACCTCTGCTACTTGTTGATGTTGCGAATGCAATGCTAAAAGAACAATGTGGAATGTCTGGCATAGACAAAAATATCGCTGTATGTTTAAGCGAACAATGCACATCGATACAGCTCAGCAACTACCCAGCAATTCAAACTATTACCCAAAAGTCTGTATTGCTGAATGTGAGACACATCCTGTGGAAATTTAAGATGAGGTTCACAGGTAGGCGGATCAAAATTGCTATAGCTGTCATCGTCGCTGCTGCTCAATTGATAAGCTGGACCTGGGAAAGCATGCAATCGCGAGACTTCCGTTGGTGACAAAAATCTTAGCCCAAACGACAATAGCGACGGTGTGTCATCCCAGTTGTAATCTGTGCACTGTTACAATGACACTTTCAATTTGATTGTGCATGGTGTCCTTTAGTTGGTCATATTTACCTCAAGGTCTTTTGTTTGTACAAGCGATCCACTGGTTTGAATGTGATGAGATCCGTATGCCTGCGTGATTATATATACATCAGAGTGTCAATCAAATGCACCGCAATTGCAAATAATACCTTGGTCACGCATGATGTATGCTTGTCAGTTGGCCGCACAATATCCAGGCGAAATTTGTATAGTCTTAGAATAAACCTCTCAGGCACCATCCACTTTTTAACATCCACATTGTCTCCCTCCTCCAAAAACTGAGATAGTGGTGGCAATTCAACTTCTTCGATTGGTTTGTTACCAATCGTCCATTCTGTTTGGATCTTGCTTGTGTCTATATAGCTTTCTGTTGTTCTTTGTGTTTGTGGGGATCTGCGTGCTGTCAGATAATAGCGCATACGGTGATTAGGGATACCAAATTGTGTCGGTGTCAGCAAATATTCGTTGATCTCGTATCCTAATGCATCCAGCTGTTCTACCAACTTCTTTCTGCACTGTGAAGTCTACATTGTTTGGTCAAACAATGCGTCCATCGTGTGTTCCCCCCCCCCCTCCCCTTTGATGCTTTCTACTGTACCTCAAAATTCTTGACGTTTTCCAGAAAAATGTACTCTGGAATGACATCCAACTGAGGCAATAGATCAATGAGATGCAGCAAAGCTTTTGCTCGCGGATCTTCAGCGTCTTTCTTATGCCCTCCATTCGTGTAAGGCTGGCAAGGTGGGCTCAATAACCAACAAGTTGCTTTGTACCAATCAATGTCTTTCACTGTCAAACGATCAATTGTTTTCTGCTAAAAGTTGAGCATTCAGTGCAGCACATAAACGTCTGATACCTACTTTGGATGGTGAGTGGTTGAAATTGTGTCGATAGACTTTGTTTGCAATCTCATTGACGTCAAAAGCCTCTACTACTTGAGCGTTTATTTGGGCAATATTCAAAGCGTAATGCTGTTTCGTTGTGCGTGGGATTTAATTATTTTACAACAAGCATATGGAGTATAAGATCGTACCAAGCCACCTATTCCACTGAAAAACTCCAAGCAACGGATGGGTGTGTCAGTCTCGCTCATCGTGTTGTATTAATTGTTGTGCTGGAAGAAGAAAAAGTTTTGATGGCGAATTTTGTTGTGCAATAGTTTTGGTTGTGTGCCTTTTTTTTCAAATTCAGGTGTCATTCTTGGTGTGTTCGATATTGGAGTCAACGCTTCAAGATTTGGCAGTTGCTACAATGAGCTTACTGCTCAAAATCATGATTCCGTGTAGACACAGCTTTCGCTATGTTAAGGTACTTCAATATTAAGACTCTCTGGCCAAAGCATTCATCAGTTTCTTATTCGAATACAAAGAGAGCATTTTCAGTAACTGTAAGTATTTTGCTTTTGAAGTTCGTAAGCTATTAACGATACCACAGTGTTGAAATTATCTTCATTTGCTTGGAATTCCTTGATTTTCAATTATTTATCACACGATGATTTCATAATGTATAATATACACTACCTGACATTATACAACATTACCTATCTCAACTCAAATGAACTACCATCAGCTGCTTGTATGCACAGGGACGAGAAGAAGCCTCACAATGCCAGTTGTAGGTGGCACATCAGCCTTAGTCGTTGGGGGGTTTTTGAATGAGCATATTAAGGAGAAGCGGTAGCAGCTGGCAATTGCTTTACCACATGATTTGCTTCAAAATAGAATTGATGCGAATCTTGATGGACGTGTACATAAAAATAAACAAGAGCTCTTCATACTTTGAAAGATCGTAAAGTTGAAGTTCCCTCTCTCGAGAAAATGGTGATACTTTCCATAGCTTTTGTATCTAGAGGTAAGACTAAAACAGCGAGAATACTTTATATGTTTGACTAGCTGCTGTGTCCCCCTTTTTGTATTTCTACTGCATTTTTATGATTACTGTATCTGCAAGGTGGAAATGGCACTACGATAGTAAAAGGCACTGATATTTAGTTTAGTTAATTCGACTGACAGAATGTGATGGTAGTTTCAGTTAGGAAGGCTGTTGGGAAGCATTGTAGTCGTAATCGCTTAACCATCAACTGCTTTGTTGTGGTGTGGCAAAGGCTCAAAGCTACACTGCGCTATCAATCAGTAAAGAAGAACAGCATCTCCACGCGTTCTGCTGACTCTATGGCCTTCAGTTTGGGTGTATTGGATGTCCACTTGAAGGGTTGATAAGCATATAAATGCATTCTCAGTTGCTACATTGACCGTTGAATAAGTATGCAAGGAAATTGTAACGTAACGACTGCAAAAAGGCCGGTGTTTTGATGCTCTTTTCAGTGTAATTTGACAAGCTGGAATAAACATCATAAACAATAAAGGAAAGCAGAATGATGTGCTCAACAATATCATTATATTATAATACGAGCCATTCGATACCTCGGGTGGTTTCCTGACCTACGCTATGCTTTGGTGGAAACCAACCTACGTTCAAGTGGCTCGCGCTACCGCAAACCTTTGGCTAATATTGCAAAATTAATAATAATAGCTAAAATGTTAGAAGAAACTTGCTTGTTGATTGATACTGATTTAATATAAGATCTTTGATTATATATGAGCCATACCTGACAAATGCCTAACAACTTGGTTTACATATTAGGGTTGTAAAAGTGTCTATGGACTGAACATTTATTATAATATGACATTTATTGCCCCTACATTTTGAAAAGCTTCAAAAAGGAAAGAAGTTGATGTAGCAGGTATTTCTGTGGACTGACTTTATTATTGCAAGGCTTCAAAAGAAAGTAGCATGGCTAAAGATAGTGCTATGTAAAGTGCCACATACTTTCTATACGTTTTAGAAGCATCTATTACTGTATTGCCTTCATGATGGAAAGAACATTGAGTTTGCCAGCCGACCCCACCAGCCGCCGCCAAAATTAATTGCAATGCCGACTTTTATTCTACCCCAGAGTGGTCAGATTTTGATAGCTCTTCGACTTGATTCAATTATTTTGCCAGATTCGACTATATCAGTTGTGATGATCATTCTTTGCTTCCTAATACAACCTCAAAGTACTTTTCAAGACGCATCCAATGGTACCAAGTAAGGTATGTGTTTTTAATAAAATTGCTGAGCAACTTATAAAAATATGAAATGAGGTTTCTGGCCAAAATGTGGAGATTTTACATATCAAAGTCCCACAAAGACGATCTCAAGAGTTACGTTAGATTGATAGAAACATTTTGATCCAATACATACCATAGCAAAAGTTTACAATATCAAGGTTAAAAACGCGATCGTTTGATTTTTGATGAAAATCATGAGGGGTATCTCATGCCCATGGCTCTTCCCGCTAAAAAACAGAAAACAGGTTCAACGACCGAAAGTAGCACCTCCAAGGCTACAAATACCGTTGTTGACGCATCATGGGCAAAGGTAACGAAGGGCATCAAGCATACAACGATGACCTTCAATCCAACGATCGTAAAGACACCCATCACACCTTCCACCGCCACCAGTGAATCGAATCAGTCTCTGATGACCGAGGACGCCACCGTCAGCAAAAGTGTGGAAATGGTTCGACCCTTCCTCAAGGGCATTGAAGACAACTCGGTGCTCATCGACATTACTGGTTTGCCTAATCAACAGCTCTTACGAGAGGCTCTGCAAGCATTCAACAAAGATGCTCATCTCAGAAAAGGCTACAACGATTATATCGGCAAAGTATCTCGCACTCGCAAGTATATGAATCGAGAGATCATGGAAACATGTTGGATCCACGACAGTCCTGGCCACATCGCAATCCTGCAGGGCTTCAATCTGACGGATGGGACCTTTGTCAAGGGTTTCCCCTCTCTTCCAGCTAATGATACTATAGTTAATGTTCGTTTAGACAGACTACCCATGGAGCCAGTTCCTGTCCTGAAATCTTTGATAAAGGATAGACTGTCACATTTTGGAGAAGTCTTGGACTATGGCATCTCCTTCACTCAGGGCGACTACGTCGGACAAGGCTATGCCACTCTGAACATCACCCCCAAGCCAGACGAACCAGCGTATGAAATCTTGGATCGAATTATCTACTTCAGATTGGATAATGGCACCAACCGTCAGGTCCTTCTCAAATGGCAAGATATGCCAGATTTTTGTCGTCTCTGTCAAAAACCGGATCATTGCAAAGCCGATTGTCCTGATGCCAAGAGGTACACGCAATGCTACAACTGCAATCAACATGGACATGTCAGTCGCAACTGCCCTAGACAGGATAACACTGACACCCCCAACAAGAAGCCCACTACGATCCCCAGGAAAGATCGCAAGGTACCTACTCCGATCATTCCCCGAGAGCCCAACCCTCCCATTGGCCCTAGAGTGGTAGTAGCCAAGACCCAGGAAACCACAGACACTGAGTCGGCCAAGAAGCAACAGCAACAGAACAAGCCTGAACCCACCAAGGAGGAGGAAGAGGGTACTGATGAGGACAACATGAATATTGATTCTCCCACTCCTCAACCCAAAAGTAACAATGATGACGTTACACCAAATGCAGATGCTGCGAGCGCACAGACATCTGCCAACAACACGCAAACATTGACATCATTTAATGCAGCTGAATCAACTCTGAATGGACAAGAGCTGATCAAGCAATTTATGCCTGATGACAGTATGAAGGAGCCTCTCATTCAGGAACGACCAGATCTGGAAGATGGCAGAGATGGCAAAAAGCTCAGAACGGAGCAGGAACAGCGCGCCAATCTCACCAGGCGCTTCACCAGAGGCAGTGCAGCCAGCAAATTCAACACTGTCACCGACAAGGGCGGCAAAGGAGCTTCAGACGACTCCCAAGGGCAGGAAACATCAGAAACTGCTCAGTCCAACCCTCAACACTTAGAATAATATGATGATTAGAGCACCTAATCATCGATTGCGGATTGCGACTCTCAACTGTCGTGGTCTGACACACAAAAACATAAAAAACGCAGAAAAAAAATTCATAAAATACCTCAAAACATCAGACATTGATATTCTTGCCATCCAGGAATCTCATGCTGACAAAAAAGATACTCAAGACACTTTAGAAATGCAGTTTTCCAGCAAGTCCAGCACCTACACCAAACATTGCGGAATCATATCACTTAACAACAGATACATTATTACACCCATTGACACTGGCATCGACGGTAGATTTATACTAGCACACGTACATTATGCGACGGAAGAGGAACCAAACTCCTCCAACTCCATAGCCACAATACTCAACATATACGGAAAAGCAGCATCAAGAAAAGACAACGTGGAATTCTACACGGAATTGATGCAACACAGATTTTTGATACACAAGATTACAACTATTCAGAACAACATGATTATTTTGGGAGATTTCAACTACAAATATGAGTCTCGCCGATCTAATGGAACAGTCGAAGCAACTACAGTCGAATGGACAGCCTTATTGGAGGAACATTTCATCGATTGCTTTTGGGAAAACAAGAGCGCCACTTTTCATGGATCCAACAATCTCCATTACATCTTGGACTACATCTTCTGCAACAACACTTCCTATGGAACAGTTACAGAGTGTACCCAGGAGTTTATGAACTCGACATGGACAGATCATGAAATGCTGGTCATTACTTTACAACTGCAAAAGGATGCAACACAGGGGCCTGGCGCCTACAAATGCAATCCCTTTTTGGCCAACAACCACAAGTTTCGTCGTGAATTGGTGATCTTCTTGCAAGGTCTACAGCCGCAAGTTGAGCTCAAGACAGCCACCCAATCCCCTCAAGAGATCTGGGACTGGATCAAAGACGAGTTTAAGGAGCATGTCCGACAATTCCAACTGGAAGAAGTCAACTGGCGTAGAAAGGCACTGAAGACGTTACAAGCAAAACGGAATCGGTGTATGCGAGCAAAGAAGAACCGGGGACTGATATTTCAAGGGCTAGACACCATCAACCAACAAATTGGTGCGTTACAAGACTCTATCGCCGAAATTGAAGTCCTCAAATTAGGGAAGTATTGGAGAGAAAATGGAGAGAAAAATGCTGGGTTCTTGAAGAAACTCACCGTATCTAGACAGAATCAACGTCAATTGAAACAACTGAGGCATCCAGTTACTCAAGAATTGCATTCTGATCAAGGTACTATGAGCGAGATCGCTGGCAGCTTTTACACGAATTTGTACACACCAACTCCACCCGATGCCAGATCAATGCGGCTATTGTTGGATCAAATCACACCTGACATGCAACTTGACGGTGAACAGCAATCACTCCTCGAACTACCAGTAGAGCTAGATGATTTGTTGTTTGAATGTAAAAGATCGCCTAAATTTGCGTCTCCCGGCAGCGATGGCATCCCTTACCAACTCCTCCGGCTGATTCTCAAGTTCCCGCCCCTCCACTCTCTCATCACCACGGTCTACAATGATGCCCTCACCAAAGGCATATTTCCTGCGTCTTGGAACGTCTCCCTCATGACAATCCTCTACAAGAAAAATGACCCCAATGACATGGCAAATTATAGACCTATCTCCCTCTGCAACACTGACTACAAACTCTTGACACGTTTGCTTAATCATCGAATGATGGAAGTCGCTAAGCAACTGATCAACGAGAACCAAGCGGGATTCGTACCTGGGCGGTTCATTGCCCAAAACGCTCTGCGGTGTCAGGTCATAATGGAAGATGCTGAACGAACCATGAACTTGGCCAAGAAGAACAATGTGATACACCAAATGCCCAAAGCAATTGGCCTTAGTCTTGATCAGGAAAAAGCGTACGATCGAGTTAACCTCTCGTACCTTCAAACAGCACTCATTACTTATGGCTTCCCTGCTAATCTTGTCCGCTGCATCATCAACATGATGGGCCAAAATCTCTTGCGCATCAATGTGAATGGTTACTTTACTGATGATATTCCCAAGCTGCGAGGCTTAAAGCAAGGTGACCCCATTTCCTCTATTTTGTACAATTTGGCTATTGAACCCTTTCTGCGGTCTATTCTCAATGATCCATTATACCACGGCTATCAAATGCAGTATGCAACTGACCATCCCAACTATAATGCTAATGACCCTTTAGTTCATGTGTCAAAAATCCTATGTTACGCTGACGATGCTTTTGTATTTGTTCAAGACCTTCCTGATCTGGCAAGACTCGAGTACCACTTAGATGTCTATTGCAATGCAACCAATGCCAAGATTAACTACAACAAGGTCGAAGCTATCTCGCTCTCTGGTCAAAACACATGGTCATATTGGCAAGCACGACTCTCGGAAATGAATATCACAAAATTCACATCCAACAAGGATTCCAATCCAGTGATCTATCTCGGGTTTCCTCTGCTGCAATCGGTTCAACAACGTGAAGTATTTATCGGTGGTCTTGTCGACAATCTCCGGACAGCTACCAAAATCCACAGTGTAAGAAGTCTCTCCGTCGTTGGCAAAGCTACAGTGCTCAACAGTTTGATTTTGTCCAAATGCTGGTATGTACTACGAGTAACTCCGTTTGCTCAAAGTAATGTCCAAGCTATCCAGTCCATTTGCACCAAGTTTCTACGAAAAGGCATCTTTCCTGTTATCCCCTGGGCCACATGGACCAAGCCGAAGCCATTAGGTGGATTAGGTGTTCTGGATGTTGCTCTGCAACAATCAGCCCTATACTTTCGTTGGGTTCAACCGCTCCTCCATCCCTCTGACTCGCCCCACATCCTAGATCTCATGCTGGTCATGCTAGTGAATAAGCAAAATCAGAGTGCGCATGTGCAGGTTCCGTTGCTCTTTCCCCTCACACGAACCACTGGTCTCACCAAACAACGCACCAACACGGTAACAATGATCTACAAATCAGTTGACCGCCTCAAACGCATCAATGAACCAGTTCACCTCAATATTGCTACCGCCTCAATCCTACCTGTCAAAGCCATTCTGCAGCCGTCTGCCACTGTCTCCAAAATGCCGATTAGGGCCACTCAGTTGCAAGTAAAGGATCTTTATCAACCCAATCCTGACCAACCTCTGCAACTCGAAGCACGAAAAGCACCAACCATCCCAGCTGACATTCGACGCGCTTGCAAGAAAATCCTGAAGCAAATCAACGAGAACAAAGTACATATCCAGCCGTACTTTAGCCTCATGCTACAACCCCCTCAGGGTGGCACCAACCGCACAACCGACATCTCCTTCAAACCGTTTATTGACTCCTATGATTTCAACAGCCAGCAAGGCCTCACTCGACAGATTTCAACCAGAACATTCCGCACAGCATGCATCGAGGCTCACACCTCCAGCATTGCCAGGTCCAACTGGAATTTCTTCTGGTCTCTGTCCCTGAACCTTGTCCACCGTAATGTCATCTATCGCTTCCTCACCCACACCATCCCGACCAAACGCCTGCTACACTACTTTGAGATAGCTGAGTCACCTCTCTGCCCGATCTGTGGTAACGAAGAAAATGCTGTACACTTGCTTTTCCTCTGTTCCAGTAAGGCATCCATCTGGAAAGCTATCATCTTTGAATTCTTGTGGCCAACCGTTTCGATTGGTGATATTATCCAAGCCTGTTCCTCTCTTGACTTTGAAAACATCAAGTATGTCTCCAAATCATACACCACTGCTCACATGGTCGTACTGGTAACACTTGGCAACATTTGGCGAGCTCAAGTTCGTATGATCTTTCACTCGACTCCATTTATATGGATCGATGTGGTCCAGCAGATCAAGAACGAGCTCCTTCAACTACATGCCCAAACTGAAATTCACAAGCAATTGTAATTCTCTAATCACAATTATCATCTATCATCTGTTCCTGTCATCTATCGCTTTATCCTAAATACAATTGAATATCATATCAATTGCGCCCGCCTCTTGGTAGTGCCCTAGGGACCTACTTACACGGAGCAATCAATAAAAACAATTTAAAAAAAAAAAAAAAGTATCTCATGCTTTTTGGTCGAATTTTGGCCATGTTTTTTTGATCCCCAAAAAGTTGAGCAAAGGTGTCAGAAAGTAACTGCCAGATGAGAGCAACTGTTTGGTGCTATTCTGGCGGTTTTAAGCGGCTTCCAGCACAAGAAATTGTTGCTCAAATTCACCCATTTCTTGTTGTGCTTTGCATTCTGTCGAATGCCAAGAGGCAATTCAGGTATAATGTATGCCTTGATCACTTGTTGAGTAGTGAAATTTGAAGAAATCAATGTATTGGTATGCCAGAACCAAGATACTTCCATCAAGCATAAACCATCGCTAGACTGTGAATAACCTTTATGCAGAAAAATCAGCGGCTGGTTCTGTCAAGTAGCGCTTACGGTATCCAATACCCTCTTAGATGCATATGATACTAGCATTTAATACAACTATAGATACCGTAGATACTGTAGCAAAAGTCATATCTCTATCAAAGCTTTAAGATATTTTTGGCTATTTTTATATTAAACTACAGGTTGAGCGAACGTAGGTCATTGTATAACTACATGTGTGTATATAGTCCCTCACACTACTAGTGCTTTTGCAACGACTAAATATTTTGCTCTAGAAACTTCTTGAAGTTTGGAATACTTTGTATCCATAGCAATCCAACAATTTGTATATTAGTACATAAACTCTCAAGTGCATTATCCAATAATATGTGTCTATCTCTAATAACATGAGGCATGAAGCTTGCGCAAGACTGCGTGTGTACAATGACTAAATAGTCATCTCTTCCGAGAGGAGAGTTGTATTGCCTACAATGATAGCGGTACTCTGTATGACATCAAACCTAACAATGCTTCGAAATGGCCATAGTCAGACTTTCTCCATTCATCTTCAACCACAGCTTCACGATTCAAGAACATTTATATCAGTGGCACTTATGATATCAGTTGCTTCAAACGGCTTTCTGTTTATACATTGGTTTTAATAGAGAATGTAATAAAAAGACGATGATATAGTAGGCAATGCAAAACTCTTTTTATTGTTAATTTGCTTGTAGCTTTATAGAAAACGATGATAATGTATGAGAGTTTGTTTAGATTTGAATAGATGCTAGCTAACTTGAATATAATTTGATTTAACTTGTATAGGTAAGAGATAGTATTGATGTGTGTATTGCAAGGTTTCGTGTATAGAATAGAGACAGCAGATGTGGCAGTATGGCTTGACTTTGTATATACTAGGCAGCATGAGTCTTGACATTATAATAGATGGCAGGCAGCAGAGATACGAGCATGGCTTGGTCTTGTATATACTAGGCAGCATGAGTCTTGACATTATAATAGATGGCAGGCAGCAGAGATACGAGTATGGCTTGGTCTTGTATGGATGTAGAGATGGCACCGTGTATTAAAGTGGTTTTGACATTGCAGGAAATAGATCTACACTATATTGCGGGACATTGGATTATTACAAAGGATACTTACCCTGTAGCATACTTGATGGACGATGAAAAGAGCAGCTTGAAACACGAGGAGACCAAAAGATGAAGCCAGGCTTCCAGGGCAAAACATCTGCCACAACTTGCATATCCCTAGCAACAAGGATGGGAAGACACCTCCCGGGAAACGCACCTAGCGCCTCGTCGCATCACCCTTACGAGCTACCGGGGCAACAGGTGCTGAGGCCACACGAGACAACCACCTTACGCGCATGACCCCTAGACCCCATCCAAGGCTTCAACCAAGTATGGAGTGCTTGCAAGTCAAAATAGAGAGGACCTGAGCTCTATTAATAGAGAGATGGTGAGTCATGCTGCTTTATAAGCTAGAAGTGACGAGTACATGCCTGCAGAGTTGATTATATGTTGCTATTATCTAAAAATACGAGGAGAGTGCGACCATGTTTTGCATGGACCGCAACCTAAGAGAACCATGGAATTATGAGAGCATCGTGTAAGAAAAAGCCAATCATCAGTACAGTGTTTGATTTACTTGACCATGTATAAAGCAGAAAGAGAGCCCAAGAGTATTGTAGAGAGAGTTCGCTTGCAGAGAGAGTTCGCTTGCAGAGAGAGTTCGCTTGCAGAGAGATTTGTTAATAGAGAGTAGAGATGAGATGAAGATGATGATGAAGAAGAAGAAGAAGAAGGAAAAGCTGTTGAAACAACCATCTATTTATATCCTTCTCATCGACTTTCATGTGAGTCCAGTGTCCTTGCCACACTCAAATTCGTTTCCTTTTACTTTTCTCCACGATATACTACTTTGAGCGCGTGAAAGTAGTACCATTTTGACGTTTGACACTTGCTCTATTTCATCCGCTTCGTCCGAGGCTTTCAACTGTTTTCTGTCTCGAGTTATGTCCATTTTGCTACTTCAAAAAGCCCTTTTTCCACCTTCACATGAAACGAGTTCCCCCATCTCTTCCTAGATGTAATTAACAGACAACTTTTCACTGGCTCAAACCTCATCAAAAAGTAAACAAAAAATGTCATTTGACACTGAAACAGATGCAGCTGGTTGCTTGATTAAGTAATCTTTTTTTTTTTTTTTTTACCTCTCCTTAATTTCTCTCTCCAAGATCATACGGTTCTCGATCCATCTCTCTTGTTGTTTACATCAGCCATAAATTGTCCATCTAATCGGACAATACGAGTGTTAAGGTTGGCTTTCTTGTCGTTTACATCACATCGGAGCCAGCATAACTGATTCTGGACCAAGAAACAAGTGTACACCTCGGAAAACAAGCGTGCTATATGAAGATTACTGCGGCAATCTCCATGGAATGGAACATAATGGATTGTTCTCGGACCAGTGCAAATCATCTTGTTCCCAGCTGTCATGGTTGCTGTCAATGATGTCAATCAAAGTGTTTGCGCTACTAGATATCATCAATATGCCCACATTTACATAGTGAGTTGGTCATTCTTGTGTATCATTCCTGCAACATGTTTGTAGTTCTTATGCCAAGAGCATGCATCTCATAAAGAGTTTAACACGTTTCATATCATTTTTTTTTAGGGATCGTCCTCTTTTAGAAGGTATTCGGATCATGCAAGATCAAAATAATTCATTTGCTAGGCAAAATTATGCTTTAAAAAAAAATCACATGTAAAGTAAACAAAAGGACATGAATTGAAGAGAGATAAGCAAGTAAATGGCCAATTTGTGGTCAAAGAGAGGATATTTTATTAGAAGGTATGTACATCATTAGAAAGCAAATCACTTGAGGAATCCAATGGTACTATTTTCAGGGTTCTAAGTCAAGTGCACATCGCGAAATTCATCAAACAAGGCCGTGGGATTTCCAAAAGAAGGAGGTTTCTGAATTAAACTTCACCTGCAATATCATTTTTGTCTGTGTGCTATTCTGTTGCTTTGGATCATGTCACGCCCGTCCCATGTCACCAACCTGTCCTTTTTGGGTCTCACGTTGGGTACACTACCCATTTGAGAAGGAGTCTCGCTTTCTCGTATAATCGTTTCTGTGGGTATCATTGCCGTTCTATTATAGGGCTTTGAGCAATCAAGGAGATTCTTCTTTTAGCCAGCCAAAACGGATTACAATCCCGCTCGACTTTCTGTCACGATTCGTTGATTTTTGATCCTTTTGCGACTCGATCGACTTATTTTTACGAGATTCGACTATGAAAGTTGTAGTGATCATCCTTTACAGCCTTAAGCTATCTAGGAGAAGTTTTCAAGGCGCATCCAATGATGCTAGTTATAATGGCTGCTTTTAATGAACTTGTTGAGCAATTCATGAAATTATGAAATAACGTTTTTGGCGAAAATGTTGAGATTTTACATATCAAGGTCCCACAAACATGGTTTCAGGGGCTGCCCTGAATCGAGAGAAACATTTTGAATTAATATATACCATAGCAAAAGTCTACATTATCAAGATCAAAAACGTGATCGTTTGATTTTTGATGAAAACCATGAGGGGTGCCTCATGCTTTTTGGTCGAATTTTGGCCATGTTTTTTTTTGATCCCCAAAAAGTTGAGCAAAGGTGTCAGAAAGTAACTGCCAGATGAGAGTAATTGTTTGGTACTATTTTGACCATCTAAAACAGCCGTGAACGCAAGAAAACGCAGCTCAAAGGCACTGAGATTTTGCTGTATCAGGGACCCTAAAGACTAAAAAGGGGAAATACCAGTATGCTGTTTAAACGTATATGAAGCAGCTACATGTATATGGATGTAGAGCATCACATAAGAATTAGATCTCACAGATAATATGAAGGGTCAAAATGAAAGTAACAGTATTTTGATAAGATACGTACAGTCAATCGATGGAGCAAACTGCCGCTGCGTAGGTTGGTTCTCACCGAAGCGAAGCAAAGGCAGAGAGTCATCCGAAGCGTAGACACATTCGTATAATGTAAAAAACAATGTATAATGTAACAAATAGCAAATACAGCAATAAACGCTGGAAAACGTATCCTGTGCAAGAGAGTCGGCCAAATTAGCGACGCTAGCTTCAACGACAATGTCGGCATAGACGATATCACCGGCAAGCGTTTTTTTTTTTATTTTATTTGAGTAGATCTAAATGCATATGGACTGTAAGAACTATAGTACCTCGTTTGAGTGTATCATTGTGTCTTGTGTCTGTATTGGCTTGGTTATACTTACTAGAGCTAGTTTCTCATTATCAGGCTACACATGATATCAAGCCGCACGACATCAGAATAAAAAGACGATAGAGATCTCTCTGCAACCAACATATTCTTGTAAATACTCACGATTGCAAGATGCCTGCAATCGTTTGTATATGAAGCTTATGGAACATTACGAATTGATATAGACTGTCAATAACAGAGTGAAAAAGAAGCATTGGACAGCACAAAAATTGCAGTTGATTTGTTTGAAGCAGACAGATGCTTTCATGGAATGTCAGCTTGCCTTGCTGGATACAAGCGCATTCTTGCAGTAGGTACCTTGAGACCCATTATTTTAACATTAGCTTATATACAAGCTGTCCACATGTTTGCACAGTCAGCTTTATTCGCGCCAATTAACATGGTATTATGCTTTCGATTAGCCGGTAAAATACCACTAGAATGACGAATGACGCGAGTAAAACCTAAATAGTAAGCCTTAAGGGAATAGCGTATCTGGCTCGAAATACAGAATCACAGGATTATATAGAACTTTAAATACCCCATCATAATGACAAAACTATAGATAGAGATGCATGAGCACGCTCGGTCGAGAACTGCCAACTGCCCATAAATTGATACTAGCCAAACGTCTGTTCATAGGACTGAAAAGGACTCTATTCTTTTGCTCTCACAGGGATGGAATGTAGTTAGTAGCATTACCATAGGCAAACAAATAAACAGAATGAACGCATCAGCATGCAAATTATAAATATTATTATTGAATTTGATATACTAGTACCAGTTTCAAACAACAATATGTAGGATTCCTGTTGACATCTAAATGCTCATTCAGCTATTTATTAATTTTTCGTTCCTTCTTTTGCTGGTTGCTCTTGCTGTTGCTGCTGGTCTGATAAAGAACGAGTCAGCAGGCTGGGTGCATTCTTCAATTCATCGACAGAATATTGTCTTGATTCAGACTTCATACCTTTTTTGTGCTCCTCCTCTTCATTACTTTGTTGTGTAGAGTTGATGCTGTTGGGGACATCCATGGGAGACACAGCAGCTACAGAGTCTCTAATTTTAGCGTACCATTGCTCCTCTGATTGACCATTCAAGAATGCAACAATCTCCACAGTCATATTATCACATCCAACACCGCCTGTGCCTGTGGAATCAGCAAGGCAAGTGTCCATTAACCGCTCGCAAATCTCCTTCAAAGGTACGTCGTTGGCAACCTGCTTGCGAATAAATGCGGCGACTTCCGCGTTGGATAAGCAATCCCAGATACCATCGCACGCCAGCACCATAAACTCATCCTTTTCAGTCAACTTATGCACTGTGATATCGGGATTAGCTGTAATAATGGCGTCAATACATACACTTTGGTCTGGCATTGCATGTCATTTGTCCCTACCTGTTACAGCTTGCTGTTCCGGTGGCAAATTTGCAGTTTTGAACTCGAAATCACCCAAGGCTCGGGACAATGCAAGATTGCCTATCGTGCAACACATTTCATCAGCCTCCATTAAATTAAAAATCATGCCGTAATAATTGTGTTACCATTCACACGTCCAAATTCCACATGTCCACCCGCCTTTTCAATTCGGTCAGTCTCTTTCTGACTGCCAGGTTTGTGATCCTCAGACAAGGCAATCGCTTTGCCGTCGGTGCAGATGATGGCACGCGAATCGCCGGCATTGCTCTTTTATATAGGTGTCGGTGAGTCCCCAAGCCAGCTCCCAATGCTGTGTGTGTCTGCTAAATACTTACCACGTACAAGTTGTTGTCCTTTGTTAATAGCGCGACAATGGCGGTACAACCAGAGGTTTCTTGTTCATACTCGGGATCTGAAAGATTCATGCATATCATGTTAGCACCATTTCGATACTTATCTGTTGCAAGTTTGAGCATTGTCTACCTGCACGCAAGTCTTGATCAATCTTGAGAAATCCTTTGCGCAGAGCTTCCTGATAGTGTCCCTTTTTGAAATCGTCTGATTCCATCACAATTCTTGCTAGATTTTGACTGCTGTATTTAGCCACATTGGCGCCTAATAGCCGATTGATACCAAAGTCTACATTGCATCCCTGCATGCCACAGCAGCTTACCTCCATGGCCATCAAACACAGCAAAGAAGCCAGCGCCTGTACTGTCGTAGTCTAATATATGAGTGTGCGCATCTTCCATAGCTAAAGTGTAAACATGGCACATTAATTTCCAAAGCGATGTGATAGTGGATTTACAGCACTTTACTTATTCTCCAGCCTTGCATAGACGAGGCACCAAACAAAAACATTGCGTCTTTCCCTTCGGTCGAGTGCTTTGTGGTTATGGGTGAAGACAGTATTTGACCCATATTGTTTCCTTTGAAAGTTGTAAACACGGTTGTGGTTGATTTAAAATGTAATAAACGAGATCAAGGTAAGGTGCTTGTTGAGTATTCAGCAATTGTTTCTCTTGCTATTCTTGCTGACTGCGAACAAGAGAAGAAAAGAAAGTGGAAAAAGGGAAAAAAAAAGGGAAAAAAAAAAAAAAACGAGCGAGGAAATCATGACATGATACGTGTATCATGTCCACCCCCATATTTGCATTGCTTTGAATAAACCCCCGCTTAAATTAATGCAAGCGTTATATTATTGAATCATGTTGGAAAGTCTATCTTTGATGATGGATTCAGCCTCCTGGACCATGCGATTCACAAGCGTATCGCACGTAGGAATGTCGTTGATCAGACCCAATACCTGGCCTGCTGTCCACACTCCAAAATCACTGTCGCCGTGGGTGAATACTTGCTTGCCACGCACACCCGCTACCAGCTCTGCAATGTCGTCAAATTTGACATTGGGATTCTTTTCGCGCAAATTAACTTCAATGGCAACCTTGTTCTTGAATATTCTGGCTGTGTTCTTGAAGGGTCTGTACACCAATGCCGTCGATCTCTCATCTGCCTCCACCATGGTCTGCTTGATGGATGCGTGAAGGGGTGCTTCTTGCGTGCACATGAAGCGAGATCCCATGTTGACTCCCTCTGCCCCAAGTGCCAATGCCGCTGCCAATCCCCTGCCATCACCAATGCCGCCAGAAGCAACAAAGGGGATGTCCAGCACACGGGCTGATTTGGCGAGTAGAATAAGTGCTGTAATGTCGTCCTCACCAGGATGTCCAGCACATTCGAATCCATCCATCGACACCATATCAACACCAAGCCGCTGAGCTGTCAGTGCGTGGCGAACAGCCACACATTTGTGAATGGTCTTGATGTTGGCTGCTTTGAACATTTTGATGTATTCGCCAGCTTTGGCGTTCACCAGAAATTAGTTTGTGTCGCGTCTTGTACTCAACATCACTTGGCACTTACGATTGTTTCCGGCTGTCTCTACTACTTGCACTCCTTCCTCAATGATAGCCTGAGCATACTCCTTGTATGGAGGAAGGTTGATGGCCGGCAGAAATGTCAAATTGACGCCAAAAGGCTTATCAGTCATTGCACGGCAGCGTCGAATCTCTTTACGCAAATCCTCTGGTGTTGGTTGTGTCAGTCCAGTCAAAATACCCAAAGCCCCCGAATTGGATACAGCTGATGCCAGTTCTGCTGTACCAATGTGTTGCATACCACCTGTTGCGAGCACGCATCGTTAGTTTCAGCATTCGACTGTGTATAAAAGGCCGCATATACCTTGGATGATGGGATGTTTAATGTTTAGCAATTGAGTCAATTTTGTAACGAGCACCATGTTGGATTAAAAGACGAGTGTTTCTGAAGCAAAATATGATATATATATATATATATACACTTCTTTGCTTAGTAAGGTGTATTGTCTAAATAAAAGCCAAATGCCCATTGACACGGATGGGAAGGGGTGGGAATAGCAGAGGCTGGGTGATCACATGCCAAAGTAGATCCATCAAGCTATGAAGAAGACGTGTGTAGAGACATGACCGGAGCTTGGCTACTTGACACTCTAGTGTTGCTTTTGTTTTTTTTTTTTTTTTTTTTTTGAGCGGATGATCCGAGAAGCAAGCATCAAATGAGCCTGCTTGGATCTAATTTCATTGCATTTTACCATGGCGTGCATTGGATGTGATCTGGCAATCTCACAATGTTGACCAAATGCACACAGTGATATATGAGGTGACAATGCACAGAGAAACGTTGCCTTGCTACAGCTACAATTGTCATTGATAGCAGCAGACGAATAAGAGACTATGAATCAGGCTGAATTATCAGCTGTTACTGGTTTGATGCAATGTTTCCTGAATTTTGCTGTAGGGGGGGGGGAGGGTTTTTTTTTCCCACCAAAAGGAATTAAATGTTTAAGCGTACGTAAAAGGTACGTGCTTTGATGTTTATCTCTAAATCAAGGGTTCAATTTCACACTAGTAGATCCATTGTTCTCCTTATAGAGTCCTTCTCCCCCCTCCCTTAAACCTGCATGTGATCCCATCAGAACAGCAAGCCCAATATACAATGAAATGCGGCCATCTCTGATGCCACTCTGCTTGAAAAGAGACCTGGTATTAGGGCATGTTACGTAAAACACAGTGCAAGCGCCAAAATGTATTGAATGCGAATAAGGAGAAGGTGGCACAAATAAAACTTTGTTTTCTTGTTCAACAGTTGCTTTTTCTCTTTCTCTTTTCCCTCTATCTTTTGTTTTCCTGTGTGCTTTACATTTACACCATGGCATTTTATCAAGACCATCTCGATTCCTTTGATCAAAATAACAATAGCAACATAAAGAAGAACAAGGGCATCATATCGAGGATGAAACGATCGCTTTCAACAAGTGGCAGGCCTCCAGCGCCAATACCACTTCGGTAAGTGAGAGCGACCCTCTCCAAAATGCGTTTCATGTATTGATACAAGGCGTATAGATTGCCTTCATCATCACAGCAGTCCGTCTCCAGTATGTCAACACTGGACAGCCCCTCTGCCATGCAACGCAGCTTCAGCCCTATTCCCAGCAATCTATCAAGCCCAATACCTACAACAACCACAGCTACCTCTCTCTCATCAACAGCGATGGGGAACAGCCATTCCACCTCTTACTTTGGCCCATCGCCAACAATACATCTCAGCTACGAGACATTTGCCTCTTCCTCTGCCTCCAGTCTATCGATCCAGTCGTTCCCAGCAGATACATTGACATCGACAAGGTCTTCTGTTCGTGATACATTATCATCCACCACAAGTAATAAAGTATTATATACGCATAACGAGAGATTGCCGTTCATCACGCATACTAACATGAGGTATCCATAGGCCATAAAATACCGTCGAGCTCGTCCTTCACGTCGCTCAATGTGACCAAAACCGAAAAACTGCAGGTCAAATCCATGTTTGAAAGTCGACTGATCGAGAACGAAAAGGTGGCTATGACCAAACTCGTGGATGCTGAACCCAAGACGCTTGTGAATAAGCAAAAGAAGCCGACCAAGGATGTAAGCTACGCTCCTGCGCCTGCCATGTACTGGTCATGTCCTGAAATGTATGGCACACGACCGCCCAAATTAAGAGCTCATGCAAGTGTTGTGTATAATGGCAAGATGTTTGTCTATGGTGGTACGAGCAAAAATAAGTGTTCAGACACTCTGTACGTTTTGGAATTAGGTAATGCACGTTTTCTTGCTGGATTCCTGCAATAGCTTAACAAGTGTGAATAGACACATTTACTTGGTCCATGCCCCGAGTGTATGGCAAAGTGCCTCCCGCTTGTAGGGCGCACTGCTTGTTAGCCAACCCAAGCAACGGCAAGATATATCTCTTTGGCGGAGGAGACGGACAGAAATACCACAACCACTTGTATATATTGGACACACACACCATGATATGGTCGAGGCCAAAGACACTCGGCCAAAAACCTTCTGAACGACGTGCACACATCACTGTACTATGGCAGCATGCCATTTACGTTTTTGGTGGTGGCGATGGCACCAAGGCGTTGAATGATGTACATCGTCTCGACTTGAAAACAAAGGAATGGACAGCAATAGATACCAAGGGAACCAAACCAACATGTCGAGGATATCATACAGGCACTCTGGTAGGCAGTAAGCTGGTTATATTTGGCGGCAGTGATGGCAAGGAGTGCTTTGGTGGTATTCATGTGCTGGACTTGAAAACGAGTGTCTGGCATCCTATTCATTTAGATGAGCAAGTACCCAGATTATCACATTCTGCTATCTGTGTAGGCTCCTTTTTGTTTGTCATTGCTGGTCATGATGGTAGTCAATACCGAAATGATTTGCTCATGTTGAATCTAGGCAAGTATTTTTTTTTATATATATATCTCGGTAATATACTCAATTCTCATGTTGCATTTTTTTCTTCTAGTCAATATGAGTTGGGAAACAAGAGCCGTGTACGGTCAGGCACCTACACCTTGTGGTTACCATACCACTGTATTATACGATAGCAGAATATTCTTGTTTGGTGGCTATAATGGATCCAGCTTCTCTAATGATGTTTATATCTTGGATTTGAGCTCATATGCTTATTTGCCTCAAATTGTTAATTTCACGATTGATACCTTTTAATTGTAATCGTGGCATTAGTGGTAATAAAAATCGTATGTCTGCTTCAAGCATGTGTGTGTGTGTGTGTGTGTGTGTACTTAATCCAGTTGGCTCATTTACACATAGTGTTGGCGGTGAATGAGTGGGGAGTAGGTGTTGATCACAAACTGTATTCTTGGATAAGCTGTTGCCACTTAATGAAGGATGTATGGTATGAATGATGCGACTGTAAATTGGAATGAAACACTTGATGTCAATCATCGAGATATGTTTTGACATCTGACGATATCGTAGTGTAAGGAGCTGAGAGCTTCAGTTCAACATCCAGTTGTCTTTAAAATCGATCGAGAGCCATACCCCCCATCAAAAAAGCTTCATTCTTTTTTTTTCTGTTCTTGTTGAAATAATGCTGCTCGGTGGCCCCGCTAGTTGAGCCAACTTTCAGACATTTGGGCAGCAAGTGGTGGGAAGAGTAGGTGCTTTTCAGCTTATCGGCACCAATAAGTCAATGGAGGAGTGACATACAACATTCCAGCATTGTTGCTTTTGTTTACAATATCTAACTGTATTTGTATAAGAGGGCTGCTGGTTGTTTCTATCACTACCTGGTAACATTGGAATCATGTTGACTTGCCAGCAAATATACTGTATATCCCTCCGCATTTTGATTGAAAAAATAATTGAATGAGATTTTTTATTTGATACATAGAATAAATATAAAATTTGATGGGAAGCAACTAATATGTATGAAAACTAGAAAACAATGGATGAAAAACGAGTTTTTTTTTTTTTTTGTATGTGGTGTTTGGTATGAAAGAGAGAGGAGGAAGGGAAGAAGGCGAACTATACTATGTCATATAAAGGAAATGACTACTGCTTCATGCTAATCCACGCAAGATCGATTGGGCCTTGTCAGATCTCTTGACCATGAAAGAATAGGTATGTTTGTCATCGCTGGATGCCTCCTCTTGATCTTGACCATTGAGTGTGCTATTACAATCGTCATTGTCATCGTCAGCATCTTCATCAGATAAATCACAGGCAGAGTCAGCATCTCCGGGATGATGAGCAATGAAACGACCGAGACGACTCAAGCGATCCACAATAGATTGATTGTCACTGACAGTCTGTTGTAAAGAAGGCAGACGAACCATACGACGCAAATTCAACGTATTCTCGCGCACTTCTTCATCTATCAAAATTTCCTTCTCTGTAGAAACCTCCAGCTTCATAGCACTAATCCAGGATTCGAGACCAATGAAAGAAACAACAAATTCAGCCAACGCCATGACAGTAGACTCTAAATCACATTCGTCTTCCACGTCCAGCTTGGTATTCAACTTGATCTTGCTTTGCAGTTTGCGGATAGCAATGCGCAATACTTGGGCGTTTTCGAGTTCAATGAGACCTTGCTTTTGTTTCTCAGCATCTGAGCCTTTGAGTAAGATGGCGCCCACAAGAACATGAATCATGGCCTTTTTGATTAATTCATCCAACTGGTTGAGGAGAGCCTTTTGAGAGACATTGGAAGCCTTGCAAGTCATGGAACGAGGGACACGCTGGATCAAAGTAGGTACCCATTTTTCTGCTTGATCAACATTGTTCTTCCATAATGCTTCAACAGTAGCACCTACAGCAGCAAGCCAGTGAGCCAGTCGCTGTTGATCGTTTGTGGTAGAGACAACAGCGCCTTCATCATCGTTTTGCTTCAGTGATGTACTGGGTTCAGTGAGTAACATGATATCAAGGAAGGCAGTTTCAAGACTTTCATCAAACGAGTCATCCCAAGAGGCAATAGTACTGATTAATCGATCATATTGAATACGAAGGCTGTCCAATAAATGAAGCGTAGACAAAATGGCAACAGGGACAACGACTGGAGCAGTGTAAGATATACTGAGGCGAGCATCTGAAGATGTAGACCCATCACTGGCGAGCAAGGTTTGATTGGCAATGATGTCCATGGTTTCAGACCAAGCACGAGTCTTGCGCATATCTTGGATACAGTCATGTTCTTGATAGGGGTCCATCCAAGCGAGTGATTGCATCCACAAGCTGCTTTCTTCGGCAGTGTGTTCGCCATCTTGATCTTGGTCCATGTGCATCTTGGTATTGCTGACAGCTTGCAACCAAAAGTAATTTGACAGCTTCTCTGCAACAGAACGCTTAGGGATAATGAGCGCCATTTGCATAGCAGCAGTAGCATAAGCACGGGCATGTGTTTGATTGACATGATCATGTCTGTCTTCGTCAAGAGCGTCGACCAAGTTGATCATACGGAAACACGAATATAGCATGGATAAGCGAGATGTATAGGCAGCACCTCCGACGAGCTTTGTCTCATTTAGCTTGATCCATTTGCAGACTTGGCCCCATTCTTCTTCAGGAGTGCTATCTTCGTTATCGCCATACATGATATCATAGCCAAGCACATGATGAGAAAAGATACGAGCGGATTCCTTCATAAGAGGGAGAATCGTTGACAGTGTGCTAGTAGGCACATCTTCGTCTCCAGCTTGTTGACTAGAACGGATGGATTTGTCCAGAATTGCATAAATCTGCTTGCATTTAAGTTCACCAGGCGTCACTGTGTTATTGATAATGTCTCTGCGGGAAGAAGCGGCGATGTTGCGTCTGGATTTGTTGACACGCTTCAATTTGAGGGATGAACCGATCAACATGGACTTGATGTAAGGGAAGAAGAGTTGAACGATGCATACAATAAAGACAATAGTACGTAACGAAGACCTGAAAATAGAATGATAAGTACACTATCTAACATGGCCCATGTGTATGACTACTTACCAAGTGTCATCAAACTTGAACAAGGAGCCAAGGAAGGATTCAGGAGAGGCATTGGCGTTACCCAAGGTTTGAGAGACTGTATCATCAGCACCAGCGCCAGCAACGTTTGCTCTTGAAGTGTGATGATGGTTCTGGTATTGTTCAGAGGAGCTAGGACCAGTTGTCAAAGGTGAGGTTGAAAAGAAGGTGATGCACATGAACAAGGCCATGAATACTCGGTTTGTCATTGCAGGTGGCGTCACTGGATCCATTGAGCCGGGAGAGCTGGAGGAAGATTCGTATTCATCAGAAGCTTCATGGTGATGCTGCATCTGTTGCTGTTGTCGCTGTTGTTGAGCATTGTTGAATCGAGCTCTCTTTCTGTTGGCAGCTTTGCGTTGTTGGTCTTGTTGCTTTTGAGCTTCACGTTCCATCAGCTGTTGCTGTTGGATCTCCTTCTCGCGCTGCTGCTTTTGCAAATGGTAGCGTTGCAGGATGTCTTGGCCACCGGGAAGCTGGGTCAAAATGTGTTGAAGTGCTTGGTTTTCACGGCGCACATCATCGCCTTGCTTCTTGAGATGATTGATGTACTCGGTTGCTTTTCTAAGGATGGTTGCTTTATTCAGCTTGGTAGCAACGGCTACACCGTCGAGGAATTCTTCGCCATCTTCGCCTTCATCGTCATCATCTTCGCCATTGCGTCGCTTGCTGCCAGCCCCCGCAGTGCGATTATCTTTGACTTTGGCATACAACAAGGCAGGCACAGCATTCTTGAGTTCTGCAATACGGTCATTGATATTGTTACGGTAACGACGTTCAATGGCATTGTGAGCAGTTTTCTTGTGCTGACGTCCAGCAGGAGGCTGTGTGTTGTTGAGAGCAGCATTTACAGCATTGTTGATGATGCTATTGGACTTTAAACGTTGAATGGGGACTTTAGCTAAAAAAAACAAAATTAAACAAGTGTTATTGGTCAAGACTTGAAAAGTTTTTTGAGATAGGTTTTAGATACAATACCTTGAGAAGAATCCAATGGAGTATTGGTGGACGGTGAAGACCAACTCATGAAATCAATAGCAGGTGTTGTGAGAGTTGAGCTCTTGGGCGATTCTTTGTTATCTGTCATGGGAGAGGCAGTGGAGGATGGCGTCGCTTGATTTTGAAACACAGGCATATCTGTCGTTGTTGCAGTAGCAGCAGCAGCAGCAGTAGTAGCAGTAGCACTGGCATTTGCTGTGCTTGTTGCTACCGAGATTTGTTGTGATGGCAGATTGGAGGAAGGAGGAGAGTAAGGCAATGATTCTGGGCTAGCGTATTCCAGCTTGATATTGACCGAGTTGTCCCACTGTTGACTGTTATCATATGCTGGTGGTTTGGTGGATTGAGGAGGTAATATGCCAGTCAATGGTTCATAGAAGAGAGAGGGGTCTTGCAATTGATGATTGTTGGCATTGGACACAGCGCTTTGGTTGAATATAGGCTGTGCTTGCTCATTTCTGGCAGTGCTGCTATTCAAGAACAATTGATTATCAATAGGCAAATATTTATCGAAATCTTGCCAAGAGTCTTGCTGAAGCAAAGCAGCTTGAGCTTGTTGCTGTAATTCCAAATCAAACTGGGACAAGGAAAAGTAGGTGGAGGGATCATCGTCCAAGATGTTGTTTGTATCAGCAAATAAATCTACTGGAAGTGGTGCAAATGCTTCCATTATTGTGTGTATTTGTGTAGAGAGAGAGAGAGAAAGAGAGAGAGAGAAAGAAAGAAGAAGGAAAAGCAAAGAGTTTGGAGACTGATTAAACCCCCCACCCCCTTCCTCCACACCTTGATGGGTTTGCTCCATATTACAGGTTAAAACGAGAATCCTTCAAACCCAGTGTATTCATGTTAATTGAAAAAAATGGCCTGATTTTTTTCGTAACATTATCAACTAAAAATGGTTAATTTTTTGCCTTACATGTTGCTATAACAAATGCGAGGAAATGTCGAGACATTTGTTGAGTGAAATTGCCACGACAAAGTTGGAGCATGGTAAAAATAGCATTCTTTTTTTTTTTACCTTTTTTTTCTGTTTCGACACATTTTGCCTGTAAACCATGTTGATTCTGTTCATACTATTGCTATCAATTCAATCGATTGTCGCACAGAATTTCTCATTATGCCACAAAGACGGCAGCAGCAAAGACCAGAACTTGTTCCAAATAAGCTGGGTGAATACAAATTTTGATGCCAATCAATTTAAATATACCTTCAACATATTAGGCATGGCAACTCGAGAAAACATCACCAATCTCAACCCTCAGCACAGTTATTACGCTGCTGCAAAGACCAAAATCAGTCTTGGTGTGTCTGATGCACACACGACGGTCGCACTCAACAGGTTTTGTCAGGATGTATACCAAGATTGTCCCGTGATAATGAATAATTATACCTTGATTCAAAAGGTTAATACGGATTTACCACAGTTCCATTGTATGACATGCTAAAATTACAAATAGACTGTGCAGTTGCCATATACAAATGTGCCTCTCCTTGACATCATTGCTCAATATTCTGCCTGGACAGGAGAGCAGACACCTATCACTTGCTTGACGTTAGCACCAATAGCTTACCAAAACCCTCTATGGACTCGTTTGTTTCGGTACATTCCTATTGGTGTAGCTGGCCTCGCTCTCATAACTACATGTGTCGCTATCTATGCCACCACACCAATTGATCGAAACGAAATCACCGTCCACTGCTTTCCAACGGCACTACAACTTGCACTACCAAGTGTATTTCAAGTCGTCTACTACGCACAGTTCATCGTAACCATGGGCCAACTGAATCTGTCCTACCCCAAGTTTTATCCGCTGTTTGCTTCCGATTTCGCTTGGAGTTTTCTCATGTTACCATCGCATTGGATCACGCAAAACACGCACCTGGCAAATCAGCCTGCCCAGCAACAGCCAGCGACGGATGGGATGTCAAATTATGCAGCCAACATTGGCCTAGATGTCAATGATGTCTTTATCACGGTGTTTGTATATTTCTTGCTATTGGTCGCATTGTGCCTGATTGGATTAGCCATTGTGTGGCTGATTGCTAAGCTGCAAAAGATCATATCTACCGCCGATGCCGCCGACGATAAGTATACGGATGTCGCCTACCTTGGCATACTCAAGATTCCACAGCCTACATGGAATTCTATTGTTGGTAAATAGTTGACACTCTACAGCAGCCAACATCTACTAACTGAGATACAAGCTATTCTGCTCAAATGTGTCACACTGTGTTATCTACCATTGACAATCACTGGTTTGTACCAATTGATGCTGCCTTCGCAGTGGTATATGCTGCTTGTGGCTGCTTTAGTGGTTGTATTCCTCTCATTTCTGTTGTATGGATGGATAGCATTTGTCATGCTCAAATTAGGTGATACGGCATCCGTGCTGATCCAGTCTGCAACGTTCACCAGAATCGGGTTTCTCTATTGCCTGTTTTCAGATGGTCATGCCACATTCTTTTTTGCGACCATTGTGTACAACATGATTACAAGTCTGATGGTTGGCATATTTCAAAAGAGCGGTCTAGCGCAACTGATAGTCATCATCCTCATTGAAGCTGCCTACTTTGCTTTTACGCTGGTCAAATGGCCCTATGTTACGAAACAGATGAATGTATTCTTCACATTGTTGGGGTTCCTGAGATTGACAAGTATACTACTGAATATCACACATGTCTCTAGCCTGTCCATTTCAGATTACACAAAGCAATGTGTTGCTTATGCTCAGGTATGTTTTCATATGCTGGTTTTTGTTCTGTTTTTGTGTGCCGAGTTGAAAAACTTGATGGCTATTCTGCTAGGAACATCTGACAAGCAGTTTGAAGAGGGTGATACTATGCCTGTGCGCATGATGACATGGCCACGCTATAAAAGAAATATAAATCGCTCCTACTTTAATCATGAAGAGGAGCAGAGCGAGAATGGATTGCTACTCGATGCTCCAGATAACAGCAACCCATTGCATCAATCCGAAAGCCCTTACAGACGGCACTTGTCTGTAGTTCCTCCTCTCTCAAATGACAACAGCACTGACCCTCCTGCGCTCCCGCCACATATTGAAATGTCCAGATTATCCTTGGCAAATCCCGCCACAATACCTTTACTATCAGTGCCACCCATCGCTGCAACAAACGACATGTATAACATTGATCTAAACGACACGAGTAACATCACAATAGCAGCGGCGAGCAACAGGAGCAAGCATCATAGTGATAGTAACTTGCACAGCAAATACAACGACACTGCAGACAATTCTCTGGAAAATGTGTCTTCCACAGCGCATCGTTGGTCAGACATTGGCATTCAACAAGCCGTACAAAAGAACTATAATCACAGACAATACCCTCTCATATAGCATCTATCATATAATGAACATTCAGATTTTAATACATTTTGATCTCTGTTATATATATCTCTAATATACATCCCTAATACTCTAATACGAGTGTTTATGCTTCGGGTGGCTCTTTACCTTTGTTTCGCTTCGGTGAGGACCAACCTGTGCAGCAGCAGCTCGCGCTACCGATTGCCTTTGCGTAGTGTATCTTATCAAAATACAGCTATTTTTATTTTGACCTTCCACTTACATATGAAAACCATTCATATTATCTGCGGATCTGACTCTTATAGGATGCTTTAACATCCATATGCACGTGGCTACTTCATATACGTTTAAACAGCATACTGGTATTTCTCCTTTTTAGTCTTTAGGGTCCCTGATACAGCAAAATCTCAGTGCCTTTGAGCTGCGTTTTCTTGCGTTCACGGCTGTTTTAGATGGTCAACATAGTACCAAACAATTGCTCTCATCTGGCAGTTACTTTCTGACACCTTTGCTCAACTTTTTGGGGATCAAAAAAAAAACATGGCCAAAATTCGACCAAAAAGCATGAGGTACCCCTCATGGTTTTCATTGAAAATCAAACGATTGCATTTTTCACCTTGAAAAATGAAAACTTTTACTATGGCATATATAAAATCAAAATGTTTCTATCAACCTAACGTAACCTTTGAAATCATCTTTGCGGGACCTTGATATGTAAAATCTCAACATTTTCGCCAAAAACGTTATTTCATAATTTCATGAATTGCTCAACAAGTTCATTAAAAGCAGCCATTATAACTAGCATCATTGGATGCGCCTTGAAAACTTCTCCTAGATAGCTTAAGGCTGTAAAGGATGATCACTACAACTTTCATAGTCGAATCTCGTAAAAATAAGTCGATCGAGTCGCAAAAGGATCAAAAATCAACGAATCGTGACAGAAAGTCGAGCGGGATTGTAATCCGTTTTGGCTGGCTAAAAGAAGGCTCTCCTTGATTGCTCAAAGCCCTATAATAGAACGGCAATGATACCCACAGAAACGATTATACGAGAAAGCGAGACTCCTTCTCAAATGGGTAGTGTACCCAACGTGAGACCCAAAAAGGACAGGTTGGTGACATGGGACGGGCGTGACATGATCCAAAGCAACAGAATAGCACACAGACAAAAATGATATTGCAGGTGAAGTTTAATTCAGAAACCTCCTTCTTTTGGAAATCCCACGGCCTTGTTTGATGAATTTCGCGATGTGCACTTGACTTAGAACCCTGAAAATAGTACCATTGGATTCCTCAAGTGATTTGCTTTCTAATGATGTACATACCTTCTAATAAAATATCCTCTCTTTGACCACAAATTGGCCATTTACTTGCTTATCTCTCTTCAATTCATGTCCTTTTGTTTACTTTACATGTGATTTTTTTTAAAGCATAATTTTGCCTAGCAAATGAATTATTTTGATCTTGCATGATCCGAATACCTTCTAAAAGAGGACGATCCCTAAAAAAAAAAAATGATATGAAACGTGTTAAACTCTTTATGAGATGCATGCTCTTGGCATAAGAACTACAAACAGGTTGCAGGAAGGATACACAAGAATGACCAACTCACTATGTAAATGTGGGCATATTGATGATATCTAGTAGCGCAAACACTTTGATTGACATCATTGACAGCAACCATGACAGCTGGAAACAAGATGATTTGCACTGGTCCGAGAACAATCCATTATGTTCCATTCCATGGAGATTGCCGCAGTAATCTTCATATAGCACGCTTGTTTTCCGAGGTGTACACTTGTTTCTTGGTCCAGAATCAGTTATGCTGGCTCCGATGTGATGTAAACGACAAGAAAGCCAACCTTAACACTCGTATTGTCCGATTAGATGGACAATTTATGGCTGATGTAAACAACAAGAGAGATGGATCGAGAACCGTATGATCTTGGAGAGAGAAATTAAGGAGAGGTAAAAAAAAAAAAAAAAAGATTACTTAATCAAGCAACCAGCTGCATCTGTTTCAGTGTCAAATGACATTTTTTGTTTACTTTTTGATGAGGTTTGAGCCAGTGAAAAGTTGTCTGTTAATTACATCTAGGAAGAGATGGGGGAACTCGTTTCATGTGAAGGTGGAAAAAGGGCTTTTTGAAGTAGCAAAATGGACATAACTCGAGACAGAAAACAGTTGAAAGCCTCGGACGAAGCGGATGAAATAGAGCAAGTGTCAAACGTCAAAATGGTACTACTTTCACGCGCTCAAAGTAGTATATCGTGGAGAAAAGTAAAAGGAAACGAATTTGAGTGTGGCAAGGACACTGGACTCACACAAAAGTCGATGAGAAGGATATAAATAGATGGTTGTTTCAACAGCTTTTCCTTCTTCTTCTTCTTCTTCATCATCATCTTCATCTCATCTCTACTCTCTATTAACAAATCTCTCTGCAAGCGAACTCTCTCTGCAAGCGAACTCTCTCTGCAAGCGAACTCTCTCTGCAAGCGAACTCTCTCTGCAAGCGAACTCTCTCTCTGCAATACTCTTGGGCTCTCTTTCTGCTTTATACATGGTCAAGTAAATCAAACACTGTACTGATGATTGGCTTTTTCTTACACAATGCTCTCATAATTCCATGGTTCTCTTAGGTTGCGGTCCATGCAAAACATGGTCGCACTCTCCTCGTATTTTTAGATAATAGCAACATACAATCAACTCTGCAGGTATGTACTCGTCACTTCTAGCTTATAAAGCAGCATGACTCACCATCTCTCTATTTTGACTTGCAAGCACTCCATACTTGGTTGAAGCCTTGGATGAGGTCTAGGGGTCATGCGCGTAAGGTGGTTGTCTCGTGTGGCCTCAGCACCTGTTGCCCCGGTAGCTCGTAAGGGTGATGCGACGAGGCGCTAGGTGCGTTTCCCGGGAGGTGTCTTCCCATCCTTGTTGCTAGGGATATGCAAGTTGTGGCAGATGTTTTGCCCTGGAAGCCTGGCTTCATCTTTTGGTCTCCTCGTGTTTCAAGCTGCTCTTTTCATCGTCCATCAAGTATGCTACAGGGTAAGTATCCTTTGTAATAATCCAATGTCCCGCAATATAGTGTAGATCTATTTCCTGCAATGTCAAAACCACTTTAATACACGGTGCCATCTCTACATCCATACAAGACCAAGCCATACTCGTATCTCTGCTGCCTGCCATCTATTATAGTGTCAAGACTCATGCTGCCTAGTATATACAAGACCAAGCCATGCTCGTATCTCTGCTGCCTGCCATCTATTATAGTGTCAAGACTCATGCTGCCTAGTATATACAAGACCAAGCCATGCTCGTATCTCTGCTGCCTGCCATCTATTATAATGTCAAGACTCATGCTGCCTAGTATATACAAAGTCAAGCCATACTGCCACATCTGCTGTCTCTATTCTATACACGAAACCTTGCAATACACACATCAATACTATCTCTTACCTATACAAGTTAAATCAAATTATATTCAAGTTAGCTAGCATCTATTCAAATCTAAACAAACTCTCATACATTATCATCGTTTTCTATAAAGCTACAAGCAAATCAATAATAAAAAGAGTTTTGCATTGCCTACTATATCATCGTCTTTTTATTACATTCTCTATTAAAACCAATGTATAAACAGAAAGCCGTTTGAAGCAACTGATATCATAAGTGCCACTGATATAAATGTTCTTGAATCGTGAAGCTGTGGTTGAAGATGAATGGAGAAAGTCTGACTATGGCCATTTCGAAGCATTGTTAGGTTTGATGTCATACAGAGTACCGCTATCATTGTAGGCAATACAACTCTCCTCTCGGAAGAGATGACTATTTAGTCATTGTACACACGCAGTCTTGCGCAAGCTTCATGCCTCATGTTATTAGAGATAGACACATATTATTGGATAATGCACTTGAGAGTTTATGTACTAATATACAAATTGTTGGATTGCTATGGATACAAAGTATTCCAAACTTCAAGAAGTTTCTAGAGCAAAATATTTAGTTGTTGCAAAAGCACTAGTAGTGTGAGGGACTATATACACACATGTAATTATACAATGACCTACGTTCGCTCAACCCGTAGTTTAATATAAAAATAGCCAAAAATATCTTAAAGCTTTGATAGAGATATGACTTTTGCTACAGTATCTACGGTATCTATAGTTGTATTAAATGCTAGTATCATATGCATCTAAGAGGGTATTGGATACCGTAAGCGCTACTTGACAGAACCAGCCGCTGATTTTTCTGCATAAAGGTTATTCACAGTCTAGCGATGGTTTATGTTTGATGGAAGTATCTTGGTTCTGGCATACCAATACATTGATTTCTTCAAATTTCACTACTCAACAAGTGATCAAGGCATACATTATACCTGAATTGCCTCTTGGCATTCGACAGAATGCAAAGCACAGCAAGAAATAGGTGAATTTGAGCAACAATTTCTTGTGCTGGAAGCCGCTTAAAACCGCCAGAATAGCACCAAACAGTTGCTCTCATCTGGCAGTTACTTTCTGACACCTTTGCTCAACTTTTTGGGGATCAAAAAAACATGGCCAAAAATTGACCAAAAAGCATGAGGTACCCCTCGTGGTTTTCATCAAAAATCAAATGATCGCGTTTTTGACCTTGATATTGTAGACTTTTGCTATGGTATGTATTGGATCAAAATGTTTCTATCAATCTAACGTAACTCTTGAGATCATCTTTGTGGGACTTTGATATGTAAAATCTCAGCATTTTGGCCAGAAACCTCATTTCATATTTTTATAAGTTGCTCAACAATTTTATTAAAAACACATACCTTACTTGGTACCATTGGATGCGTCTTGAAAAGTACTTTGAGGTTGTATTAGGAAGCAAAGAATGGTCATCACAACTGATATAGTCGAATCTAGCAAAATAGTTGAATCAAGTCGAAAAGCTATCAAAATCTGGCCACTCTGGGGTAGAATAAAAGTCGGCATTACAATTAATTTTGGCGGCGGCTGGTGGGGTCGGCTGGCAAACTCAATGTTCTTTCC